TCTAAAAACAAAACCATTATAATCTTTATTATAAATTTTAAGCTGCTTAATTAATAAATAGTAAAAGTAAATAAAATACTTTATTAAATGCTATACAGCCTCCAAGGCACTAATAAATTAACTATTAATATAATAAGTAACTTTATTAATAATATTAAACTAGATACGTGCCTTTAGGGATCCCTTGTAAATATACTTGTAAATATACTTAATAGTTAAAATATTTTAAATAACTTTTATATTAATATGCGCATGGTAGTAATAAAAAAGGTAAGAAAAATAAGGCACCACCTATTTATTACCTATTTAAATTATTTTTTTTTATTATTTAGGTTAGGAACATTAACATAGACACTATTATTATATTATTAGTATTTAGGGTAACAGCCTTTATAAAAAATTATCTTAAAATAAAATAGCTTAAAAAAGCCTTTGCTATATTTCCAGGGCTTTTTATTATTATTAAAATAGCATGGTATATTTAGCTTAAGCTTCCCACATGGCCTATAAATTATATTACCCTTAATAATATTAAACAGGGCCTTGGGATTAAAATCCCCTTTAAAAATAGTATTTAAGTTAGGAATTTTAGCTAAAATAAGGTTATTAATATTCTCCTGTGTGGTAAACCTTTACTTAAGCTAGTAAAAGGTATAAAAATAAGGTAAATCCTACTTTTAAAACTTAATAATAAAGTAATAAATAATATACTTACTAAAGGCGCTGTTTTTAAATTCCTAAAGTATTATTTTATTTTTTATATAAAATATATAATATACTAGATTTAGCCAGTCCTGCTAGTATTATATTAAGTTACTATTATTATTTTAAATAAGCTTTTTAATAACCTCCTCCCACCCTGGATTAGCTATAAAAGTAATAAATAAAGTTAGGGTACTATACCACAGCACCAGGGCCATAAAATTATAGTAAAATTTATATATATACTAGTTACTATTTTTATAATTAAAGCCTAAAAATATACGCTTATTAATTTATACTAGATTATAACCTTTATTTAAGGCCCGAGAAGTATTATTATAATTAGTAAAATAATAGGTTTTTTAATTATAATAAATACTAAATAAACACAAATTTTTTATATATAGCTAAATATTTATTAAAAATTATTAAAAAAGCATGCCACCCTGGTACAAGATATTAAAATTTTTTTTACAGGTAAAAACATAAAATTAATAAAATATAGCTATTATTACCTAGTTCCAGTCCTTACTTTATTTTTATTTAGTTTATATTAAAGTATAGATTTTTTATTTATGGGAGTAGCCTATCCCACCCTTAGCGTAAAAAAAAACATAGTAAAGTGGTAAATAAAGTGGGTAGTTAAAATTAATTATAGTAAGAAACTGCCAAGGTGCTGGATTATTCTTATTTTTAATAATAAAAACATTAATATTATAAGAGTTTATTTTAGGGTGTAACTTAGCTAATAAGGGATTATTAAACAGGTTTAATAACTTTTAAAAAAAAAAAATAAGATCTTATTTAGCTTTTATTAAATAAGTATTATTAGTAATAGCAGGGTTAAGCTAATGCTTTAAGAAAAAGATTATAAGAATATTAGGCATAAAAATACCTATTTTAAATATTTTTAATTAAAAAGGGAGGTTATAGCGCTTGCCTAGCTTATTATTAACTATAAATTATATTTAGGGTGTTAACCGCAGGAAGCCAAGGTTTATATTTTACTTAAAAATAAACTTAGTTTAAAAAAAAATATTATACCATGGGTTACACGCGTGAATAAACTAACTAATCCACTTTAGGGCCTTTTTAACCTTATTTAAAAATATATTATGCCCTAAATAGTGTTTAAGGGCCTTAACAGGATTAAGCTAGTATATTTATATAAATATAATATTATTACTTTCTTATAAATTACCCAAGGGGCCTATATAATAATAAATAAATTCTTATATTTAAAATATATAATTAATATTATTAAAACTAGTACAAGCATGGTATTTTATAAATAAACTAGTATAGGCAAGGGAGCTATTAACTAACTAAATATTATATATAAACCTATTATACTCTGGGGAGTTTTTACTAAAAATTTACTAAATTAGGGAGTTAAGGCTAGGCTCCGGGTAGGGATTAAAATTATTTTAAAGGTTTATACCACTAGCCATGTAGTATTTTTAAAAATTATAATACTTATTAATATAATTAAAAAAAGCACCTAAACGCCATGCAATCTTTTTTTTTATAAATAAAAAATAATAGCTTGGGCAAGCAACCTTTATATAACCTAAAATTAATAATATTTAAGTATTATACTTAAAAAAACTAGTAACCATAGCTAGAATATTTTTTAAAGCCCGCGCTAATATATTTAGTAAAAGCTTTTAATAAAAAATATATTTATTTAGTAAATTAGCTAGATTTAGGACCTTTTTATAAGCAAAACACTTTTAGGTAGTAGCTATCTAAAGCTAGTTATATTTTTAGCATAGCTTATAACAGGCATAGCGGCTATTAGTTATTTAATAATTATACTAGGCCTAATAAGAACGCTTTATAATACCTAGTTAATTAGCTAGGCATAGCTAATCACGGGGAACAAAAAAAAGATTATTATATAATATAAATACTAATATAAACTAGGTTAGCTTAAAAATAGCTACGCCCGAAGGACCTGGCGCTAGGGGGCTTAATACTAAAATTAGTAGTAATATAAAAAAAGACAGGAATAAAGCAAACGCAGGAGGCATAGGCTAGTAAATTAAAAGGGTAATAGCTATACCTAAAATAGTATCTAGGGCTAAAAAAAGCTAATAAAAACTATTAATAATAAATTAAATATACTAAACAGGAGTATACAAGAGTAAAATTAGTTATATAAATAAAATATTTATAGCTCCTAGGGTTATAGCTATTACTATAGTATATTTAGCCCTTTTTAAGGGTTAGTAATTTACAAGTCTTGCAAAAAAATAAAAAAGCAGGAAAATAGCCTATAATACTAGTAATTAAAAGTATAAAAAAAAATAAATAAAAATAGAACACTAAACAAAGCGTAGGAAGGCATGGTAAAATAACTAAATTTATAAGGTAAAAAGCATTATAAATAGGGAATAAAGCTATACCCAAAAATAAAATAAATAATAAAATTATACTAAATAAAGTAAAAGACCAGGAGCAGCTAATTATAGTAAATAATATAAAAAAGTACTAAAAAAAATAAAACACGTAATATAAAAACTATTAATTTTATACTTATATAACCCACCTTTTTATACCCATATAACCTACTATTATTACCTATTATAAAACCTACTAAAGCTAAAGACATGGACCGCATGGCCTAATATAAAAGCCTGGATAATTTACCTACTAAATAGTATAATATAAATCTTATAAACCTAAATAATTTATTTTAAAATATATATAAATATACTAATTACCCTAACCTAAACTTTTATTTACGCACTAACTACTTACTATGCTTATAAATACTTAAGGCTGTTTATAAAACACACAAGGCAGATAATAAAAAAGTATAAAAAAAAATCTAATTATTTTATACTAAAAATATTTAAAAAGGGTTAACCCACACACAAGTGTAATAAAATAAATTAAAAGTATAATATTATAAAATATAGTATTAATAAAAAGCCAAGGCCAAGGCATGTTAAAAAATAATAGCTTAAAAATTATTAAGTAAATAAAATAAAAATAAAGTAGCTAAAATTATTACATAATATAAAAAGTAAAAAATAAAAATTAAAGTATTTATAATAAGTATATATATTATTATAGCATGCCCTATTTATATATATATATATTAATAAGTGGCTAAAAATATATATTATAAATAGTATAATATTACCAAACCCTATAATAATACTAATAATAATAATATTAATAATATTTATAAATCCTAAAGCCCTAAAAGTATAACCTATAATAAACCTAGCTTAAATTAGCATTAAACTACTAAATTAAATATATAAAAAATATATAATAAAACAAGATAATAGTATATAAGGGGTGGTATAATAATATATATAAAAAAAAATTAATAAGCTAAAGGCGCGTACATAAAAAAAGTTACTTATGCTATAGTTTAAAATAAAAAGGGAGTTTAATAAAATTAAAAAAAGCGCTTAAAAAAAGCTTAATAAAAGGCTTAAAAAAATAATAAAAATAGTAAAAAAGTTAATAAGGTACTTAAATAAGGGCTGGTACGCTAGGACCTAGGAATTAAAGCTTTTTTAAATTAAAGTTTATTTAGTAATAGGTAAATTTACAAGCCTAATTTATATAAAAATATTACCTACAGCGCCCTTAACTTATATAAACTAGGCCCTTTAAAATAATAAATATATAAAAAAATATTTATAGTTATAAAAGTAAAAAAAGGGTAATTATAAAAATTATAAAAGGGATTACTAAAACTACAAGCAAGTGCTATATATAGGAAATATGGTTTTTAAAGCATGGTAGCCGGGGTAAATAAAAAGTTATAAGGTGTAGAAATAATGCCTACTAACACCTATAATACCCGGCGCTAGTGGGGCTCACCAACTAATTAAAAAATAAATAAAACCGGGCTGTCGTAGTTACGATACAAATATAAAGGATAACATGTTGACTTGCATTAGCTAAAACACGAACGATTGGCTTTATAACGGGTATTTTGGACTCTGAGACATCATGACATGACGGCAAGGAAGGTCAGTGACAGCAAAGACCCATCATCCGGGGCCGCGGATATTGTTCTCCCAATTGGGTCTAGTGTTGTTTGGTCTATCCACGTCGCCGGAGTCAAGGTCATGCTAGTAAACGGTTTGTTCTGAATTCGAGAACAGTCTATTTATTAAGAAGAAAAACCAAAGAGAGGAGATATCCGCCGTGCTATGCTCAAGTCCCACCCAGTTTGCGCCATTTCGACCATGTACCGGAAGTATGCAAACCCGTCCATCCGATCCCGCAGATGACGCCGTTCATAAAACCACAATGCCAACAGTCAAGCCTTAGACAACGTCTTCTCGTTCCCAGCCGGTGGTTTTCAAGTGCTTGATACCTTTGCTAGGATGCGGCTTGGTTGGTTCCTTCCATTCGACTGCGAAAGGGTTGACGTCGACCGCCTGTTTCAGGTTTCCAAGCGTGTGGTTGACTTCGCGATGTTTGGCCTCATCAGCTCGGACGTACAACAACAGGTCCTTCATGGTCCGGTGACCCTCTGGCATTTTCCAGTACCTAATAGCAATTTCTGGGGCCTCTAGCTTCTCCCAGTGCGGCAGCCTGCCGCTCTCGAGATCCTTAATGGCTCGAGTGTAAGTGAGTACAGCCTCCTCTTCGAGATATCCGACGAAACGATGACAGGTTCGTGGCGAGACGAGGTAGGAAAGGAAAAAGCCATTGAAAAACACCCCTTGCGCTCCGAGGACCATCAACCGCATGAACCAACCTGGTTCCGCGACTTTGAGGAATGTAAGGAGGTGCATTCGTTCATTGTATGCCTCTTCAAGCAGAGTCTCGATCCTGTAAAGAGTGAGCATTCGAAATGTGCAGGCAAGCAAAGAATAATCAACTTACCATCCGTTATCTCGCTTCATCCGTCTAAGGCTCCTCAAGTGTCTTAGCATACCGCCAACCATGCCGGGTACACCAGCGACACTCTCCAAGAAGACAAATCTTCTCACCCATTCCTTTTCCGTCATCTGGAACTTCTTGATGTGTTCTTGGCCTGGGGCGGGATGCTTGTAGCCTGTGACCAGGTCCATACCCCATCGCAGGACACGGACACTCCCCAGCGCTACCCAGTCGGACCAATTCTTTGCCTCGCGATGGCCGACGGTGACTTGGCGCATCTCTTCTTCGGTGTAACTGTTCTCAGTCAGCCTTGCCACCCTTTCTTAGAAGACAGTCCATGGCCTACACAGGATGATGCCATGCCGATGTCACCTTTACGATCTTCGGTGCATCAGGTGGAGGAAAATATTCTTTGATATGTGATTGCGGCGTTGAGGAAATGAGCCGTTTCCCAGTCGGCTGGGGGTAGGATCTGTTGATGAGGAGCGTACTGCTGTACCGGAGTCCAGTGGTTGCCATGCCCCTCGCATAGGTTCGCATTGTCATCTGCATGGCAGCGACCCTGATTGGTGTCGTGGTTGATATCGAATTCATGATTCTGATACTGAGATCAAGATCCGAACTGCTGTGAAGTTGTTGTCAATCTTTAAGGCTGTTTGATGAATGTGTTTGTTGTCTATGATGATTAGAAGGAACGAGCTGACTTGGCCGCAACACGCTCTTGTATTTATATCTACCAGCCAAATACAAGGGCGCTATAAAAAAAATCCACCAAAAACACAGTTTCAGGCAAGACAAGGCAAGAATCGGGACCTTCAGGGCTGGGTACCCGCATACAGGAGTCACATGCGGGCCGACAAGCAGAAAATTTTCATTCACCGAAGGAAGAATCCAGATCTGACGTCCCTTGTTGCAGCGTGGCTGCGAAGGAAGGGGCCTCGATAATTCCTGTCTACGGAGTATGAGCCAGACAATTGGGACCGATTCGTTCCTGGCAGTCGGCCTTGTATCTCAGGCATCGGGACTTACCGGGCGTTACCCAGGTGTATACCGCATTCACCATTGAGACAGAAGGCACTGATATTCTAGTTTTCGGATATATCAATGTATAGGAAGTATTTGTATTCAGCCGAAGTGGAATCAGATCTCACTCTTTTCCCATTGATTTAATGCTGCACTGCGTGCTCTGTTTGCTGAGACGTAAAAACTTGCTGTGTCAACCAAATACGGTATTTTTGCGCCAATGTGACCACGGAGAGAGCCGGGACGCAACTAAGCCATGACTCAAAGGGGAGACCGAGAAAAACTCGGGATCTGGCTAACGGCGTTTGCGTAGCCTATCGACGTTTGACGTCAGTTGAAAGATTGTTGAGGCTGTAGAAGGTGCAGGGATTGCTAATGCTTGACCAATTTCTTGGGATTGGCTAGAGGACCAGAATCCCGGGAATTGAAAGCGCCTGGGGCGGATGGGTTTATACTTAGACACATGCATAATTACAGAGTAAACTACCTAGGTAGTTGTTCGGCTCGGCCGATTGTACAGTATGATCAATTATCAAAGAGACTCAAACACGGTGGCAGATGTCTTCCTGAGCCCAAAGTGTCCTTCATGTTCTTTTGCATCAAGCGTTTTCTGCTCTAGCTTGACGACATGCGCATGTCGCGGGCCATTGTTGATGTCCTTGAGGAACTTCTGGATGGTCTCTTCGGGGCCTTGGGCTTCGCCTTCGACCTTCGCATGTGATTAGTGACTTTGACTATAAAAGCAATATGGCGAGACAGTTGGTCATGATTAGGAAATAATTGCATACCCTCCCGCAATCTGTGTTCTTTACCCAGCCGTTCAGACCGTACTCTGCAGCGCGCTTCATGGTGTAATCGCTATTATGGCATGACATGATTAGAATCGGCTGAGATTTACGGAGGCTGTACCTACCGGAAGCCGACACCTTGAGAAGTAATCATTAGGCATTGTCACGTAAGGAAGATTGACTGAGGATGAGACCTACCTTGAACAGTGCCATGGACTTTAAACGCAATCTGGAAAGAGTTAGCGAGATCATCGATAGTTTGGACGTGGGACACGGAGATTAAAGAGTGTATATACCCTCTGAGCTGTCATGATTATTTTTTGGTATATTGGTTGTTGGTAGGAGTAGTAAGAGGGGCGTTGTTATCATGGTCCCGTCAGCGGGCCTGTGTCCCGAAAATAGTCTAGTGTGGCTAAGGATGAGGTCAAGGTCCACTGCGGGGTTGCAAGCGAACTGCATATAAGCCCTGCTGCGACCTTGGATCCCTTCTTTCTTTTCTTCTTGTATCCGAATGATCAAAATTTGCCCATTATCTGCTTTCCACTGCGGTCCTTGGACTTCTGATCAAGCCCCCTGCGTTAGCTAACGACAAGATCACCGCTATATCCTGCTTTTATCGAATAAAGCATCCCAAAAATTATGTTCGATCAGAGGCAGATTTTTGGCGGTCTTTTTCTAAGCAGCAAAAGGGAGTGAGAGTTGCGTGTGCAAAAAGACTCCAGCATTACCTGAGAAGTCTGCCAGCGGCGGATTCGAACCTGCATCTCCCCTGTAGGCGGCACATGGTCAGAGGTGTGTTAGCCCATTACACCACGCCGGCTTAGTTGCAAATATACCCTTTTCACAGAATGAAATAGTGCTCTCTCGAAGGAAAAAATGCCTGTTCTCTGTAAAAGGCGAAGAAATATTAGTTATTTGACCTTCGAAAGCCAATCCCTTGACCAGTAGGGGCATGTACGCCTACTTTCTGTATTCAAACAACCATTGTGGAGGGGGTGTTGCTCCATATCTTCAGTCAAACCCATTCCCGTATCACAGCTCCTCAGTACGTCTTCCCTATAGTAAGCTCAACCCCAACGATCCAACCAGACTCCCAAGTCTCAAACTGTCAGTCTATCACCGATCTATACAAATTGAGTGCGGCTCTTTGGTATAGTGCTGCTCGGGCCGCTGCTTGGCGCTTCATGGTGGGTCAGTGGAGTCATGCTGTGTGACAGTGGAGCCGCCACTATGATGGCCGCAGTTTGCCAGTTATCCATCATGAGTCTTGAGTCTTCATAGGTGCGCCGAGGCCAGATGGTTTCAAAGAATATTTAGCAGAAGACCCTGCATCTACCGAGTACTCAGAGCCATGGAGCAGACGTAGAAGTCTAGAAGCAATGGTGCGATGGTCGCATATATAGCAGAGCCAGCGCTGCATGCGACCCTACAAGAAAGAGTTGACAATGTAGAAGCCCGAAGTGCTTTTTGATTGCGAGGCCGGTAATATGTTATCCAGATCTATAAGAGTACCTATGCTATCTACCAGATGGTATGTGTACCTGGCTTCTATGATTGGCGACTACGAGATAATCGAATGTATGTATAGCTCCCAATAAAGCGAGCCTTTCGCGCTTCCAAGGTTGACGAATCCGGCGTTCCATGGATATCGACGGCTTCAGTGAGCGTCCTATTTGGCCCTCCTCCGAACAATTGCAACGATCAATAATTTGCTGGTCGTCAGAACAGGCATTCATTCTAATTAGTCTGCCTCAACGTTGGCGCGGGTCAAAGTGTCTTAAGCATATCAAAGAGCTCCGGCATTCCTTGCGCTGATCATCTCATGGTAAAGGAGGGTTCTTGTCCACGTTTATGCGAAACCCACCTATAGTCTCCCGCAGTCCATTGCATCTTCGATTCCCAAGTCTGCCGCCTGCGGGTACCCAATGTGCTAGCAGCGGCGCGAGAAATCAGTAGAGCGCCGTGTTGTCCTGTAGTTTGACTGGCTGTCAGTTGGAGATGGCATTGGCAAGAGCGGGGGATGGGGTAGGTTTGTATCAGGCCTGAGAGATTGTATTAGGATGAGGGGTTCGGCTTTGGCAGTAAGCTCTAATCCGATTCCTGGGAATAGTCTCCAGTCTATCCGATCGCCGGCAGGAGGAGGTCAGAGCCAAGCATTCTGAAAGGACCGTGGCCTGGGTGAGAGCGCACAAGACTGACAAGGAGCGAGGGCTTGCTGCAAGACATAGCATCAGTGACCCTGAAGTTGGCAATGAAGTCTTTTCCATAAGTCTGGCAACCGATACCATAGCGTCACTAATTCTTGGTCAATACAAGAAGAGGGCTCATGTCGCCATTTGTGATTTTCAATCTCTTGCTCTGACCTGCAGATGATCTTAGTCCCCACAAAATGTGGTAAATGCGTCGGTAAAGAGGCGATGCGGTGGATGAAGACAACAAATGGCGTCATAACTACCAGAGAGGCGTCAATAAACGTCCTGATCTCCATAAATAAGTAGAATCGAAGAGTAACGTTCCAAAGTCATCAAGCGTGCCTTTGATGGGACATCGTGGTTTGTTGTAATGTGTAAACGCTGAGTGGGCCTTTCGGGCTTCGCCCCTGATCCTCATTTCTTTGATCTCTCAATCTCTCCGCAATCATTGTCCATCAGCTCTCCCGCCTGGCTGTCCCCGACCAAGATATGCTGGTGCTAAGATGATTCTTTCATTACTCTCCTGGTTCCGGCGGCTCTACTCGCTCGATACTTTGGACACGCGATTCACCGTTCCCGCCAACGTCCCGGTCAAACTCGCTGCCGAAGACACGCGATCCGGCTCTGCGAAGGATGCCCGCTCCAATGCCGTCGCCAACAGCGCATCTCCTTCTAGATGGGGTACTCTTGAATACTACGTCTACTACTTGATTTTTCTCGTGGCCGTTCCGTTGATGTTCAAAACCGTGGTTGATGTCTCTCAAGGTCAGCCTGTCTGGACTTGTTGTGAAGAACCGAGCTGATACCATGGCCTTAGAATCACATCCCACTTACTCCACCTACTCTCACCTTCTGTCTCCAGGTTGGATTCCTGGACGAAAAGTCGTAAGTTCTGCCTAATAGTTACAAATACGGACTTAGACTGACACAGTCTGTTCGCGCAGGACAACTCCGACGCGCAATATTCGGGCTTTCGTGATAACATCCCCTACCTCCTCGTTCTTCTAGTCGCTCATCCTTCTCTTCGGCGCATTTATGAATACTTTACTCGTGCCTCCAATGCTTCCGCTACTAACAATGCTACATCCATCGCCGCCGCGGGAGACGCTCGCGCTGCCCGACGTATACGGTTCGACTACTGCTTCGCTCTGGTGTTCATAATAGCTCTCCATGGAATATCGGCCATCAAGGTCTTGATTATTCTCTACTTGAACTACAAGATTGCGAAATGCCTTCCGCGGAAGTATGTTCCAGTGGCTACCTGGAGCTTCAGCATAGGGACCCTGTTTGCCAATGAGTTTTGCGGCGGATATCCATTGGCGCGTGTTATCGGTTTTTGGACGGCGGCTGCCGATGGGCCGGGTCAGAAGTCAGCTCTTATGGAATGGGCGAAGCACTTGGACAGTTATGGCGGTCTAATGCCACGATGGGAGGTCCTGTTCAAGATCACTATCCTACGCTTGATCAGTTTCAACATGGACTACTATTGGAGTCTGGACTCTCCTGGTAGCAGCCCAATTGAAGTAAGTCTTGTCAACATGCGCAATACAACCCCTTCTGACGACCATAAGAAGAAACAACTCGATCCGACATCGCTTTCGGAGCGTGACCGCGTCAAAATTCCCGCCGAACAATCTGCGTTCAACGGCCGGAACTACCTCGCCTACATCCTCTATTCTCCTCTATACCTGACCGGACCCATTGTGACCTTCAACGACTACATATCCCAGCAGAGATACGCACCCCAATCGCTGACGAAAACCCGCACAATCCTCTACGGAACTCGCTTCTTCCTAACCCTGCTTTCAATGGAGCTGATCCTGCACTTCATTTATGCAGTAGCAATCATCAACGCATCGCCGGATTGGTCGCTTTACACCCCTGCCCAACTTAGCATGCTCGCCTTCTTCAACCTGCACATCGTCTGGCTCAAACTCCTCATCCCTTGGCGCTTCTTTCGCCTCTGGGCCCTACTCGACGGCATCGATCCGCCCGAGAACATGGTTCGCTGCGTCTCAAACAACTACTCCGCCTTCGCGTTCTGGCGCGGCTGGCACCGCTCTCTCAACCGCTGGGTCGTCCGCTATCTCTACGTTCCCTTGGGCGGCGGTAGCAACCGCTCAGCCACAACCCCAGCGGCATCAACAAGCGGTACCAAGCCAGCATCGTCGCCCCTCTATGCCAAAGCCCGCCAAATTTTCAACTTCCTCGCCGTCTTCACCTTCATTGCCCTCTGGCACGATATTAACCTCCGCCTCCTGATGTGGGGGTGGCTCATCACCCTCTTCGTCCTGCCTGAGGCCATCGGCACCCTGCTCTTCCCACCCAGCCGATGGCGCTCTCGCCCGAACGCTTATCGTGTTATCTGCGGTATTGGAGCAGTTGGCAATGTGCTCATGATGATGATTGCGAATCTAGTTGGATTTGTACTTGGCTTGGATGGCATCAAGGGCCTGCTATCGGAGTTATTGGGGAGCTACGCTGGGCTTGTATATCTGGTTTCGGCTTGCTGTGCGCTGTTTGTTGGTGTGCAGGTGATGTTTGAGATTCGAGAGGAGGAATTACGGGCAGGGATACGCATGAAGTGCTGATCTCTGTCCTATGTGAAGGTGTGGGTGTTTTTGTTCGATATACATATAATATAATATACAGATTAAGATCAATTGGTCGCTAGCTAAACTGCTAAATGTCGGGTATATTCATTATTTAACATTCTAGAAGAATGCCCCGCACCTCGAATCCTCATGCGTCTTATAACACTCAATCCCACAAGTCCGCTGATGACAATTCCGACACCGGATCTTGCCCCAGTACCCGCATATACAGCAGAACCGCCGCGGAGCCTTCCCCGTTAAAGGCGGGCCCGCGCGCGACGCGTTATATGATAGCGGAGGTTCGGATAGGAGGGCGCGCATGAGGCGTTCTGAGGGAGCGGGCGGGATGTATGATTTCAGGAGTGGATCATTGTCGTGTTCGGATTTGATGAGAGCGTTCGGGTCGTGCTCTTCTCCTTTGGGCCGAGGTTGAGGCTGAGACTGAGAGTCGGCGTCGGCGGATGTGGATGTGGATGTGGATGTGGATGCGGTGGTATCGGATGGTTTCTGAGAGGATAATCGAACAGGGATATCTTTTTTCGCACGGGAATCTGGTTTCGGCGTCGCAGAAGCAGGCGTTGCACTCCGCCGCGATAATGAAGAAGGCTTCGTGACTCTACCCGCAGGCAACCGCTGCGCTGCCATCGACGTCCCCGCGGACGCAGCCTGTGCCAACGCCGCCTCCTCATCATCAAGATAATTCCGGAACGTCTTCTGCGACTGTAGAATGCGGCGGACGTTCGACGTTACTTTCGTTCTTGTCCCGCGCGTCGCACTCTCCCTAGGCTGGGAATCCTTCCTCGCGGGAATGGCAATGGCCGCATCCTTGTGGTTCTCTCGGTCGAGTTCTGCCAAGTGTCGTACGATCGCGTTCGCCTGGCGAGAGGACACGTCCGTTCGCGATGGGTCGCGGATCCCGCGCTTGCGGCCGGTTGTAGGTGCGATGGCGGCTTTTGCTGGGTCGAAGCCTTTATCGGGGACGTAGGTCCAGCCTGGCGTGGCGTGGGAGCCCTTGCCGGATGTGTTGGGGAGGACTTCGACGTGGTACATTGTAGGTTTCGCGTCTAGGTAATTGGGAGAGAGGTAGAGTGTATGGGCGAGGCTATTGAGAGGTCATGATATTTGATCGGGGTTCCTGCTTGGATTGGAAATGGAAGGGCTCAAATTGTTATCGATAGGTAATACGTAGGTATAAAATGGAGGTGGGTGTTTGCTTAGTTTGCAGGTACTCAGATTGACGTGCATTGTACACCAGCCTTACTAAGCTATCCATCGGTTTATGAAACAAGTGTACTCCAGTGTGCTCGACGAATAGATGAGCAGGTATTTGATATTATTGTACACGACTCATTTGCTGAGTGGGTTCAAAGATCCGTTACTCCCGTGAGCGGGTCTCAGGAGCAGAGTAAGTGCGATTATACGAAATAGAGAAGCACTCGACACGACAGCAATGAAAGGCAATGCATGTAGGAAGAAGACTCAACTCCATCGAATAAAGAGGAATGGGACGATAAATACAGTGCAAATAATCAACCGATGAGGGATATGAGGCGAAAGTCACTCATTTCTTCTTGTGCAATTGGTCGACCCGTGCTTCCAGCTCCGAGATATAAGTCTGGAGCTTCTGGGTCGCGCATTGTAGAGCCTGCGACAGTTAGCCCTGCATTGTGCTTGGAGTGAAAGAAAAGCAACGAGATGGCATGTGGAGATAGGGGCATACGTTGATATCTTCAGTAAGCATGTTGTTCGATATCCTGTATTCGCCGAGGATATAGTAGTAGACGACAGCACCGGCAGCAACGGAACCGGTAAGGAAGCCAAACAAACTGACAGCCGGTATTAGTATGAAGAAGAAAATAGATGCACAGTGTAAGCAGTCAGTAGGATATGTATTACCCTCCGCGAAAGGCTCCAACGGGCTTCCTGGCTGGCAGAGGAGGCGTAGAGGCGGTATTCTTCATCAAGGGAGTGTTGGAGAAGCATCTCCGCGTTGACGCGACTCCTGGCGCCGTGATGATGGACCGTAGTCCGGGGATTACCCGCCGGGCGCTGACAGACATTGTTCAGTACCTTCTTCACGAGAGATTATATTTGAGGAAGACGTGAGTCGCAAGAAATGGTGGACGTTGGAGCTCGGCTGCTGGAGAAGAGTGACGTTGTTGGTCCCCGTTTTGAGCGGGAGGAGCTGGGGCGGAGCGACCAATCAGACGATGGCCTTCTATACAACACCACCAGCTCCCTTCCCAGGTTCTACACAAATGAGTCTCAAGAGAAGGATACATAGTATCTTGAATTTAGTGGATAGTATACATATACCGATAGCAATAATGAATGCATGCTTAGTTAGCCATAGTACTCTCGTTGAACAAATCTGCCAGCAGATCATCACGGCACGCTTCCAAGTTCGGGCTGCTGATGCTGTAGGTGCTTTCAAACGCATGAATGCTAAGTTGGTCAAAGAATGGTCGGAGAGCACGATCCACAATCTCGTCCTTGGCTGTGTCGCGTATCCAGTCCGCCGTTAGTCCCGGATGCCGTATGCCATGGTGGAGGCTGGACGCTTGCCGAGCTGGATCGGACGACGTAGACCATCGGACGCCCAGATTGTGAGATACTTCATCTGCAAGTGCTGTGGGTTCGAATTGCTCTGGGGGATATATGGCGTCAACAGTATCAGTTACATAAAGCCATTCAAGAAGCTGGAAGTCGTCGGGCGCGAGAACGAGCAAGGTGTCCAGAAGCTTGCAGGCCTGGAGCAAAGAGTACGAATTGTATAGCTCTTGCTGGCTTCCTGCCGAGATTGCGGAGATAGCTTCTTGGAGCTCACTGTTTATCAACGGCCAAAATGGGCTCAGTACAGTCGCTGTGCTCTTCAAGGTGAGCGCTCGAAGAACCATGAAGATTTCTGCTCTTGTCGCGGATGATGGGGATGACGAAGCGGTAGCCCCAAGAAGATCCTCCAATTTTTGCAGCAGCGCCGGCATCTCTGCGATGAAATAGTCCTCGGCTGCAGACAGTACCAGCAGACTTATCCGGCGGAGATTCAATTGAGCTTTACGATCAGCATCCAGACGAGCAGCAGAGGCCCCAACGCCGAACATTATGCCGGCTGTAGCTGGTGGTGTGAGGCGGGTCATTATCTCTGACAATCGGTCTTTGTCGACCAAGACCCATTGCCGCAGGAGGGCCATCCAGCCGCTTTTTACAAGGTCCAGCTGCGACCCGAAGAAACGGGGATCGTTGAAGGCTTCAGCCACATCCTTTTTCCAGACCTTCGCCGCCTGTGGAATCTTTGAAACATGCTGCAGCAAAGTCATAAAGCTGTGATTGAGATTATTGGGGAAAAGTCGAGCACGCATAAGTGGCCCGATAACGTTAGTTGATATACCCGATACGGCGGTGGTGATTCGGTCCATGTCGCCCAATGTTGTTGAAAATGCGGGCATAGATGCAGCGAGGATACTCAACATGTCATCCGGTCCGATGCGCGATGCAGATGAATTGTCGCAATCCAATGAGCCCCGACCTAGAAGTCCTTGCTCCTGCGGAAATCCCATAGGTTTGGTTGTAAATATCGCGGTCAGAAGGCGTAAAAGCACATCCTAAGGTTTATTAGTCTATAGTCATGTGTCAATAGGTTAGAAACTTACACCCAGTTCCTTTCTCATCCTGCGATCTTCGCCAAAGTTCGTGTTCTCTAACTTTGCACCCAGAATGGCAGCGAATTCGACTAGCCGTGGGAGAATCTGCCTATGAGGGAAAGGATTGTTTAACACATCCCGAAGGAAAGTTGTGCAATCTAGCCATATCTCATCGAGCACATCGTCGTCAAGAGATTTAGCGTAAGTCACCAAGAACCCTGCCAACTCAGACTCTGTCAAGGTGGTCGTCATGGTCGACTTGCGGCTAGGATCAAGCGCAGCTGGGTTTGTTCGCGTATAGATAGCATTGAAGATAGCGGGGATAGCAATCTTCGGGCGAGAGCCATCCAAAGTGTGAAGCAGATTGAAGATCAGAGGCGATGCGTCGCCGTCAGACTTTATCCACATATCTACCATTGTCTCCAGACATTCCAGTGCCTCGGCAGTGAACAGATGCTCTAGGATTCGACGAGACCTGTTCCGCATTCGCAGTGACGTATATCGAAACGATGCTATCGACTCTGCATCTTGAGAAGGGCTGCTTCGCTCCGCGGCACCCCACGACCAGATAGAGAAACAAAGACGCACGGCATCTTGGAATGATAGCAGGACAGTGAGTCTATTGTTCATTGCAGCAGAGCGCGGATGACTGGAATCGGACGCAAAAACGCCAGATACCATATTTCCAAAGAAGCCATGGGTTTGATCTGGACTTTTCACTGCGGGGGTGTTTGCTTCCTCTATGAGAAGGCGCTCGTGAGCAGCTGCAATACACGTTTCAAAACCAGTGAGCAGTGATATGGTGATCTGCTCCGAGCGATCTTCAGGCCAGCCCTCGTTTTGTTTGAATGCGGACTGGAGGTTAGCGTATGACTGTTTAATCTCTTTGCCCAAGCAATCCACCAAAGTCAGAAGAATCTGAAATATAGACCCTGAATAGATTGGAAGAATTTCACAGAGAAGCATGGTCCATTTATCGATGATGGCTTTCGAGTTCGGGGAGCTGAGACCTTTAAGCAGACAATCTAGCAGGCGTTGAGGAGGCTCGGGCGACGGCGGCAACATGGGTGATTTTTCTGGCTTGTCGCTTGTGAAGGACAAAAGAGACGGGCTGGTCAGTTTCTCACGAGAACCTCCTCTCTGGTGTTTAGGTTTCGGAGGGGGCGGCGGGAAGTAAGCTTGGTTGAAGCGAGTCTTTAGGACCGCCAGAAGAGTGTCAATCAACGCTGCTTGAATTGCAACATCACCGCCCTGGTTTAGCGTGAGTAGAAGTCGATCAACAAGGAGCGAATCAATTCCGGATTCGACTAGCTCTTCGACACCAGGTCCTAGCAGGAGTTGACGCATGACTACCAGAGATATCTGTTGCAATCTGACCTCATCCGCGTCCGCGGTTGCAGTATCGGATTTATAGCCGCTGACAACCTTCAAAGATGCTTGAAATATGATAGAGTGGAGACTAGGGGCTTCAGCACTGTCTAGATACAAAATAACAGGTTAGATATTACGTCTCAATGCCTTTGGATCGACTAACCCTCTGAAGCAGAGGCATCTCGCCGCCTGCTATTTTGCGCCATAGTTTGTGTAAGAAGCGCAACCCACCCATTATGAGTAAGAGCTCCCAGAGCGTTGTGAATTGTCTCTAAAAGGTAGTTGCACTCAGCATAGTCGTCCGGTGATACAACAGTATTGCCCTCGAAGGTCCCTAGTTGGTTTCCGCGCTGCAAGGCGCTCTCAAGTTTTGAGATAACGATACGAAACACCCTAGATTAGGTTTGATCAATCAGTAATGATAGCACGTCTTATAGGGTCCAAAAGCTCACTTGGCTACCGATGGAAGATCTTGAAGCCACGCCTGAACGACCTGGGCGGGTTGCGTTGACACTTGAGACAACAGATCCAGAACGGTGAAAAGCGGCCGTTCAAGCATTGAAGAATGATAAGAAGTTTGCGATCGAGCAGAGTCATGGAGATGCTTTGGAGGTAACTCATATGTACCATGATGACTGTGGTTCCAAAGAGTAAAGTATCTTCCCGCCTCTTCCTCGGAAGATAGTTGGTATGACCCAGGCGCTTGTGAAGTAAACAATAAGGATGTAATGGCTGATTCGACTAAGTGGTCAGACCACGAGACTGAGTGCAGGTTCCATAGGCAGCGAACGGCCTCAACATGGAACTTCGGGCTCAATGGTGAGAGGAATTGCCACAAGTGGTTGACAAGCGATGGGATCAAGTCAGCGACCTCCTCGTAGCTAATATAGTAGCCCAATTTGTGAATGCAGTATAGGCTTGTTATTGTGGACGACATGGAAGATATATGAGAGAATGAAGCCGTTGATGGCTCGACCGTGGTCGACTGGATCCGGTTGCTGATGGCTAGGTAGAGTCTCTTGTCCCGCAAGATACGCGACCTCGGAAGCTTCTTCAGCACCACGATCAAAAGATGAAGTCTTTCTGATAAGGATATAGTGTTATCCCGTGCCTCAACAGCGGATATGGCCTGTTCGTAAACATTCTTGATGATCAGATCCGCTAGGTCTCTAGGCGGAAAAGGAGGCGGCTGCGGGTCGAGGCTGTTTCTGCTTTGATCATAGAACTGATGTATAGTTCCTAGGATCGCAGGCCCTGGACGGTCGAGCATCGAGTGTCCATTCATTGAATTCTTGGATTCTGGTCTTCGGAGAAAGGCGCGATCGATGAGTAGTCCTGTCAAAGAAGTTATCACCTTCAACATATTCGTCGTCACTGTCCGTAGTTGATCATGGGCCACCGAGGCAGTAGAGAACTCGCTCATTTTGATCAAGGCGGCCAAGATCAGCAACGGGGCATGATTCAAGACCATGTCTTCCTCATGAACATTGAAGTGGTTCAGGATAAAATGGGCTAGATTCAAGTTGTCCAGTATTCGAGGACTATCACTAGCAAGGCTATTCGAGTCCCAATCGATCAGGTTGAGAAGTTCTGAGAATATCATGCCACTTTCCACTCCATCAAAAAAAGACGTAGCGCTTCGAAATACCTCGTCAAAATGAGGCCTATCTGCCGTCTGCTCGTAAGCTTGAATGCTTCGAATGAACGGTAGAAAAACCGCCGGTACAACATGGCCGCCAACCTCCCATCGGTCCATGAGCGAAAGGGTTATCCGAAAAGGCCTTGCCTTCTCCGACGGCATGCTAGCATCCCGCTTAAGCATTTGGAGCAAGCCTTTCACCAATGGTTGCAATCCAAACCGACTGAAATATTGGCTTTGGGAAAGCTCCTGGCTTTCAGCGGGAGTTTTCGATGATCCGCTAGATGTTGAAGGGCGTGCCTCAAAAGAAGCACGGTCACCGACAGGATCCGGTCCCAGAAGCCAAGCCCAAAGTCTCCTGTTTAAACTCATGTCTCGGCGAGCAACAACACCCGCTGCCGCTACGAGAAGCCGTTGAAGGTCGTCTTCAGTTATTCGGGATTGCAAGATAGGTGAACTTAGGGGGAGATGCGTGACAAGCAAGTCAAGAAAGTTCCGCTGAACCAATACTTGTTCATCGGTAAGACCTGTTGCGAAGCACCGAATAAGCAACCCGGGTTCGGGGAGAATGACCGAGTCCACTGCCACCAGCATCTCACGGGACATTGTGCTGCCGTCTGCTTCCTCTTGCCTACTCGGTCTCCGGTCAGTGATGCCCAGTTTAGGGAGATAACGGTTCAAGTAAGCCAGTATACCGAGCCGCCTGCTCGGGCTTGTAATCGAGGCGAGGAAAAAGCATTGCCAGAAATATTGGCCGCTTGAATTTGTTTCCGCCCCCGGTCGTTGCGTGTCCATTCGACTGGCAATTTCACGGAGAGTATTGATCAAGCGCAGTGTAGGGTCGAAGTCATCACTCGTTTCCTCCTCAAGTCCTGGCAGTAACGACAGAATGATCGCCTTCAGAGCTGGCCGGATCGCCCATGGTTCCAGATCGCACACGTATGTTTCCACCAAAGACAGGAAGAGCGGGCGCACGGTAAGGGAGGCGAAGGTCAGGGTCGGAGCAATGCCCGGGTAGTATAAAGGTAGGTCGTGCGAGAGGCCTTCCGGCTTGATTAGATTAAAGATGTAGGTATAGACTTCGAGCGCCTTCTGGTGAACTCCTGAGGGTAGGGATGGGTTCATAGACTGGGATAACCGCTTGGCGACAAGTACCTTATGCGGAACGACAGGTAGATCTGGAGGATGTGTCTGGAGGGCTTTGAGGAGCCTGCTGAGAAACGAGATATAGTCGGCCCATTCCTGGAGAGTGTTGTCGAAGAGCGACAGGGCACGTTCAACGCTGGACGCATATCGGCGATAGTTCTTGTCCTTTTTCAAAGAACCTGAGGAAACTATATATGTTAGACCCCAAGTATCTAGAGCGCAGGGCTGCTATGTGGATCTCAGACCTTCTTTCCCCCGTAGCCGGGAGCGCGTCAGAGAGCTGTCCGAGCTTGCGGGGGAATTGGACCTTGGGAACGAGCTCGGATCAAGGCTCATGGTGCGGTTGTCGGTTGATTGGAGACGCAGAGACCTGTAAAGCGCGCTGCATCATAGTTTATGCATGCAGGTTAAACTGAGAAAAATATTGCATCGGAGAAAACACCATGGTCGAGTTGAATGCAGGTGAAGCCACGCAGCCGAATCAGGCAGCCGGAGCAAGTTGCTTGTTTGTCCGCCTTCTCCGCCCCAGCATGACGGAGCGTTGATCAACCACACCTCCGCAAGGGACCTGCTACTCATCCGGCATCACAATGGTCGACTCATCTGCGCCTATTTTCGGTGTCTACTGCATATCTGCGGCTAGGATGTTACTACACTGAGTCGATCAACCTCCGCAACTACGCCAGTTCCGCCGTCGGAGCATCCCCAATGCGCCCGGTTAGCTAGCATGGAGTCGAGAGACAGCAATCCCTCGAAAACCTCATCAAGCGATGGCGACGCGAACGCCCGCTTGACCGATGACCATGGCTCCTCGTCAAAGCTACCCACTCGTCAGAGCCCCGACCACAATTCAAGCTTCGAAAGCCCTCCGCCGTTACCCCCGCGCCCGGGGACGCTGAGCTTGTTAGAAGATGGAGGAGCAGCTCCAGGGACACCGCGATTGAATGCCTCAGCAGCGCATCCAGGCCTGCAATCTAGAGCTACTACGGCTGTGTCTCTGGCGGAGATTTCCCAGAGTGATAAAGGAAAGGAGGCTTTACCTGTTCGCTCGCTTCCCGGGACCATTCGCGCAAAGGCTAGCCTGAGCCACTTAGCAACTCCGAGGGGTGGAAGCGATACTGGTGACAGCGCGAGCGTTACAAGTTATGCCCCATATTCCGAATCGGGGGATGTGGAAAATATATTTGGCTCCCTCGCGTCCTCGGAGTTGGAAACGGGTCAAGAAAGTACTGGCTTGATGCAATTTCCAGAGTTCCAGGCCGACGATATGCAGGATGATTTCGAAAGTGAACTTGAGCCGGTCGGAGAGATCAATGAGGGAGGGGAGAACGAAGGTACTGTGCCTTGCTCACCCATCCATATCACCTCTATTTTTGACTAATCCGCTGCTAGATCTAGTACTCGCCAATTGGAAGGCGAAGCGGAAACACTATATAATCCTCTCGGCTGCCGGAAAGCCGATTTGGACAAGACATGGTGATGGTGGACTTATTTCTACCTATGTTGGCATTATCCAAACGATCATTTCTTCCTACGAGGAGTCCAAGGATCACTTGAAGGGCTTCACTGCTGGCGACACCAAGTTTACAGTACTTGCCCAAGGGCCCTTATACTTAGTTGCTATTAGTCGGATCCTCGAAAGTGATACGCAGCTCAAGCTTCAGCTCGAGGCGTTGTATATGCAGATACTATCCACGTTAACGCTCCCAGCACTGACCCACCTTTTCTCCGTACGACCATCGACCGACTTGAAGCGTCCCCTACAAGGGTCCGAGACCCTTCTCTCCACCTTAGCAGACAGCTTCACAAAAGGGTCGCCGTCCACACTACTCTCAGCCCTTGAGTGCTTGAAGATCCGCAAATCACACCGTCAAATCATCAACAACACCCTTTTGAAAACGAAAGTCAACAAGCTTCTATACGGGCTCGTTGTAGCAGGCGGTCGACTTGTAAGTGTTGTCAGGCCAAAGAAGCACTCGCTGCATCCGGGCGATCTCCAGCTTTTATTCAACATGATTTTCGAGGCGGAAGCCGTCAAGGCTGGCGGCGGCGAAAGCTGGATCCCTGTGTGCCTTCCTGGGTTCAACAGCAGCGGATACCTGTACATGTATGTCAGTTTTCTTGACATCAGAGAGAACGCCGATACTGCGGCCGAGAATACAGCGACTACGGAGGATTCTGTCGCGATCATCTTGATAAGCACGGATAAAGAAAGCTTCTTCGAGATGCAATCCATGAGAAACACCTTTGTTGAGGCACGTACCATAACCATTACCCTAAAAATACCTTCACTGACCCTCATAACCAGCAAATGGAAAAGAACGGCAGCATTAAGATTATCAAAGAAGCCATCCACAAGGGCCGACCCAGCACAACTGATATAGTCCCCGGCTCCGTCCTACACCACTTTGTATATAAATCCCGCGCGAACGTCCAGTTCACCATGTCCTCCTACGAACCTGAGTTCTCATCTATCCCCCGGCGTCGAAGGTATTCATGCCGATGCCCGTTGATTAATGATCATCGACTAATGTCCTTACTCGCAGACTAATATCAACCTACAATAATCTCCACGCGAGCGTTCATGCGAAACACACCCACGTCAAGGTCCACCACTGCATCACTCAATCTTCAAGCTCCTTTGCGTGGATAACGCCGGTATTTGAGCTCTACTGTGTGGCTGGGCCACATGCAAATCGGAATGCGCTGGCGCAGAGTGCCAGTAAGATTGTGCAATGGGTGCAGAAGGAAGAAGAACGATTGTTTATCATTGGTGGCGCGGTGAGTTAACTTCTAGCCTCTTTCGCAATATGCACTAGCTAATTTGCTCTAGGTTTTCTGAGCTTACCTTAGCTCCGTAATGATCAGATCTGATATATTTATTTCTGATCTATACTGCCCTAGGTACCCTATAGAATATACATGAGCACGCACTTAGTGTCAGTACCCCTTCAGCAATCACCGGATGGCATAATCTCTAAGCAAGCGTGAAAAAGTACGTACAAGGAAGGTACGGCCAATCAAATCGGAAGGTGCAACTGGTTGCCCAGGTGCAAGTGACGTCGGTCGCGCCTGCCCTATGACTTCGATACGTATCCTCGGAAGGTGCGAGCAATTGAAGAGGAAGGAACGACTGGCCCATCGCACCTGCCTTGTTGTCTTGTCTCTATTCTAGGAAGGTGCTACCTGAACAGGAAAGAGCAATGCCCGGCCGGGGGGCTTTTGCTGCATAGCCACCTCGCTATCGCACGAGGCATTCACAGACTCCCTATCTAGCCCAGAAAAGAATCTAATCTATGGTATCATCCCTCAAAGCAAAAAGCTGTTGGAATAGCTCATCCGTCTTGCTCCGAATCGCATTGTGGTACATCACATTCGTGATGAACTGTTTGGTCCCCTTGATCTTGGCGGCGGTGTTTTGCGCGTGGTCGTAGTGCACGTACATATCCTCCACGTACGTCGCCGCGTACACAGGGACCTCGTTCTTCGCTAGCTGTGCCTCGTCGTAGAGAGCAGGCCAATCGGTTGTCGAGGCGAGGATATCCGCTGCTTCTTTGATCTGGTTCAGTTCGGTGTAGGAGTCAAACATGTCTTTGTAGATCTATTGTCCGTTAGTTCGGGGCCTTTTGATCCGCTCTTGCACAAGGAGCCCGGAGATGGATACGTACCATCTCCCCTGTGAAAAGTATCTCCGGTGCGGTCGTGTCGATGTTGAACATGGAGTTCGAGGACCGGAGTCTGTCCGCAGACCAGTTGGAGGCCTCTCTGTTCACCATTAGCGTTTTGGGTACAAATGGTGAGGGGCAGTCAGAGGTTTCTTACCCTTGGCAGTAGATGGACTCATGGAGAATAGCATAGATGACGTTGCTATCGTAGCCACCGAAGCTGTCGATGGTGACCAGGGTCGGATGAGTGAGGAAACCGAAGACTTCCAGATCGTTGGCGGCACGCAGTATAAGATCTACTTAGTTCAGTAAAGAGCTCTTTGTCAATCCCATCGAAGCACAATGAGTTTACCATGAACGCTATCAAGTCCACCTGCATCATGTTAGCCGCCAATCCTGCAATAAAACGACAATGATATACCATGCATGCCAAACATAATACCCAGTTGCTGGATGCGTTCAGGAATGAGCGTCCCAGATGGTACGCTGACCTTGTTCTGACTCAGGTATTCAACGATCTTTTTCACTCGTTCCACGTCTTCAGGAAACTTGGCATAGTACGCCTGGTTTCGCTCGATCACCTTTTCTACTATGTATTAGCATCAACGCTAGGGAATAAAGGTTAGCAAGCGCACCGTATGTACGTGAGTAAACGGGATCCGGTCCATTGACAAGGGGTGGAAGCCCGCCGCAAATGAATGCTTCAGCCAGCCCTTCTGGGCTATCCAATGGTTACCAATATCAGTTACAGATTTATCTTGAGATTAGAGTTCATACTTACTGCAAAGAAAGATATGTCACGGCGCAGAATCCACCAAAGCTCTGACCGATGATGCTCCATTTCTGTTTCTCCTCGGGGTAGTCAGTGGTCAGGCAGCGACGGACAGCCTCGCAATCTTTCACGATGCTGTCGGCCCGGAATTGCTTTAGATACTCGGCCTGTTTGATGGCATTGCCCTGCAAGGCCAGAGTGCTTGCTGTGATTGTCGAACTGAGGCCAGTTCCACGCTGATCGAGGAACAGAACCTGTCCATGACCTTGGGTCAGAGATTCTATTCGAAATATCATGATTTTCAGATGCAAAAGGGACAGGGATGTAGCAGACCTGATATCCTTTGTCGAGTGCTGTCCCAACCCAGCCGTACTCCTGCGGCGGACGGCAGCCCATCCCTGGGCCGCCCTGGAGATAGACAAGCCAGGGAAGTGGTGACTGTCTCTCATCTTTTCCAGTGTCAACTGGCCTCGAGGCGCGTCGGACACTGCGGGCAAATAGTCGCAGAGTCCCATCTCCTGGTCGGCTGTAGTTGATAGGGACCTCGAAGAACAGCTCCGCGACAAGCAGCCTTCCTGAACGAGGCGCGTTAACAAGAACCCTACAGCGACTGAGGAATAGCCTGCTGCTCGCAGAGCTTACCCGGAATGTTATGCACAGCTTTATCGATGAGTTTGGCGGCCATGGTGGGGTTTGCGTCTGGTAGGTGGGAGGGTAAGTGCGCTCTTTGCTCTTTGACTCCAATTTCTCGAGGTTCAGGCGCCCGCCAAACGGGTCGTTTCCCACAACTTCCACTCTACAACATCCATGTCCACAACAATGAACGTTGATATCAAGGCCAGCGCCAGAGAGCATGGCCAGCTCCAGCGAGAGCTCTGGGAGATCGCCCAAAGTGAAAAGGCGACAGTACTGCCTGATGCTTCAAGCCTAGCAAAAGCACGAGCGTCTCTCCCTCAATCACTTGCTGACGACGGGATCGGATATGAGTCTACAAGACGCCATATCCTCGACGACCTTGTGCCCGCTTTCAACATGAGCAGCATTAGCCCACGCTACTACGGATTTGTTACTGGCGGCGTCACGCCCGCTGCCCTATTTGCGGATGGAATCGTGTCTGCCTACGATCAGAATGTTCAAGTCCATCTTCCTCAGCACACTGTGGCAACGGACGTCGAGCACACAGCCTTAGGTCTTCTCGTTGATCTGCTTCGCTTACCTCGCGACTGGCACAATGGCACTTTCAGTACCGGGGCAACTGCGAGCAACGTCCTAGGGTTGGCGTGTGGAAGGGAATATGTCATACGCGCGGCTATGCGCAGAATAGGAATGACCGAGGTCCAGAGCGTTGGAGAGATCGGGCTGTTCAATGCTATGCACACGGCAGGGCTCTCAGGGCTACAAATCCTCACAACAATGCCGCATTCATCTCTTCTCAAGGCGGCAGGGGTCTTGGGTATCGGTCGCTTCAATGTTGCATATGTCGCTAAGGATGACGATTACCTTCAATTCGATATGACCAAGCTGGAATCCAAGCTACGCGACCCATACAAGGCTACCATTGTCGCTGTGTCCTGTGGTGAAGTCAACACTGGACACTTCGCCACCGGCGGGCTGGATGAAATGCAGCAGCTGCGCCAGCTCTGTGACAAGTATGGCGCCTGGCTGCATGTGGATGGTGCATTTGGGATATTTGGCCGCGTCCTCCCAGACAGCCCTGAATACGCTGTCGTCAGAAAAGGGTGCGAAGGAATTGAACTAGCAGACTCCATAGCGGGAGATGGCCACAAGATGCTCAACGTGCCATACGATTGTGGCTTCTTTCTTTGCCGGCACAAAGGCGAAGCCAACTATGTTTTCAAAAACCCCAACGCGGCCTACCTGACTGGCAGTTCTAGCGACGCGGATATGATACCCTCTCCCTTGAACATTGGCCTGGAGAACTCCCGGCGATTCCGCGCTTTACCTGTCTACGCTAGTCTTCTGGCATACGGAAGTAAGGGGTATCAGGCGATAGTCGAGGAGCAGGTCCGGTTAGCCAGGAAAATTGCCGAGTGGCTATACGATCACCCCGAGTACAACGTGCTGCCGGAAGCCGGAAGCAAGCAAGAGCTACTTGAGAAGACATATATGGTCGTTTTGCTTAGTGCCAAGGACGATAAGTTGAACAATCAGCTTGCGGCGAAGATTGATGAGACTCGCAAGATCTACGTCTCTGGCTCCTCCTGGCAGAATAGACCGGCTTGTCGAATCGCCATTTCGAACTGGAGAGTTCAGGCTGATAGGGACTTTGCTGTTGTGAAGGAAGTTCTAGATAGTGTTGCTGAGAACGGGGTTTAATGTCTGCTGATGTCGGAGTTTCAGGGACAGAGGCACTCAGCCCATATAAACTTATATACTTGTATCTTTAATGTTTAATATCACATTGATATTGAGAGAGCCAATTTCAATATCACCTCCGCCTCCCAGCACCTCCGGCATTCTCGCCCCTGTCAGCAATACTGACAACCTCCCCAATGCCTGCGGCCTCCTGCTCATCTTCCAAGGCCATAATCTCCTCTCTGCTATCCCACCACTTCTCCTCCGCCATATTGAACGCATCTTTGCGGAGCTCCTTGATATTCTTATCCACAGCCGCGCCCCTCTCATTCAACGTATCAAGCAGTATTTTCTGCCACTCCTCCGACGTCCGGCTAAAGAACTCACGCAGACTCTCGAATGGACGCGGAAGAGGCCTGCTATCCTGAACAGATGGCTCAGCACCTTGATCAGCACCTTGCTCCTCAACGTCAAGCTGTTCCAGGTCCTTGGTCACAGATGGTACAGTGGCCTCTGTACTCTCGGTAGGCGCAGCAGAGGCCGTGTCAAGGGACATGGCATCCTCGTCTTCATCGTCATCCTCCTCGCCCTCCTCTTCCTCCTCCTCATCCATCTCGTCATCACTATCCGCCTCATTAAGCAGATGCCAGTTGCCGGGCTCATTGTAGAAGATCTCCTTGACGCCGTCCATCTTGCCCAGGTCAATTGAGTACAAGTCGTTGAACGTGAACTCGCGGTCTCCCTTCTCATACGTCCCGCTAAAGACGAAGAGCGTGTCTTCCTGCACCGCTAGTTGCGCATTGAAGCGCATGTGCGGCATCTCGAAGCGTACGATAGCCGGCTTCTCCGGCTCCACGGGCTCGTCCTCTTGTTTGGGTAGGATATCATCGTCGGAATCATCTCCGTCCGTGCGGATTCCCTTTCTGGCTTCTAATGCCTTGAGATTCTGCAGCAGCTCTTCCTCGTCTGCTTTTCCTCTGTTCCGGGACTTTGCTTGGTTCTGCTGGCTCTTGCCCGTATTCTTAGGCCGGCGCAGCGTAAGAGGGAAAAATCGATTCCTATCCGTATTCCATGCAAACAGCGTATTGAAGAACTCGCTGTCGATCCCCTCCTCGCTCAACTCGACATCGTGGACACCACCAAACAGAATACCGCGGCCCTTGTGATACGCCATCGTCGCACCGGCCCTCGCCGGGTTCGGCGCGTTTGCAGGCTTCTTACGGCGCTCCCAGCGGACTGACGGTGGCGAGTTCGAGGGTGCTTCTGGTGCGGGCGGCGTTATGCGCAGGAACCACGTATCTTGATGCACCATGGGCTTCATGGTCATGCGCTGTGGCCCACCCTTCGTTGGCTTGCCACCGGCTCCTGCGGTCACTTTGACGCGCGAGTACCCGCCATACAGAACGGCTCCGGATTCGTGGGGAAGGAACGAGAAGGAGGACCTGGGATCGGGCTTTTGGGACGCGGTTGACAGCTGCGGGTTGTACCAGGTGTATTTGGAGGTGTCGTAGATCCAGAGGTCTTGGAGGTACTTTGTTTGCTGGGACGTGTCTTGAAAGCCGCCGAAGAGGATGATGTAGTTCTAAAGATTATGAACACCAAGATAGAAGGGTTGAAGACTGGGTAGAATACCTTGTAGTATGTCATTCTGTGCCCACTCCTTGCGGGAGGGCCCTTGCCTTTCGTCTCAAGGCGCGTCCACTCTCTTGTCGCCGGATCAAGGTGCCAGAAATCATTGTAGTGGTAGAAAGTCCCCTGTTTCGGTGACGAGAACTCGCCACCGAATAGATAGACACCACCTGTGTTCCCTCCACGGCACCAAGCATGCCCACTGCGAGGCAGTGGACTGTTGGGACTCGTAACCTCGCGCCATTCGCCTCTATCAATGAGGTAGACGTATAGGTTGTTAAAGAATGTCGCCAGCGTGCCATCAAAGTACTCCCCACCATATATAAGCAGCTCGTTCCTGTTAGATGGCGACGCGAGCACAGTAGCAGAAGATCGAGGGGTTGGTGGCTCAGAGACAACCTCGGTGACCTTCAGGAATCGGGCCTGCTCCTCTGCGTATTGGGCGAGAATGGCGTCGAGATCAGCGTCTTCGGCGTCACTGTCTGCATCCTTGCCCTTGGACTTGTGCTTCTTGTCCTTTTTGTCCGCCTTTTTTGATTGCTTGGCCGCTACACGCTCCTTGTGCTCGGCGGACTTCTTGTTCTTTTTACCCATGGCGCAGGCTTGTATACTAGAGCTTGTTAGCGATTGGGATTCTTTGGCAGCAAATGGCGGGGCTCCAGAGTAGTCAGAGTAGTTATTCTACTTACTACTATCGGCTAGAACGTAGTATGGGACAGGTACAGTCAAGTATAAAAATGTCGGCGGGGCGAGAAAAAAATGTTAATCCCCCGCATTTTCTGATACACTGGTATTATATCGGTATCGCAGTTACATAATGAATTGCAGGGCATCAACCATATAATGCTACTTAGCATGCCCATCGTTTGGGGATCCGGATGGATGATATGTATTTTGCATAATTTGCAATATCAATGTACTGAAGTATAAATACAATTTGAAGTGCCCAGAAAATACTTGAGACGGCCCCTCTCTTGTATGATCCCAAATATATACTTCGAAATCGGATCCTACGCTTGCTGTACCTAGCAGAACAATAAAAAAAGTCTTCTACTCTAAGAAATATATACGTATACACAATATATCACAAATCACCTCCTGTTATCCATCATCAACTGATCACACGCAGATAACCTGCAAGTTATTTATACCTTCTGAAACTTAACGTGCCTCATCCCCAACCGATCCAACGGCGCAACCATCTTCTCCCGAATGGGTCCAATCTTAGTCTTGAACCCGTCCGTGTCTCTCGCCTGCTGATGCTGCTCGGTACTATCCCAGCCCAGAACAAGGAAATGCAAGAAAGCCTGACCAGACTCGCTCTTGCTGTGCTCAAACTCCCCAGGCCTCTCAACCTGCCCTAACAGGAATGACTTAGGGCGCACATTCTCCTCGGCGTCTTCAGCAAGGGTCTTGCGGAAGGTTGTGAGGTCTGCGATTAAGGAGGAGCGGTCGGATGACGAGAGCGAGGTTGGAAAGGGGAGGGGCGCGAGCTCGGTGATAGGGTTCGAGACAAGCGCGGATGTTACTGGGGTGTCGTCGGAGTCGGGGGGCGTGAGGGTTGTGTAGAGCGTTGTTATTTGGGTGTTTTCGGCGATGTAGGGGTCCAGAGGCGAGTTGGTTTGTTGGATTCCGCTGTGGGCATCGGACCAGTCTGTTGACTTGTTAGTATCTTGCTCCCGGCAGTCCTCGGATTGGTGTTGGTTTGCGTCGCAGGCGAAAAGGACTAGGTGATGTGGTTTGTATAAGAAGCTGGACTAACCAATTGCCCAAACGATAACGTTCTCATCCTCCTTTGTACGACCCCATGCTGAGCCAAGGTGTCCACTTTGTTGTGTTGTAGCTTTGAAGAGCTGAGCAAGGGCAGCGCCCTCCTCGTTAGAGGGATCCTCGGGCTTCATGGAGCTCTTGGGCTGGAAGTATATGAATTCTGTGACGTGAGGCATTTTGAGTTGAGTTTGGGTCTGAATAAATTCCTTCCGCTTGGTTCCGAAATAAGTGATCTGCGATGTATATCTTGTGGAAATGCGAAGGATGGAGAACAAAAGCTGTTGTCTTAAGAGGAAAACAGGCGTGGGGTTGGAGCTGATGTCATCGGCCGTGGTGATGTCAAACTGTCATACAGAGTGGACCTCTCAACAAGGTAGCTCTAGGTGGAAGCTGGGGGGTAGATGGAATAAAGAAATGCCTAATTATGCGCGACAGGATACATATAGTCTGTTCGATCGACCCATGAAGAGCGCTTTTCAAATAGTACAACAGAAAAACAGCATGCTACGAGACAACACCACCAAGATCACCACCACGACAGACGACTTTTGTGTCGAGAACACAGATAGCCAAGCTCCTGAAAGACAAACCAAGTATGAAAACATACGCAAGCCGCATGACTTAGATACGGTGCTTTTCGCTTTCTGTAATACAGTTAGACATGCGGAGATGATATGCAGTAGTAGAAGCGGAAACTAACCAAGTCTTGAGTAGAGCATGTACAACGCCATTTGGTTGCATTCCTGAGTACCAGTAATGGTGACCAGACGCTCGTTGCTGTTCTCTTGGGGCTCATTGATCTTGATGACACTGCCACTGAGGTGTCGAATCTCGTTGATCTTAGCACCTCCCTTTCCGATAATAGCTCCAACCATATCGTTAGGGATATAGATTTGCTGAGTTAATGGCTGGCCAGGCATAGCTCCGCCAACGGGAGCTGCAGGGGTCGGGCCACCACGCTGCTGAGGTGCTTGAGGCGCGCCATAAGGCGTAGGCTGGTGGGGACCAGCCCCAGCATAAGGAGTTTGAGGAGCGCCGTAGTGCATAGACTGCTGGGCCACAGGGGCAGGTGCGTGCTGTCCGTGGAGGTAGGGTACGCCATAGGCTCCAGCTCCGGCCCGGTTTTGGTTGGGATGGTGTCGCTTAAAGGTATCCGGGTGACCGTACTGGCCGCCGGCGGGCTGGGGAACATAGGGTACAACTTGCATACCGCCCGGAACGGCTCCAGCAGGACCGCCGCTGCGGGTGGCATACGCAGAGGCTGCAGGTCCTCCGAAGCGCTCTGTAAGCTGCTCAACAAGGGTCACAGCAACATAGTAGGTCGCGATGTGGACTGCATCAGCGACACCAAGAATAACAAGAGATCGCTCAGTCGAGAGGGGAAGGCAAGCATCCGAAGCGTTAAGACGAGCTCCAGAAGCGTCCTGAATCTCGCGGATACGGGTACCACCTTTGCCAATGATAGAGCCAATGAGGATGTGGGGAATCAACAAGCGCAAGGGGTAGGTCTTGGATTGAGCAGTGGAAGCAGCATCAAGTGGTTCGTTGTTCAATGTACGGATGATTAGACCAAAGGCCTATCAACCAGTCAGTGATACAGCTCAGGGGCGGGGGGGGGGGAGATCCGCAAGTTAGACAAACCTTTGCAACGGCATCTTGCGGGCCGCTGACTGTCAAGATACGCTCAACCGCACCGCGAGAGTAGTCGCTAACAGTGCATTTGGCGCCCGACAAACGGCGGATTTGAGATACATTCTCTCCGCCCTTACCAATGACGGTGGCAGCCTCTTGGCTGGAAATTACAGCACGAATGTGAATCCAGTTAGACTCATCCTGCGGCCGCTGCTGCTCCTGGTTTCCAGCTGATTCACCGTGAGAAGCAGTCGACTGAATCGGCTGTGTCTCACTGACACCTCCCTTAGGGGCATCCGGAACAACAGTATCACCCTGACCATCAGCATCATTTGTGGTACCAGGCTCGGTCTTCACTTCTGCATTGCTCTCGGACTCCTCTCCTTTTACTACTTTGTCCAAAGCTGGACGCTTGGCCTCAGGCTGGTCGGTCGGACCGGACGGTGAAGAAGGATCCTCGAGAGGACGCTTGGTCGATTGTAAAGCGGACGGGGACGCGGACATTATGTCAGATGTGCAGCTTTCGCTTACTCAAGAGAGTCGAAGTGGAAGAATATCTGTCTTGTCTTGCTTTATTTTGATCGACTATGTACACCAGAAATTCCCAGAAAAGTGCTGGTGCGGCGGATCGATTGGGTAGGGAATCTGGTGATGAGGAACGAGAAGGATTGGTGTGTGATCGTGCACAGTGTAGGAAGTGAGGCGGGAGAAAGAGAATCGACGTAGGTGAAAGTGCTGTGGAGTGACGAGCGCTGAGAAGCTTCGCCAGGCAAAGCAGGGCTGGGATAGGATGAGACAAGAGGAAACGACCTGAATCTGATCGGATGTGCTCGTGTTGGGCGATAAGGTAGGAGGTAGATTTGCAAGGGCCGGGCGTGCTGGGAGCTGACGGTGCAGAGCGCGGGGAAGAGGAGTGATTAGAGTAAGAAAAGAGACTCCAAGAAATGGAACGACTGCTGAAGCTCGTTCTATCCTTATCCCTCCTGATTTACTGAGACGCTTCCGTTTGTGCTGGTGTACAACACAAATATCGCAATAAGGCCTTGCAGAGCCAGAAATACCCGAGGGGAGTGTGACTTGACGCAGTAAATCAACCAGAGCAGCAGGTCAGCACGTCGACGATAACAAAGACAAGGGTAGCGAAAACAAGAAGCTTGAGAACGGAAAGAGGTGTCAGGAGGTGGTGTCGATTCGCGGTGAAGAGGTGAGGTTGAGAGTGAGGCGATCACTGGCTCCACGCTAGTCCTCTCCGGTCAAGCTGAGTCACGTGTATACCATACATCCCGCGTGGAAGAGCAGACGCGTCCAGACAACACCAGGCCTGGATACTCCAAGATTAATCACAACATGGAGGTTTCTCAAAAGCGCGTGGATAAGGTTCAGGCCTTTGTCGAAGACCGTCAAAAGGCCGAAAAATTCTACGACGAGCAACGAGCAAGCCCATCTGATATCCAAACGTACGAGAGGAAGCTTGATAACACGCTCAAGGAGCTCCAAGAACGAGTCAGACAGCAGGAAGAAGATCTGCGCAAGGTTCGTTGACATCAGTTAGTTTGCATACCTAAGGAGAAGCTAATACGACACAGCTTCGCGCCGCCAATGCAAATGATATCTCCGACATAGGCACTGACCCAGCATCGCGCATTGCTCAAATACGACGTGCCAAAAAGGCTTACGACTCACTCCTGAAATCGGACACCAGCCTACCAGAACCGGAATCGCCCCTACCGTCCCTTATCGCGCTTGACGAGACATCGCGCATCATAACCGAAAGCAAGGACTCTGTCTCTGCAACAGCGGAGAAACTTGCGAGCGCGCGGCAACGTCTAAAGATAGAGGAAACAAACTTACGCGATGCGCAATCGATAAGGGACGGGTTACGGAAACGTATAGACAACATACGGAAAGACAAATCAGCGAGCCGTGAGAAATTACCTTCGGAGGTTGCGCGCGAATTGCTGGAACAGCAGCGGCGGAAGAAAGACAATCTGGACGAAGATACGGCCCAAATCAGAGCGGTGCTACATAAATTCTGCGATGAAGTTCTCGCTTCAATGATAGCAGCTGAAGACTTGGGAGGCCCGGCAGTTGGAGATGTCGCTGAAGTTTCGGATGTTACGTTGGCGGCCGGGTACACACGCCATGGTAAACCGAAGAAGCCAAAAGCCGTGGAGGAGGACAACCAAGAGAATAACCAGCACCGGATTGATGATATGCTTCGCCGCCAGACCGGCCAGTCAAGCAATCAGCCGTCAAGTAGGAGAGAGACGGCAGCGACTGAGGTACATGAACTGCTCGACTCTCTGCTAGGCGCAGGTTCGTCCTATCTTGATATACAAAACGAGTCTGCAGCGTCCAGGTTTCTGGTGAGGGCCAAGGTTGCTCAATTCCACCCACGCGATGCGAGGCGATTAAGGTTGATTGATTTCGGCCGTTCATTAAATGACTGAATCGCAAAGATATGGGCGAGTTTACGCTAATCTCCCTGGATCGCCAGTGAAATCCTCCGAAAATATCTAAGATTAGCACTCCGTATATATGACTTCAAACAACCTGGAACGCCCTTATATACCTGAATGGATATCATGTTTATAAACGAGTTCAAAGCCAGAGCAAAACGCCTAAACATGCAATGCCGCCAATAACAAGAATTGGGGCTGTTCATCCGGAGTGTGTCATCAAACTTGTCATAACAAACATTGTAGTCAAAAGCAAAAGCAGGCAAGTCTCAAATCGGCATCATAGCTATCTGGCTCGTGGGCGGTTTTTGTTTCCCCTTTGTTTCGTTTCGCGCGTAGGAGCGGCCTTGCGAACGACTGCCATTCGTCTTGGGCTTGCGCGTAGCTTTTGCCCTTGGTTTTGCGTCGCCGCTCTTCCGGCGCGGAGGGCGTTTGTTAGTAGCCTTCCGTTTCTGTGCCCTTGAATTGCCCGCTTTTGGTGAGGGGCGATACTCATCCCCTGAGTCGTCGTCAAAGGGTTGCTGGGATCTTGAGAAATATTGACTTGTAACAACTCTGTCATCGGGCTGCAGCGCACTGTCGTGATCCATGAAGACGTCGGCAGCATCACTGAATTCGTCGTCGCTACTAACGTTGACGACGTTGTGATGATTTGGATCAGGAACAACGCCATCGGCATCAGCGCCTTCCTGCTTGAGATCGGCCAAACGTTGCTGAGTGTCCCTGATCAATTTGAGTATCTTGCCGCCATATCGGTGAACTCTGTCCGGGTCTATGTTAGGTATTTGGAGCATTTCCTGTTTGTCTGTTCGGTGTCAACATCGGCCCCGAGTTCATTTCATTTTGGTAGACCACAGCAGTCTCTTACCTTTTGGGAAGACCATAACCATTTCCCGAAGTATTGTATCGCTGAAAGGTTGGTTCCTAAGCCCTCTGAGCATAACCACCTAGCACAGATGTTAGCAACAGCTGACAGGTGCATGGTATAGGGGACGCCGTACTTCCTGGCAGTAGTGTTTGGCGTAGACCATGAAATCTTCTGCAACAGCTCTGTGAAGATGATCCAGTTGGTCAAATCGGTCGTCCTGAGTGATGGGTGGCCCAGGAAGGTTCTTTCCCTTCCGCTCTTTTCTACCAGCAACGCGAATTTTCTCGAATCCATCGCTATCCGTATCGGTATCGGACTCGTTGGCTGCAGAATTAGCGTACCGATAACGATCCAACCGACGCCGGTTTGCTGACTGGACCGGTGACGAGACGTTGGTGGATTGAGGTAAATGGTTTCTCCCGGTATCGTTGCCGTCGAGTGAAACTCGGACATCAAGCCTGAGACGCCGTCGGCCGCTCTCAAAGTCAGATGCGCGAGGTCCCAGTTTGAGGTACTGAACGGGAAAGCCACGCTTGTTCACTACATTTTCTTCTTTCAATGCTCTCTCGCCCAATAGTTTGTGGAAAAGCCGTTCTGCGTCCCCTAATTTGATGTCCGCTCCATCGCCAAAGCAGGGCGCCTCCCTATGATCAGGAGACCTGAATGTCTTGGTGGTTCCGCGGAAAATGTTCACGCAATAGCTGGGTGTGACGTTTTCCTTCCGCTCTTGAAAGTATCGAGCAATCGTGACTGCTGCCGAGGCGAGCTGAGAAAAATCTCGCACCTCAACGGTATCCTCTGATCTGCAATTGTCACAAGAAGCGTTGCAATCCTGGCGCTTGAACGATTCGCTGAAATATGCCAGGATTTGAACTCTTCTGCAATCATTCCCGTTTTCGCAGTATTTCTCGACTTGACTGAGCATCCTGAGCTGCCGGCCTTTTTGTTCGTCACTGGCGTCATCGCTTTTCTCGATCATGCCTTTCATAGTGGTAACATCTCGACGGGCGTAGAAAAGGTAGCAGCCAGAGCGCCTACCATCACGTCCAGCGCGTCCAGTTTCCTGGTAGTACCCTTCCAGGCTCTTGGGAACGCTGTGATGTATAACGAACCTCACATCTGGCTTATCGATTCCCATACCAAAAGCAATCGTTGCGACTATGACATGTACCTCCCCAGCTTGCCAGCGTTGCTGAGTCTTTGCGCGTGTTTCTGCATTTAAGCCTGCATGGTAATGGTCGGCTTTGATGCGGTGGTTCTTTCGAAGGGCTTCCGCAACTTCCTCACAGGTCTTCCGTGATAGGCAGTAAACGATACCGCATTTGTTCCGGTAGGAAGTATTGATGATTTCTGCAATGTTCTCTAGAAGTACCGCGTTCTTTCCTTTGTGGCGTACCTCATACGTCAGGTTCGGCCTGTTGAAGCTTTGAGTAAATACGTCGCAACCATGCATTTTGAGGTTGTGTATCACATCAACCTTGACGTTTTCCGTTGCTGTCGCGGTCAGCGCCATTAGTGGAACACCAGGTATCCTTGCCCGAAAAGCACCGATCTCTTTATAGTCCGGACGGAAATCATGACCCCATTGACTGACACAGTGGGCCTCGTCAATGACAATGCGCGCGAGCTTCTGGTTGCCACAGAGCCCTTCCATGCGATCAGTTAGGGCCTGGCTTTTGCCGATCATTTCCGGTGTGATGTAGAGAACCTCGATGTGCGTTTCGGGGCTTCGGCTGGATAATATGCTCATGATCCATTGACGTTCCGTCGACGGCGTGTCACCATTGACCAAGTACGCTTTGATTTTATTTTGACGCAAGTGGGCCACCTGGTCCTGCATCAAACTAAGAAGTGGCGAAACAACAATGGTAACGCCCCTGGTTGAGCCGCTGGAGATAACAGAGGGTAGCTGGTAGCATAGAGACTTCCCTCCTCCTGTAGGCATTAGCACAAACGTGTCTTTTCCACTCAAAGTTGAGTCGATTGCTTCGAGCTGATTGGGGCGGAACCCCCTGAGGTGAAACCTCTCTTTCAGAGCATTCTTCACGTCCTTTGTCCATGGGTGCTGACCCCAAAGTGTACCAAGAGTTTGCGATTTCTGCGTTGCGGGAAGCCTGCATGCATTTCCTGAGGTTTCAGCAAACACTGGACGATTATAAGGTTCATGCTTATCTGTCGAGAAAGACTGGTCTTCCTCGAAATTGTCTGCGGCTTCTAGGATATCCTCATCAAAGCCTTCCATATCGAAGTCGTCAAAATCTTCTTCCGGAGGGAATGGAGAGCCCATGGTTCTGGTAAAGGTCGTCTCACCATCGCTCATCATTGGATCATTGTGATTGAATCGGTTGGCGTTTGGGCTCTTGGAGCGACTAGTAAAGGAATCTGTTCCGTACTTTGAGGTACTCAGACGAGGTTCCTTCGCATCGTAAGCCGGTTTGAAGGAAGTACTACCTGCGACAGGGCTCTTGTCAAAACCCCTGTCCTCAAGTCCGTCAAGATTGCCAGAAACTGTTCGTAAGGAATGCAATGGCTCCAATTCTGATGCTCTGGTTTTCAGAGTATATTTCTCAAGGGTGGAGAATAAATCAGCATCTCGCAGCAGATCACGCATATCAGCCTCCATATCCTTTATCTGCGTCGTGATTTTTTTTTGCTGTTCAACTTTCGACAGCACGTTGGACGTTCCCTGGTTTAGAGCATGCATGATATCATCTCTGAGAGATTTCGACTCGGCTTCTCGGTGTAGATATGCAGACCTTTTTGTAGTCAAGACCTCAAGAGCCGTTTTTTGCCTGTGATGAATTGCGTTCTCCGATATTAGCGCGTGTATTTCAGGACTTGATTGGCCATTCAGCATCGCTTCGTAAATGATATCCGAGTTCTTTCGAACAGTGTCGTTCAAGCATGTGAGCAACCGCTCCAGCAAAGCTGCAGGGATTTGCAAGAATCTTTCAACATCCGAGTCTCTCGACGCAGACTCTGGATTAGCAGAGTTTGACGACAGAGATGGAAGCGCGCGTGGGCTTTGAGGGTTTGTATTGCCTTTACGTAGAGGAGTAGGCCGGGTAATCTCCGGGATATCTATGGAGTCCGGAGAAATAGGCTCTCTTCGCTTCGGCGAGTGGATGAGTTTGGGGGTGTTGGAATGCTTGTCAGAAGGCAGGACAGGATACAAAGATTTGCTGGTCGTTCGAGGCAAGGGTTGCGTTGTCTCGATAATGCTTTCAAACAAGCTTTCAACGTCGTCGTCGGAATCAGGGATAGCTGTAGCTCTGTCCGCACCTTTCGAGGATGACGATTCCTGCTTCTTAGGTCTCGATGGCGGAGGTTCATCTCTAGAAGTACGTTGAGAAGCGTGCGTTGACATGAAACGGTCAGACTGCGATGTCGTACTGAAAACATGAGGCGACCGAGCTTTGCGACTAGATGCTCTCGGAGACACAAGGTCAGACGCGTACTCGTCACTTTTCCTCTTCTTTCCTCGCTTGTCCGTAGGCTCCTTTCTAGAGGCAGCGTCCTCGGACCAAAGCCGGCGTGGCTCACCAAACTCCTCTCTAATATCGGACGATAGCGCATTGAGGTCGAAATCGTTGGTCAGATCGATTGTGTCAATATCTTGTAATGAATGTATTGAAGACGGTACGTTCAGCTGCCGCTTCGATTGTACCGGTGTTGATATTTGCCCTTTACGATCTCGAAATGAAGATAATGAACTCGGAGGTTCTTGGTAGTAAAGGTATCAGTACGACGCCAGACACTTCTGCATTTTGGTGGGGAAGCAGTCCTACCTTTGAACGGTTTATTCCGGGGAGTCTCGGTTGTTTCTCGTTTCGCAGACGAACTCCGGGAGCCCTTTCGAGCGGAACTAGGAGGCTCCTTGGTGCTGAGCATCCGTGGCTTGCTCGTCGAGGACGGAGGACCTAGCATTAGGCGCGCCATATTTTCTTCGTCCGAATCTAATTCAATCACATCGTCCAAGGGGATATCGACTGTCGATGCAGGGGGCGGCTGTGATTCCTCGATGCTGAGGTCTTCGGTCTGACTCGCGATGAGGTTTAATGTTGCGCCCGAAGTGCTATGAGAGTCGATCGGATTGACATGCGACTCCCACGCGGGCGGCGTCAGAACTGGATATAGTGTCCTGCCTTGATCCAACAGCCATTTGAGATGTGTCTTCAAATTGCTTCTAGTCATAGAGACGTATATTATTGCGCATTGTTCCTTCAAGAGAACTGTAACGGGGCACTCGTACTGGTGTTCACTGGGCAAAATCGTCTTCCGGTCCGGAGCAATCAATAATAATGGTTGCTTAGCACGCGTCTCCATAGTGAAACGCGCGATCACGTGTATCGTGGGGCTACCTTTAAGCATTGATGCCCGATTCTTTAGGCGCCGAAGATTACTATGAACCATTCTCACGAAACTACTGAAAGGTATTATTTGTCAGTTCCTGGCTTCTTTTCAATCTGCGGCTTTGTTGGAGGCATACATGAAACAGTTGTTCGTTCGATTGATACGTCTACTGGGTATGGTCGTGTTGGCCGTCGTGGATCAGGGCAAAGGCGGCGGAAGTATATAAATGAATAGTAGCAAACAAAAGAACCCAGAAGATGAGAACTTGTCCGAGGATCTAAGGAAATGCTGAAGCCAATGGGCCATTAAGTTTCAAGACGTGTACTTGATTGTTTTATTTGCCGATTAACGGCAAGCCAACTCACGCCAAGTTCAAAGCAAAAGAGACAAGATCTATGTACAGTACAAAAGCAACACTGCCATCCCCAATTGCTCCATGCCGTGACTCGTCGGTCTTATCAATCGTCGCAATAATATTAATAACATCCCAGTAAGCATGCAATAGACGACCCGTGTGGCTCTATAGATCATCCACACTCCGGACGTTCGTTTTCTTCTCCTCAATAGCTTTCCTGAGGCTTCCCATAAGATGCTGCTTGCGCTGCATTTTTGCCCTCCATTGCGCGATCTCCCTCTTGTTACCCACATCGCTGACCATTTCCACGAGACGAAGTCTGCTTGCTTTTGCCGAGCCATTTATGCTTGAACGAAAGTTGACGCCCCTGGAGCTGGAGTCAGGCGTGTGGTATAAGCTGACAGGGTCATCGCGAGATCCTGGAGTAACTGGAAGTTTGCTCAGGCCCTTTCTTGGTGTCGCGAAGGGAGATCCCTCTCGGCTTGAGGGAGCAGCCGATGTATCAAAGCCTAGCTTTTTCATTTGGACTTCTAACACATCAATATCACCGCTCTTGCTTTCGACCATGTTCATCATCTTCGCGATTGTTGATGTAACATTCTCAACTGTGGGACGTCTAGTGGTCAACCGCGACCCATCGACGCGGGGAGCATCGGCAATCTTAGCTCGCAGTAGAGATACCGCAGACTCCAGATCTGCCAATTTCGTTTGGATATCGGCGGATGATGTTCGTAGATCTTGTTGGAGGTTGGCCTGCTCGGCCGAAAGGGGCGCGGAAACTATTGCTGCAGCATCGGTGTACGCATCAAGAGTTTTTCTGATACTGGCACACTGACTACGAAGCGTGAGAATGTCGTTACTCAGCAATTCTCGGCAAGCCTCGAGCTTATCTTCAACCCCTTGTACTCGGTTCTCTTCCAGAAACCCCGCAAGAGTGCTGACCGTGGAATCCAGGTCCTCGATTTGCCGGAGAAAGAGTTTCTCGTCTAGAATATCGGTTGGGCTATCGCTTTTTAGAACGCTAACCCAATCGGAGTCAGTTGAGCCTTGTTGGTACAGGAGGAAAGATGATAGAGAGCGTGCATTGATCCCCAGAGTGTCCACCATAGAGTTGATATCGCGGTAAAGCCTCTCAATTTGGCCAGGGATGCCGGGTTTCGTGGTTTCGCCCGTGTAATCCTGGTGAGGCAGGAATGGATCTAGGGTAGGTACGGGTTCCAGAGGCCGGTTGAGATCCGCACGAAGTCGCTCGTCTTCATCATCCGATAAAGCTTCTTCTTCCGCCTCGGCTGGTTGAGGTTCCCGAGTACGGCGCCCCGGTTTTCGTTGCTCTTCGCGCTTGGCTAGTTCAGAGAGAGAGGCTTTCCGGGCAGCGAGAGCATCTCCTGGTTTGTGAGGAGCACTGACAGACCGGAGATTTTCAAGGTTCGGAAGGCCTTTTCGGTTGCGCGGAGGGCGGACGGGACTAGGGGACCTAGGAGGTTCGGCTGCCTTGGGAAACAAAGGCTTGCTTATTTCCCCAAAGAGCTGACGTGATTTGTTATTGCCAAAGATCCCACCAGCTGGACTTTCATCCGTCTGTTTGTCATCAAAAGAGCTCTCTGGTGATGATTCAACGCTTGGTGCATTGACTTCGTGCGTAATATCTTCACCGCTGTCTTCAAACTCAGAGTCATCATCAGGGGGACCTCTTTCTGATTCAGCTGCGTCTGAACCTGCGTCCGAATCAGCGTCTGAACCTGCATCTAGGCCTGGTTCTGAGCCTGCGTCCGATTCGTCCGGAACAGATGGAGGCCCTTTTGCGAAAGGCTTAATTGGCTTCGTAAAATCGGGAGGCAACGGTGCTTCTTCCGCTGCCCCTTCGTCCTCTGGTTCCTCTTTCTTCGGCTTTATGGTGAAGTCAGGAGGCAGAGGTTTCTCACTTTCGGGTTCCGGAGACTTCCGCGACGTCGTAAAGTCCGGTGGTAGAGGTGCATCATCCACAGAACTTTTAGAGACATTTGAAGACGCCGATGTATCACCTGGTCCATACACGGCCTTGCTTGTAGAGTCAGGAGGAAGGGGCGGCTCCGGTTCTGGTGACTTGGCTTTAGTGAAAGGTGAACTAGCAAGTGCAGTCTTCTCCGAGGGAGCCGACGAAGGGCTAGGTGCTTCGTTTTTGGTGTTATTACTGCCCAGCACTGAGAATGGAGACTTGCTCGTTTGCGCTGAGCCGAAAGGCGACTGGGTTTGCGACTGAGACCCGAGAGATCCGAACATTGATAACTCGGTGGTCTGCTTCGAAGGAGCGCCAAAAATGGATGTTGCTGGTTGCCTTGACTCCGGAAGGTTCTGAGTGGGAGCTCTCGAGTCCTCAATGTCATCCATGGCTTCTGTGGGGGGACTAGTTTTGTTAGGTGTGGAAACCATCTCATCGAAAGATGAGCCGAATGAGAACAATCCAGAAGGCTTGTCTGGTTTTGGGGCATCATTGACCGCAGTGCCATCTCCCTTGAAAGTTGATCCGACGGCAAACCCGGTGGTCCCTAAGCCGAAACCTCCCTTGGACTCCTCCGTCTTTTGAGACCCGAACGCTGTGGTTTCCGACTGGGCACCAAATGCGGAGGTTCCAGAAGACTTCCCGAAAGGGTTTTCCGTAGGCAATTTGCCAAACGGTGACCCTTCAGAGGGTTTCGACGTAGCGAGACTGGCAAAACCACTCCCGCCGTTTGCATTCGCGAACGAGCCAAAGCCACCGCCTGTCGGTGCACCAGATGACCCGAAAAGAGACTTTCCAGGTGTTGACGGTTGCCCAAAGCCGGATTGACCGAATTGCGGCGCATTTGAGCCCAATGCAGCGGGCGTACCAAAGGCCGGTGCACCAAAAGAAGACTGTCCAAATGTAGATTGCTGTGGCTTTCCTAGAGCCGACGGACTACCGAACGAAGGTACCGCAGATGGCTTCCCGAAGCCCGAGGAGCCAAAAGTAGATAGTGCAGCCGGGCTGCCGAAGGACGACTGCTCAAAAGCCGACTGCGCCGCGGGCTGCGGTTGTGTTGCTTGTGGTTGTAGTGCAGGCGGTAGTTGCGTTTTGGCAGAAGCTAAACCATCGTACGGTATTTTTTGCCGGATTGAGTCGTTGTAAATGAACCACCAAGAGCATAATATACCCTCGTGATTCAAAAGGAGGAGATTGGGCAACGGGGTCGAACTCTCAGCGATGTCCTCTCCGTATATCGGGGCTATGACGACTTCCGAACTGGAAAGGTCGAGTCCTAACCCTATCACAGAGGTTTCATCGATCGAGTCCTTCAAAGGAACAGAGGCCTTTTTTGAGTCATCGTTCACTTCGGTCGTAGCAAATTGCCCCACGATAGATTTAGCAGTATCATCACTTGCTAGCGCTTGAGAGGACCTAGTAATCAGTCCGACATCTGCAGAGGCTGTAGAAGACACAATTAGAGCGTCGGTCAGATGGGGCTTGTAGCCTCGGATCCGAGCGATGAACTGGTAAGCCGGTGCGCGTTTATAACCAAAAGGACTAGCCAATTCAGGCAGCCTTTGTGCCAGGAAGGATTGTTGCTTTCGTCTGGTGATGATATAGTACGATGATGAGGGTGTCATCCCCATATCATCTTCTGCAACATTCGGAGTATACACCATTAAGAAGATATCGTTCTCAAGCCACGCGATGGAAGATACTAATCAGAATTAGCTGGGCAGAATACAATCTTATCCAACGAAGACATACCGTGGCAAGGATCTGTTAGGTCGGAAGGTCTGGGGATGATGTCCTTCTGCGTGCCTTCCGGCGTCATCTGATAACCAGTTCCGTCCACCAGACCAGCTACAAGTTGTTTTCCTTTGTTACTCCAGCAAACAGAGCTGACATCAGTCTTCAAAATGTTCCCGCTGGGCCCCGCGACAAGATTGCCGGCCTTGAGGTCTGCAATCAAGAGCTCGCCAGCAACTGTAACCAAAGCAACTAGTGATGAATGGGAATCCCCTGCTTGTGCTGGGTTAGGCGCGACAGTTCGGAAAGTGGCGCCGTTGGTAGGAATGGATATGGCGGGCTGCGCATTGGGCTGAAGTAGGCTGCCTGTCTCAAAAACCGAGAGCTGAGATCCATTCTCAGTAGCAAGCACCAGCGCGGTGTCATCAGAGGCAAAGGCGATATGTGTAGGTCGTCCGGGGAGCGAGATAGTTGCCTGCGGTTGAAACGGCTTTGTCTTGACCTTCTCCTTCCCATCTTTCGAGGATATTGCCGCTCTAATGGATTCGGTGGTCGCAATTGACAAGGAATTGGGGCTCGCACCGACCGCGATGCCTTTGGTGGCCGCGACGGCGAGTAAAGTGGAGGACGGGGCTGGAAGCGCGTCGGCAGGCCAGGGTGTAGAAAGGAATTGGATGTCGCTGTCGCCGGAAACACCTTTGAAACCGACCTCCTAAGCCGAGTGTTAGCAGTCATACCGGTGGATTGATCGACTATACACGGGCACTCAGCGCTTACCTCCGCATAGAGATCTGGAAGTTCAGGTCCCAGTTCCGGGTTCAGAGCTCCCATGCTGAATGCCATTCTGAGTTTGCCTAGATCGGCCGAGGTAGAACGAGGACAATCGCCTAAGAGTATTCTGAAATTTGAAGCATGGGGAGAATGGGAAATCGGCGTCGGCGATGGAAAAGAGCGGCGTTGGAGTTGCTGAGGACTCCGGTTGAAGAGCTGCGCAAAACTGGTAAACTTGACCAACTCCCTTCAAGGATCGGGGTTGGCGAGGATGTTGGAAGGCGCAATGTGATAGATGGAGGGTAGAGTTGTCCACCACGGACAGGTGCTTGATCACAGGCAGCAAGGAAGCGTGAAACCCATGGCTGTTATTGAAATCGGGTTGATCGCCAAAGGAACAAAAACAGTAGTAGGAGCGTGGGCTCTGGGCACGGGACTTGTAGCAGCCTGACATCTCAGGCACCACAACTAGGCGGCGGGAAGCTTCGTCACTCCAGCTCCCCAAGGTCATTCATCCCCCAGCTCTCATCTCTCCGACTCAATCCCGCTTCCTCATTTATTGATCATTCCAGCTCCTTAGGGCTCATATTTCCTGCAAAACCACTGTCTGTTGATATCTTACTCCTACATTGATTCTCAGACGCTGTCATGGGCGGTTTCGACTTCTCCAACTACAACCGCAACGCGGCTCTTCACGCCAAGGGAGCACCGCTTCCCAAAGCTACTAGCACGGGTACAACGATTGTTGGCTGCATATACGACAATGGTGTTGTTGTGAGTCCATTCGAATCGATACCGACATTGTGGTTGATGGAACTAACCATTAGCCCAGATCGCCGCAGATACCAGAGCGACCTCCGGGCCCATAGTTGCAGACAAGGTAGCCACATAACATCCTCCGGGATGCTATGACAGACAGACTGACTTTGAATAGAACTGCGAGAAATTACACTATATCGCCCCTAAAATCTGGTGCGCTGGTGCTGGTACAGCTGCTGACACTGAGTTCACCACCGCCCTGATCAGCTCCAACATTGAACTACACTCCCTATCGACCGGCCGGCCCCCACGAGTAATCACCTGCATGACCATGCTCAAGCAACACCTCTTCCGCTACCAGGGACACATCGGTGCGTACCTGGTTGTTGCGGGTGTCGACCCAACCGGCGTCGGCCTCTACACTGTGCACGCGCACGGATCAACAGACAAGCTTCCCTACGTGACCATGGGATCTGGTTCGCTAGCGGCCATGTCCGTCTTCGAGTCGACGTGGAAGCCCAACCTAAACAAGGAGGAGGCGATTGCATTGGCGTCTGAGGCCATCAAGGCCGGTATTTTCAACGATCTCGGATCCGGTAGCAATGTCGATGTCTGTGTTATCGAGAAGGACAAGCCTACGCAACTGCTACGGAACTTCGAGAAGCCCAACGAGCGTGGCCGAAAGGAACGGGACTACCGCTTCCCCAAGGGCACCACAGCTTACCTGAACGAAAAGGTGTTCACCAAGGAGGATCTGAGGAAATATGTTACTGTTGAGGAGATCTCTGGTGACCCCAATCTGATGGAAGTGGACCCTTAGATAAGAGTTGACCTGCTGTAATTGAGCAAACTGTTTCGATCGGCTACTAAATAATATCGTCCTACCGAATGATCATGGAAACGTTTTTAAGGACTTATCGTCGCTTTTCATGCGGAATAACCGCCAGAGCCTATAGACAGGTGCAGGGTATCAAATGTAACTAAAAGTCGTCCCGCGGTATATGATACAAAGCAAGCAAAAAGCGCAAAACTCACACAGAACCATTATCTATTCAGACCACCGCACGCCTCACAACATCCCAAATATAGTCATTTTGAGCTGGACTGATATATCCCTTCTCCTTGCGAAACCTCACAATGCCAGCATAATACAGAGCGCGCGCCATAGGCGACTGAATAGGCGCACCGTGTCTATAAAGGAAGATATAGATCCAACGAACCAGGCGATACGCACGTTGCGGCGAAAGCTGTTTCGCGCACGCAACCGAAGTTGCTAGGGCATGAATCATATCTAGCACGGCGTGAGGATCCGGAGAGCCTGCATTCCTGGGACGGGGATCGTAGCGGATAGGGGCTTTGTCGGCGGTGTCGGGGAGAGGCCATGCTCTAGACAGGGCGATCTTGATTGGCGTGTGGGAGCGCAGGAGACGGAGAATAGAGAAGACTGCGGATGAGTCACCGGTTCTTGCGGTTTGGATCGCCCAGTCGCGGAAGTCGGGGCTGCCGACGTCGACCTGGCGGATTTGGCTGTCGACATTGTTGCCGAAGGCGTGGCGGGCGGCGTTGTAGGCTTGTACGTCCGCAAATATGTTGCTGAACGATAATGGTCGCTTTTGGAACTGTCGAAGACGAGTTCTCATCGTGTACGTCATTGGCTTTCCAGTTCTCAAATCGTCGGCAATCGCCTCCAAGTTGAATGGAATCTTCATGCGGGAGATGTGATGGATCAGGCTAGTCCACAAGTCAATAGTGACTTTGTCTTTCCTTTTCGTGTATCTTCGCAAAGACTCATAGTGTCTATACAGGTGTTTGGTGGCCGTTTTGGTGAGATTGGATGCTCGTCTCTGAGAGAACCTCCTCATTGTGTGTAGCATCCAGAGACGCCGCAGCACCAGATGTCGCTCCACCCTTGGGTCACGTTCACTCCGTACGCGAGTCCAGGCTTCAGATGAGGTGAGTTCAGAGGCATCATGAAGCCTAGCCAGACATTTCCCCCATCTCCGGAGATATCGTGTCTTATTTGAAGTGAATAGAGCGTCAGTGCCACGTATCAAGGAATTCGAGATGACATCGACATCGAATGGCTTCAAGCTTTCTATGATAATATCCATATCAGGCGTCGGAAGTGAATAGCTGGGGTCAGAAAGCAATCTAGCGACGAACTTCGGCAACCATGAACGGCTCCTTGACAGCCCATAGTCGGTGGCCAGCAGAATGTCTTTGGCTAATCGAAGGTAGCCCACGGTGCCATTCTCCCAGCAGATGCCAAGCCAAGCATCAACAAGCGACTGTTCCAAGTGTTGATGCCCGTAAACATCACACTTGCCAATCGCGCCCCAAATCTCGCGATAGACTTTCATCAGTTCTCGGCGGGCCTTACGGCAGTTTTCTCGAGTTTCCCCCCAGTCTGACCAGCAACTTATGATCGCACAAATCTCTCGGCGAGGGACAACTCCAAGCTCCAAGGCTCGTAAAACGGGATTAAACAGCGCACGCCGTCTGCCCGACCGGAGATTTGGAGACATAGAATGCTCAACCAAACGCAGGTAATTCCTTGCCCCGGGAATATTAAGATGCGAATCATCCAGGAACAGCGCTAGCTCATCCACAGCACCTCCTCTGTGCAATGACTGCGCCAACAAGTGATCAAATAGTAGACGGCTCGAGCTCGGTTCTTGTCGGAGATCGATCTCCAATTCACGAATAGCGCCCCTCAGATCGTTTACTGTCTGGTATTCGTGCAGCCTATCTCCAAAGAACTCCTCGCGCGTGAGCCTCCCGGAATCCGGGCTAGTGTCCTCCATATCCCCAGAATCGAACGCGTCCGGATTCAGAAAGTGGTCAAACAAGCTCATTGATTGTGGGGGTAGTGGCGGCGAAGAAAATGGAATGTCTATACCATGTCAGACTAGTGTCAGACTAGCTATCAAACGCAAGGATGCCATTCAAGACTTACCGAAACCTTTATCCGGCTCACTCCATTTCATATGCTCCCGTCCATTCTTTCCAAGCAAGCTCGCAATATCGTCCCCGGGCCCGGAGCCAGGTATACTTGCCAGAGCTGTGTTCCTCCGCTTGGCCAGCCTCCTCCTGGCCTCCAGTGGCCCCGGAACCCGGCTCTCATAACGTCGTTGGCCGCTCACGAAACGCCGAAAGGTCGATGCTAGAAGCTCGTCGCTGATCCATAGGTGGTCTGTAAATGTGCTTGAAGATGAAGCAGTGGCATGCCTATAGGCACATCTCCCGAGAGACATGAGGCAATGGTGCCATTCAAGCAATTGGGCGCTCTGACGTTCTGCGTGTGGTTGATGTGAGCTTGAGCCGAACCGACCCTCGGAGGTCCACGATTTGGAATGACTAAGCTGATACTTTCCTATAGGCCTCAGGCATAAATCAGGCATAACTTGGCTCTCTCACCCGGTCTCACGGACTTCAAATTGGACTGGATCGATTTTCCACATATTTACAGAGCCTAGGTAGTGGCTTAGTCTGGGAATACTCTAGACAGTCGCTTGAGTGATTTATGACGAGTCTCAGGACCCAAGAGCCCCAATTGTCAGGTAATCTCTGAATTCATCTTACATCCCCAGGATGGGGCTTCCTCCCAATTATAACATGAAAATTAAAATAAGCATGGACCCGACTATCCTGCACACTCTTGCGCACATTCACGAGGAAGACCTCGATCTCGGCCTTTGACCACCCCAGCAGCCTTAACGGCTTATATGACCAGCCCGACAACCCCTCTAGTATATTCGATTCCATCCATTGCCCAACGCTTCGCAGGTGCGGGTCCGTCGGCCATCTATTGACAGGGACCTTGTATATACGCTCTTGAACATCGACGAAACCCATCTCTCTCATTCCACGCGCAAGACGGTGCGCTACACGCACCTGCCGCGGTGGATCCGTGACCTGACCGGACTGTATTTGCAGGTCACACCAGTCTTGGAAGGGGTATGTGCTGAACATGGAGTCATCGAGCGGTGGCATTGTGCCATCATCGCAGCGGACCATGGTATCGAACTCGTGGATCTCGGCCCACCCGTTTGGCCTGAGGTGGCTGTACATCTTGCGTAGCAGCTCTTTGTATGAGGGGAGGGATGCAGAGAGGTGGCCCGTGCGGATGTAGTCGAGGGAGTTGCGGTCCCAGAGCCATTCGTCCTCTGTGATGTCGTCGACGATGAAGTGGACGTTTTCGGGGACTTCGGTAGGTTGGCAGGGGGAGAGATCGGTGCCCGTGATTTGGGTGTTTGGAAAGATTTGTGCTGCGGGGAGATGCCATGAGAAACGAAGCCATATGTTATGGCGCAACTTGGAGAACATAGAAGGTAGATGAAACTTACACATCTCTATTGGCCATATTCCGGAGCCCGTACCGATATCGATGATATTGCGGGGGTTTATGATGGGAGCAAAGAACAGGCGGCCTCCCGTTAACATCTTGCACATGTGATGCTGCATGTCTAGACGGTCCATTTCCCGCTCATCGTTCGGGAACATGTATGCTATAAATCCCAATCAGCTTGCACTACTCGTATTTCACTAGTAGGAATAAACGTACAGCCTTCATGGTACTTGTGGTACGTTCTGCCGTTTTCGATTGGATATTCGGTTACACTGGCAGTCAGTGACTGGGTGTCACTGCAGTTGACCTCATCAGCTCCCAGATAACAACACAAACACGAGACAGTAGATTTGCCGTCCGGTGGTCAACCATGCAGAAACCTGCAACGATAGGGTACTCACTAATCTCGAGTTGGTTCCTGTGCCATACTGTGTCAGCAAAAAGTCAACCCAACAATGACGGAAGAATATTGTACAGAAATCAGGAACGTGGAGGTCCTAACCAACTAGCTATCCCGAACCAGACATGAACCACGCAGAGAAAGCGCAGGGGCAAAACACTTACAGAGAGTCTCCCACCAGTGGTTTTGGTGGACCTGGGCATATTTGGCTTCCGCACCCGTGGACCTTCTTGACCGGCTACTGCGATGTGGGGTGGGCGGAAACGGCAGTTGTATGGGTATGGGTCCAGATATATCAATTTGATAATGATATCTTCAGAAGAAACAGCGTAGGGTAGACTAGTTATTGAATTGCGTTATTGTGGCAGAAAGCCGTGTTGTTAAGTTGGAGTGAAGGTATAGAGACGCGAGAGAAAGTATATGATGTGATACAGAACAGGGTCCAAGGGCAGTAGTATACTCAGGAGGGCGGATAGGTAGTATGAAGAGTTGATGCGTCTCATTTGATGGGCCGTGCAGTATATTTAAGAGGGTCTAAATAGATACAGTAAGCCCGTACGCAACCTAGTCCAGACTGTCTGCTAGCTGCATTTCATGAAATGAAATACGGAAATGGAATTGTCAAGAGAGGGGTTGAAGTGGGTAAGGTGCTGGCACAGTCCAGCTCAGGCAGTCTTTTTCTTCTTCCGCCTCTGAGTCCCGACAGGCTGGATTAAGTTTTGCCTTTTGGCTTTAGCCGAAACCTTGGAACCCAGTTAAACTTAAATCGCATTTGTCCAATGACAGGGCGGAAGGAATAGGTGATTTGGAAGAGCCTTCCAATAGAACCATGAAAGGGGTGAGATTTGGCTAGGTGGAAAACCCAAGCGAATGGCTTGTATCATTTCGTCATTTTGTCATTGTGCTGAAGCCTCGCATAATTAGATTCAAGGGGGCTTTGTTTTACGACGCCATGCGGAGGTTTAATCAATAATAGCTCGTCAGAGGATGGGCCCAGCTGCAGGAGGTCAGTGCTGTGCAGATTAATGTGTCAAGTGTCCCGACTTTCAGAATTCCAAGAAAGTTAGACGCTCCGAACCAGACGGGCGGTTCGCGCGGTGGGCGATTGCATGACAATGCTCGACTGTCTTGACTCGCAAAGGAGTAGATACCATAAGAGTACCTCAGGAGACGCAAGTCGATGCATTATGGACCATGGTGCGATGATTCCAAATCTGCTACCGCGGTTTTCTTTCTTGCAAGTCGCAGCTCGCAGCTCCATATTATTTGGAGTCTAGATGCAAAGATCTCCGAAGCTAAGGGTCACCAGCAATTGGTAGCCCGAGCATCTCCGCCGCATTAAAAAATGGTTCAACCTCAACTTCAAACAGGGTACAAAGCTACCATACCCGCAGGCTCATTTACTTTCTTCGAGCATTCAAGACGAATGCCCATTGTGAGGTAGAGAGGAAGTCAATCAATGACATACCACGTGTATGTAGTAAGAGCCTGGGGATAGAAGGGTATGTTTTACACGATTTGCTTTTTTGCCCCTCAAAACCCCTGCTAAGACGTCTGTTCCGTAGTACAGCAAAAAGCACAGGCGCCGTTCCAGACTGTTGGGATAGACGGCGTTCCAACTCCGGCGGGAGTGCCCTAAATTTGGGGCGCCATTGCGCCGCCGCCAACCCAGAAACCCTGAACATGATAGAAATAGGGCTCGATTCACTCAAAGTCAACATAAACCTACAAGGGTGCTACTAGTATTCCTCGCTTCCAGCATCTCAGCGACAGAATAAATCAGGAGGCGTGAGATTTCTCGGCCTCCCTAACGTCAGGCACCTGACGCATGCAGCTTGATGCACTCCAAATTGATGACTAGGTACGGTATGTCAATCCCCGCGACGGCGTCCAACCTCGCATGAAACCATCTGCAGCGACTCCAAGCTATTTCCCGATAGGGGCTCTGGCATTTTCTAGCGGTACAGACATGCAGGACTGCTGCCGCGCTGCGGTACAAGTTGTACAAGAGGTAAAATATAGGACGATCGTCAGCAGGAGCCGGGATCCAATGGTAACGGTGCCATGCTGCTGGAAATCCTGATCCATGGGTCGCTCCCTTAATATCCGCCCGGGTGGGCAGCCCGGCCGCTGAGAATCTTCCGACTCGGAATTAATCTAGCATTATATTGACCAAAGTTAATTATATTAAACCATGCACGCCTGGGCCAGCTCATCATGACTTGGGACTTGCTTTGTCAGGCTGTCACCGACATCCTCCAGCCTCAGGCTTTACCCAGATACCACAGTGCACACTCACTGGCTTTTCTTGCATGATTTGGAAGATTGTGGCCCAGCCGCTCCACGGTCCAATTATTAATGGAGCTACGGTCCGGATCCAGACTGTCGGAATTCGCCCCACTTCCTGCCCTCGTATTCCCGTCCCGCCTGGAACCGTTATATCGACAGGAGTACGGCGTAGTATACATTGATATGGAGCGCAAAAGAAGAATAATCACTTCAGCTCCAATCCCCGACAACTGGATATACTTGTCTTTGAATGTTCGAGGTCACACCGAGGGCGCTCATCGGAAGCGGATCATCACCATTAAAGCAAGAGTGTCTGCCCAGTGCGACCGTCAAAGTTGATCGACCATTGGCCCATGGCCAACCAGGTATATCCCAGTACTAGCAAACGTCTGCAGACTTGGCCCAGATAGACCTTGTTATATCCCAAAGAAGGCTCGTCAGTGTCTTGCCTTGTCAATCCTAGTATTCGTCTAGACAAATAGCCAACTGTCTGTGAGGACCTGGGAACATATTCGCCGTCTCATTGATCAGTAGTAGTTTCAATATGACAAATCATTGTTGTGGGATGGCTGATTGCTCGGCGAGTCCGAGATCAGGGACCACCTCAGATAACGAAGACAAAGGGGCCAGTAAGCAAGAAGCCAAAATGCGAACCGAAACTGATCTAGTATTGCGCCGGAGTAGCTTCAAAGGCGCAACGAAAACCTGGCAAGTGCATTAGCGCTTAAGGAAGACAGAAGCGATGATTGTCCCAACTGGTGTCTCAGCTCCTCAGAATCAACGTAATCCAACCGTCTGTACTGTAGCATTCAATGCGTGCAAATTAATCTGCTATAGTCCATTTAACCAAGGACTATACGTGAAGTATGCATGAGGCGATGTTACCAACCTGCAGATCGCTTCTCTGAGCTGGAGAGTGTTGAAAGCCAGAGAGCGGAATAGATTGTTGGGTCCTATACCTCAATGCCACTTCTACAGCCCTTCAGAACGATTTGCAGAACTATACTGCCGCTGAGCGCTGACTTTGACAATGCATGTGTAATAATGCTGTACCCTTGTAACTGCCCAAGTTGAGGCTTCGGCTGCACTAGAATAGTCCAACCTTCTGCATCAGTTCCGTAAACTCGAACGTCAAGTTTTTAGTTGCAAATCACTGCTACGTGTTCGACTAATACTGGTGGAGAATTCATGAGATGGTGCCTTGCTAGCTTCTGCGTACTCCATAGTAAGTTAGCAACACGGAGTACCTATGTACCCCCCTGGTCGCGGTCCTCGCGGAAAGATACTAATTGAAGAGACGGGGATATGTCGAAGACCAAGCCGGGGCTATCCCGGTAACAAAGATACCTTTGACATTCAACACCACGGAATGGCCGATCCCTGCTGGACTAGTTTCTAAGAAGGTCCGGAGTGCAGTTGAAAAGTCAAGCAGATCCTTAAACGCAAACTTAAGACAGGATGTTACCGAGAACCAGCCATGCAGCGTCAATTGAACTGTCATACGTGCGGTAGAACGGTTTCGATGGTGTCCGGTGCGGATGACCCTATACGCGCTATCCCGGGTTGGATTGGGAGGCTAGAATCCCAAATCCGAAGAGAGATGCGGCAAATTAAAGAACACAATTGGCGGGGTTCCATTTTGTAAGGTATGCAAGGACGGTGGGCCTCTAGCCCTCAGGTCTGTCGGAGATTAGTAGGCGACATCCACAGACAGTGAGACACAGACCTCTAGGTAGACACAACACGTATCTACGGAGTACTAACGGTAGCAAGAGTACTCTGGCAGGCGAGGATGTCTCAACTCGTAGGTTCTTGAAGTAAGTATACGACCGAAGGCTGCAATGATTCCAGAGGCTTTTGTGAGGCAAGCTGGACGTTCCGCGGCGAGTCTTCGTTAGCAGTATAGTCCTCCATTGCAAGGGTTGGATCCATGAACGAGCTAATACTCCGTCATTGTTGACCTTTAACCTCTTAGTGCTCACTGTCGCTAGCTGATCTTCGTGCTGGAAACCGAAATGGGAGGTCCTCAGCTGCTGGAGCATCAGAGGCTTGGAAAGATCAGCCTGTGTCTGCCTGCAAAAACATTCGTTCCGTATCGGGCTTAGATCTTCATCTTCCTCCACCAGGTTGGCAGGTTCGGTGCCCCATAGCATTATCCTAGTAACTCTTTACCTATTACTATCTTCTATCCATCATCTCAGCACTGTCAAGAACATGCTTTTTGTCGATTGATGACACGAGTCCATTCCCGCGAGTACATAGGGAACAAGGTAGCGATACGCAATGGATTCGAAGGCCCCGTGGTAAGTGATTTCTGACTTCTGTGCATGGCGGGTCCAAACTAAACTTTGCAGCAATCTATCAGACGTTACAACACGGATGTGTCGAGCATTCAGTACTTCTCGAGTCTATCCTCTTCCGCCCAGACACGATATGCTTCAAGCATAGTATGTTTCATCGATTGTCCTTCCTCGCCGCTGCCTCGGTTCGCTACCACGAACATACACATCTTGAAAGAGGACATCGGCCTTGAGCTCGGGCTCCGGAGATCTCTCAGCCTCCGCAACTTCGTCGTTTACCCTCTGTCGGATCCTGCGATCGACTTCCTTCGCCTGATCATCCGAAAAAACTCCCCAAGTGATCAATTTCTCGCGGAAACTGGAGATTGGATCATTCCCGCGCTCTGTCTTCAGCTCGTCGCGGGAGCGGTACGCTGTTCCAGGATCTGACATTGAATGCCCGGCATACCGATAGGTGGCATATTCATAGAGCAAAGGCCCGTTGCCAGCTTGGACATATTCTTTCCCGTGTTTCATGGCCGACATTACGGCAAGGACGTCCATGCCATTCACACGCAGACCGGGGATATATTGCCCCCGCTTATAGTAATCCGTCATTGCCGAAGCTCGCTCGGCAGACGTTCCCATGCCGTACTTGTTGTCTATGCACGAAGCGTGTTTAGCACTATTCGTGTGGAGGAAAGGAAGCCGGGATGATATTGGAAGACCTACTCTCGACTCCAAAAATGATCGGCAAGTCCCATAACTTGGCCATATTGAAAGCCTCATGCACTTGTCCTTGGTTCGCCGCTCCGTCTCCGAAGAGATCGATTGTCACATGGGGCTTTTCGCTATACTTCTGAGCAAAAGCTATTCCAGCTCCTACAGGAACATGAGCGCCAACGATTCCGTTTCCACCATAAAAGCCCTCGCAGAACATATGCATTGACCCTCCCTTTCCAAACGAGATGCCATCCTGGCGACCAAGGAGTTCCGCTATAATGGACTTCAAGGTTCCGCCTCGCATCAGGGTCATGCCGTGGGATCGGTAGGCGGTTATAAGCTTATCGTCGCGTGTAATTGCATGTTCAATGCCCACAGCGACGGCTTCTTGGCCTGTCGATAAGTGGCAGAACCCACGGATTTTACGGTCTTTGTACAGACTGTCGGCCGCCAATTCCATCCGCCTGCAAATCATGTCAGCTGGTCCAAGGTCATCGATATGATGAGTACAACATACCTGATTAAAGTCATGTCATGGTACAGTTGCTTAAGCTGACTCTTTGTCGTTTCTAGAGAATACGAGGGCGGGTCGAAGTTGTATGTTTCAAAACTGGCTTCTGATACCGGGACAGTGAAGGGCTTGTCGTCTTCCTAGCGGCAGATGTTTAGATATGAGCACCCGAAACTTGCGCTGCCTCACTCACATTGGGGATATCCTCTATGTTGGCGACATGAGCTAGGTATCGGCAGCCAACAGCTGGGGCTTGGGCCCAGGGTCGGAAAAAAGGTAGGGTTCTCGGTCGCAGTAATGCCTTCAAAGACATAGTTCGTCGAGTATACTATGGTATGTATTGTAGAAACTTGATAAGAAAGGGTGCTTCAAGTTGCCTCTAATAGTGCTGGGCTCAACTAATGTATAACGTCATCTCCATGACGTAAACGTAGATTGTCACACATCGCGATCCTGATAGTAAGTCTCTACCTCGACTATACTATAGGATAGGATATCTCTAAGCGCAATAATAGCAGAGTCCAAAGTCTGCCGGCATCTCGATCCATGGCTGTAAGAGATCCATATTAGAAGTATACTGTCCGGTTTAGGAAATAGCGACCTCCGCCAGCGCACAGACCACCTGCCATCCAACGCGTCGGACGCGTTCTCGCAAATTGGCCACTGCCCCGTTTTCAGGCAACCGTTAGAGCCTCACCCCAGATCAAGTCATAATGAACGGTTACCTAAATTTGGCAAACCAACATCCAGCTTACATTCAATCAGCTACCGCGTTTAGGCCCATGCCTCGCCGTGAAAACCACCCGAACCACTTTGTTTGAGTTGCGATGGGACGAGGCGATAGTGACAATATCCCGACCAAAGCCAATTCAGACCAGTTCCGCACCCCCGATAAACCTGTCTTATCGAGCAAGCTGAAACGAGCACCAGCACGACTAGGAGTGTCATCCCTAGGTACCCCAGCCGAAACATCAACCTCGACTTCCTCTCACTCCACGGCATCGGCGTCCAGATCAAGATCGGGAAATCCGAAACGAACTCCCACCCTAGACCAGACGACTTTGACACAGATCGAGTTTGTGAAGAGATCCCAACCCGACTCTGATGAAGATGTGTTTGATTACATTGGCAATTCGGGGCCGGCTGCAACTGAGGTGATTGAGATTGGGGATGATAAAGAGCTGGATAATGCGAACGATCCACCGTCTGCTTCACGCATCAAACGTGAGCGCATCGTCAAGTTTGACTCTGCGCCTTCGAAGCTCAAGAGAACTGGCTCCGGTCAAATTGATGTGACGTCAGGGAAAGGGCGCAGAAAGAGCGGTGATAAGAAGGACAAAGGAGCGCAAAAGGACGACAACACTTTAACTCAGATGAAATATGTGCGGCGAATTGATCTTGAGGCTGATGAGGGTGATGGGAAGCTGGAATACGCATATATCACCCCGAAGAAAAGGGACACTGAGCTTCAACCGGCCAATATCGGGGAAGTCAGCCACATCAAGCCACAGCCGACATACATATCTGAACCTTCTAGCGAACACAAGAGGAGAAAATTAAGTCCATTTTCAGAGAAAGAAGGGGTTCATCGAACGGAAGTCAAGCCGGAGACGAAAGTCGAAACTTCTCCTTCGACGCCCCGAAAGCCTATAAGAACCGAAATACCCTCGTCACAATCACCTGAAAGTCCAGGAGTTGCGTTCATTACATCCTCACAGTTTCGCAGCGCAACTCGATCGTCTGAAAAACGACCCCTCAAAAAGTCCAGTCAGCCCTCTTTTAAGGAATCCCCCTTATTGTATGGAAAAGGGAGTGCTCCCGAGACCGTGCAAAAGCCAATCATTGACGAAAAGCCGAGACTTCGTACGCAATTACCTTTACCTAATAACTCAACGCCTCGACTTTCTTCACCAGCTCGTGAAGGATCGGCCGGGGCCATGCGAAAAGCGAACGAAATGGCCGAGTCTACTGGTGACGCTCCGGCGATGTCTACTTCAAAACAGCGCTCTTCTCAGCGGACGGTCGTGTATGAGACAGACGCAGAGACGGATTATGACGACTCCGAAGATGACGCGCCAGTTTCTCCAGACTCACCTAAAGATATAGATGCAGCAGTCTCTCAGGTTGAAACGCATGTCGAAGATGAGCTTGATTTGATCAATATTGAATCTCAAGAACTCCCACCGCCCCCTGTACCCGAACAAGAAACTGACTCGGGCCCATTGCAACCCGACTCGAATTTCCTGTCTGACGCATCCATATGCTACCAGAGAGTTCATCCCGATACCCAATTCCCGCTAGAGCCCGTGCCTACGATAAACACGCAGAAAATGGCAGAGCTCTTCCCGGAGGAATCTAATGGCTTGCGCACGATAACTCCACTTCCGTCATCATCGCCAACAAAAACTCGCCAGGCGCCTAATATTCCAATGATGGTGTCTGAAACCCAACTTCCCCATCAAGATCAGCCTGAATCACAGGATGGGAGTCGAACGCAGACAGAAATTGTTCCAGAATCCTCGCCAATTGCGCGCCATGAGAACGGCGTTTCCTTGGAGAGGCCTGGCCCGTTGGCGAGAGACGTTGTGATCCAAGTTGAGTCTTCGCAACCAGTGGACAGGGCCTACAGGCAAACGACTGGTGGACAAGATTCTCCGCCTCGAAAGATGCTGTCCAGAAGCCAGATTCTGACATCAAGCGTCATGGAGAGTATCCCCATACCCGGATTTTGGATGAGTAGTCAGGACAGCGTTGGGGAGCCGTACAGCCAACCGAACCCGTGATGATAACGTATATAAATTGATAGATTCAAGACTCATGGAACCTACTGAATAAGGAGACTGCAAGTATTTCATACTTTGTATTCGGCGATCGGCCCATCGTAGACCCGGGACAAAGGCGCCTGCGGAGAGCCAAGACATCCGCCTGTGGCTAATCATCACACCCTCCATTTCCCCCTCTCATTATCCAGCAGCACGAAGTTATGGATATTTACGATCACGTCCAAGGAGACTTGTTCTCCTCCAGTGACCAAACTAAGAAGGAAGAGACGGACCAAAATGCAAACAAAACTAACCAACCCGCCGTCGATCTGAACACCGAGCTGCAGGAGACCTTCCGTGCCTTCTCCGCAAGCCCCTGGGGCTCACGCCTCGGCGACCTTTGGGGCAACGTTCGCAAACAAGGCGAAAGTTACTATGAAGGCGCGCGACAGGAATACGCCGCCGCCAGCGAAGAAGCGGTCAAGGGATTCTCCGGTCTGAAAGATAGCCTTGTTGGGCGAACGAGGGGTCTCTCGCTCAGCACAGCGTTCGGCGCTACTAATGAGCGAGGAACAACGGACGGCTCTCTAACGCCCACGGAGTCTCGCGCCGCCGACGATCCCTCCTCCAAGGCGGAACAACAACAGCAGGATGGGAGCGACAAGAAGGCTACCGCAGGCGAGAGCTTCCTCACTCGTTTCAAGACCGAGGCGGCTCGACGGCTGAGGGAGCTCGAGAAGGCGGAGGAAGCAGCTGACGAGGCGATTTTGCGGTTTGGGATGAACATCACTCAGAAGTTGAAGGAGGCTGTGACCATTGTTCCGCCTGAGGAAGAGTCTGGGTCCGGGTCGAAGGTGCTTTTCGAGAGCAAGGATGCTGAGGGGAAGAGGGTTATCCATGCGACCCGATTCGAGGCCCAGCTTCATGTCATCCACACGACGCTCGACAGCTTCCTTAAGGACCCCGCTAGTGACGAGTGGCCCGCTTTCCAGAAATCTTTCAACATCGACGACAAGACTTCTGCTATCGCTGCCGATCTGGAGAAATACCCAGAGTTGCGCTCTGCGATGGAGAAGCTTGTGCCAGAGAAGGTTCAGTACGCCGAATTCTGGTCGCGGTATTATTTCCTTCGTCTTGTTATCGAGACGGAGGAGCAGAAGCGGAAGGAGCTACTGAAAGGTATGGCCTCGTCTTCTCTGTTGACCGAGTTCCCCCATAACTAACAAGATTCCTTGACTACAGGAGCCAGCGCTGAGGAAGAGGAAGAAGTAGGCTGGGACGACGATTCCGACGACGACACCGACTCCCCAACCACGCCGCAAGTATCGGACAAGACCAAGGCCAACAAGGCCGCTCCTGCACCACCTTCTGCGGACATCAAGCCCCTGAAACCCAGCGAGCCCCGAAAGTCGAATGACCAGGGCTCTCAGCCTGATAGCGAGTCCAGCTACGATCTCGTCAGCGGTGCCACGAGTCGGACTCCTGCCAGCCCTAAGGAGAAGTCCAAGGACGACGACAGTGATGATGACTGGGAGTAGAGCATTTTCGCTCTCATTTTGCTATTCATCAATTCGCGTGTAGCTCCCAGAAATATATGGACAGATTCTATGGATATGGTTGTCACCTTTAGTGCTGTCTACTCCGACCACTGGATGGTTTGGAAGATGCGACTGGACGAGGCACAAGGAGTTGGGTTGGGTTCTTTCTACTGCTTTCAGTTTCTTAGTGGGCGTACATTATTGTTCTTTTTCTACTTAGCGATTATGTATCGATTACACAGTCTATATTCCCCAAATACTCGCTTTGAGTATGCACAATTGCACATACTGCGTTTGCCTTGGAGTTACGGTCTTTTTATCCAGTCTATAATTATCCTCATTTCGTTGTAGATCGCCTACTAGTTGTATCTGTTTCAATTAGTAGATATCGCATTCAATGTATAATAAAGTCCTCTACGGATTTATCATTGTTGTGGTATATTCTTAGCTAGTGAATCAATGAGCAAGCGGGGATCCTCTTCTCTCTCGCTCATCAATCAGTATGCGCCGAGGAACCTCGCACCCCCCTGTCACGCCTCAAGTCAGCCGCCCCCGAAACAGACCGTACTTGCGAGGGTGTCTCCGGCGTATTTTCCCTCGAGCGAAGATGATACCCCCTAGTCCGCTCGCTTGGGGTGTAAGGTATTTCACTTGTGTCCCTGCTATACCCAATAGAAATTCCTTCCGGTGTCCCGTTGTACTGATAGTCTTCGCCTCGTCGCTTCACGGGACTCTCATCGTATGGATCCCAGCCTACCCTTCGTCTCGCGTCAGCGCGGAGTCGCTGGCGGTGTTGTTCATCGCCCCCGGCGCCTGTGGTTGATGACTCTTCTAAGAAGAAGTTGAGGAGCTCGTCGCTGATTGAGAGGTGGGACTGTTGTTGGAATTGTTGAAGGGACATTAGGCGGAGGAGAGTCTCGAGAAGTGAGAGGGAGGTACGGATATTGTTGAAGAGAGGGTTAGAGACTGTAGCTGGCTGGGACTGGGATTTGCCTGGCTGTGGTGAAGCTGTCTGCGATGCCTTGTTGTCCGGGTTAATGGAGAGCTGCGCCATTCTTTCGGTGGGATCGGGTGACTTGGTGTCTTCTCCGTCTGACTCGGTGTCTGATGATTCGTCCTCGTTATACACCTCGAAAGCTATCCACTCTGGATCCAGGTCCTTGGGCAACCGCCATTCTTCGGGAATAGAGCTTTCATGGAAGCTAGGATATGAGTTGTTGGTGGCGGACCCGATTAACTGGGCGTCCAGCTGCGCCTGTATCTCGTCTATCTCGTCTTCTGGTTCCGACTCATTAGCAACGCCGAATTGTGCCAAGTCTCGCTCAACCATGCGGCGTGGTGGAATGGCGGTTGTATCTCTTTTCAATAGAAGGACTGGGTTATTTGTTTCGCCCTCGGTGCTGATGTTAAGAATTCGTCCAGTGTCTGCGTAGAATATCTTCGAAATTTGGTGGATCGGTATGATATCGCGTATTCCTGCATCTTTAATATCCTCATATCTTTGAGGTTGAGACTCATTTTCATCGAATGCATGAACTCTCCCATCATCTAAATCTTCTACCACCAAAATTTGGTAGGCAAACTCGTCCATCCTTCCCTCCGCAGGCAATTGTAGCGGCCGCGTCTTATTTCCAGGATGAACCACCATATCCATCGGTACTCGCCGTAGCTTTAAGCGAGCCTTGTGCATGACCTCTTTCCAAGTAGTTTCGCGAATGCCTTCTGTGTCATGAGGCCGGAGATGACTTGCAAAAAGCATGTACATGGATAGAGTGAATGTAGGGCCGATCTGAATTGCATGGGACGGGGAAAAGGAGTATTGCGTGTCACCAGCTGTTAGAAACGTACTTGCCTGCAGCAACCGTGATGGCGATATCGTCGCGGGCAGGTTGGTCGACAGTTTAGCCCCTGACGTCGTGATAGCCAGGTTCATGAGCGGGACTGCATCCTCGATCCGAATCAAAAGTCTCTTGATGTCTTTGATTATGAGGTTGACCAATTCTTTAGTTCTGGAGACATCGGTCGGGGTCTTTCCTCCTCTCTGGGCCTGCTCTTCAGATTGAGCAGCGGCTGCAAGTCGCTGACCGAGTGACTGAATATCTAGTCGGAGGGTCTTGGTGAGGGAGACTGCGGATTCCAAAGATGTATTGCCCCGTGCAGCGCTATGCTCGTCAGAACTCGAGAGCTATGTTTAAGCCTAGGCAAGCCTCTTACATTAATTCAATCATATCAATTGCTGGCGAAATAACCTGTATCTTGCTTTCAAGCCGCTGCTGGAGCGCAAGGAGCTCATCCCTCTCAACACTTTTGTCGACATTCTCAATAGTTGGCCAGTTAGCCAGTCTCTCGGCTTGAAGCAGGGCATAAACTTACTTGCAGTAATCTCGACGATTGGCGGATTGCGTAACTAGCTGTGATGGCGATGCCTGAGCTGTTACAGAGATGTTAGGACATATCGGCGTTGGGCATGGCCCATAGATGCATGACGTATGGGGAAGCAAGACGAAGGCGAGGCGCATACCGAATCGCATAGTTCATCGCCTGCTGCGTGAGCTGGAAATGAAGTCAACTCCTGGTACCTGCATGGCCTTCTACCGCACCAAGTAGAGCACTTACGCGTGCTAGAAATGCGTCCATACTGGCTCTACGACTGGCTAATAATCAAAACCACCATAATTCAAGGTGCTGGGAGGATCTAGAAAACAAAGGCGTCTCTTGGGTGGGATGTTTGTGTGGCGCCGTAATTAACCTTATCGATAAGTGCTAACTGCCACTGTGGCTGGTGGCTTGGGTAGTGAGATTCAGGTACCATTCGGCCACTTCTGTTAGGCGAAAGAAGGTATCTAGCGACTCACCCCTGAATGACGCATGTAGAAACCTATAATAATCAGGCATAGATTGGGCAAAGGCCGCGTAGAACGTTCTTTTCCCGCCACCTTGACCAGCCGTTTAGCGGGGAAGACATGCGGCTGCTGAGTCAGCGTGCAAAAATGCGCCTCACTAAACCTGCCAAAGACCCCCCACCCTCTCCCATCCTCGCCTTTGTCTCTCGAGTACTTTATACCCTTGCTCGTTTTCTTTCTCATTGTCTGTTCGAGCGCTTTTTCTGTTAAGCATCTAGACGTTTCGAGCATGGCTAACCAGACTCCCGACTCCTGGGAGGATGAACTCTCCCGGCAGACCGAGGGCGTTAACCTGAACGCACAAGGCCGGCCCCAGGCTCAGGCTCCTTCTTTCCACCCCGGCGTGGCCTCTTTCCAGCCTGGAGCAGCTGCTTTTGTGCCTGGACAGCAGTTCCAGTACGGCGGATACCCCCAGTATGGCCAGCAATACGGACAGGGCTACGGCGGTTACCAGGGTTATGATCAGCAACAGGGCTACGGCCAATACGGCGCATACGCTCAGCAACCCGGTGGCTATAACCAAATCTACAACCAAAACTACAATGGATACCAGCAGAAACAACAATTCTCCCAGCAGCCTCGCCAGGCCGCTCCCGCTTCCGCCCCCGCTCAACCTGCCCCGAAACCCGCCAGCACTGCCGCTCCCAAGGCTAAAGTTTTGAGCATCGGTGGCGCCAGCGATTCCCCTAACGCCCCGAAAACAAAGGTCCTTTCAATCGGTACTCCCACGCCGGCCTCGACTACTCCCTCCTCCGATTCCGGATCTCTCGCCGAGGCTAAGGGCCCCGCAGCTGTTGAGGCTGCTTCCAAGGTGACCGCCGCCAAGGCTGTCGAGAAGACAGAAAAGAAGGCGGAGCAGAAGGCAGCTGCCAGTGGCAAGTCGTCCCCAGCTCCATCAGGGCGCAACAGCCCTGGGCGATCTAGCCCTTCCCGAGCAGAGATTGCGAAGGAAAAGCGTGACGCAGATGCTGTTGCTGCTGAGCAGAAAGCCGACGTCGACGAGGAGACGTTGAAGGAAATCTACGGCGAGAAGAAGGAGCACGTAAACATTGTTTTCATTGGACATGTCGATGCTGGAAAGTCCACCCTCGGAGGATCTATCCTTTACGTTACTGGAATGGTGGACGAGCGTACACTCGACAAATACAAGAGGGATGCAAAGGAAGCCGGTCGTGAGACATGGTATCTCTCTTGGGCCCTGGATCTCACAAATGAGGAGCGTGCTAAGGGAAAGACTGTCGAGGTTGGCCGTGCTCACTTCAAGGTCGACGTCCCAACTCCTGATGGCGTTATCGAAAGACATTTCTCCATTCTCGACGCCCCTGGCCACAAGTCCTACGTTCACCACATGATCGGTGGAGCTTCTCAAGCTGATGTCGGTGTGCTCGTTATCTCCGCCCGAAAGGGTGAGTACGAAACTGGTTTCGAGAAGGGCGGCCAGACTCGAGAGCACGCCCTGTTGGCAAGGAACACCGGTGTGCGGAAGCTTGTTGTCGCTGTCAACAAGATGGACGACCCGACTGTTGAATGGAGCCAGGATCGTTTCAAGGAGTGCACTGTCAAGGTTTCCAAGTTCTTGGAAGCCCTTGGTTACAAGAAGGACGACCTGACTTTCATGCCCATTTCCGCTCAACGCACCTTGGGTGTTAAGGACCGGGTCTCCTCGGACGTTTGCCCCTGGTACAACGGACCTTCCCTCATCGAGTATCTCACCGAAATGAAGATGCCCGAGCGTAATCTCAATGCACCTTTCATGATGCCTATCAGCACCAAATACCGTGACATGGGTACTATGGTTGAAGGACGCATCGAAGCTGGTGTCATCAAGAAGAACGCGACTTGTATCATCATGCCTAACCGCACGAAGGTTGAAATCGCGGCGCTCTATGGTGAGACTGAAGATGAGATCGCGACTGGAACTTGCGGCGACCAGGTGCGCATGCGTCTTCGTGGTGTTGAAGAAGAAGATCTGCTTCCTGGATTTGTTATGTGCTCGCCTAAGCGCCCAGTTCACTGTGTCTCTGCGTTTGAGGCGAAGATTAGAATCCTTGATCTGAAGAGTATCCTCACAGCCGGTTTCAACTGCGTTATGCACGTACACTCCGCTGTTGAAGAAATTACAGTTGCGGCTCTGCTGCACAAGCTCGAGCCCGGTACTGGACGCAGGAGCAAGCGTCCCCCACCATTTGCTAGCAAGGGTCAGACGATTATTGCACGCATTGAAATCACCAGCGCTGCAGGTGCTGTCTGTGTCGAGCGTTTCGAGGATTACAACCAGATGGGTCGGTTCACCCTCCGTGACCAGGTAAGCTGCTTTCTCCCTCTCATGGTATGGTATGTGTGAACTAATGAATATTTCTAGGGTCAAACCATCGCTATCGGTATGATTACCAAGCTCATCGAGGAGTAAACGACTTTTTGATGACGGCATCCTATCGCTTTCATGATAATGCTACTGGGTGGAATTCGAGGCATCCCGATGAGAACCCAAGGGTGACTCAACGGGATCAAGCCTTGTTGATGATGATGAATCTCATTCGGTTATTTTTTTATAGATTTACGCATATTTTCTTGCTGGATATGAAAAGTCATTTTTCCGTCGTGTAGAGCTTCTTTAGATACCAGGAGGTACATAGTAGTGCACATTATCATCATCAAAAGAAGATACTATTACATGCAAAAGACATGTCTATCAGGGGAATCACATAAAATCCATCCACGCTCAACCATTCTACCCTCAATTCTACCATTCTACCCTCAATTCTACCTCCTCTTCTTCCCAACTACCTTCGTAAACCCATCCTCATCAACCTCCGGCTCAACTCTCTCCCTAGGCGCACTCACCAAAGCAGGCGCCTCCCCCATCTCCTCATCCTCATCCTCATCATCACTCTCATCCGTCTCACCCTCCTGATCCTCACCCCTCCTAAAGCCCGCAACAACATCCCCCTTCTTTGCCGCCTTCGTCTCCCACTCCTCCCACATCTTCTTCACCTCGTCAAACTCGCCCTTCTCCACCATCTTGCGGATCTCCATGATTCGATCCGCCACCTCACCGGCACTCTCATCGTCAACTACGACGTCAAACTCGTCGTTCATGACTTGTATCAGGACATCCTCTAGGTCCTCGGCGTCGGTCTCGGGTCGGTCAACGATCATCTCGGAGATTGCGCCGCATAGCCAGTCGCGCTTGTCTGCGGAGGTTGGGCCGCCCCAGTTGCTTGTTACGGCGAGGCTGAGTGCCGGCCAGGCGTTGATTGCGAGCGTGATGCCGAGGTCCAAATAGGATGAGGCGGTTTGTTGTGCGGGAGTTGGGGTGGTGGGTTGTTGGTCAGACATTGTGGGATAATTCTAGTTTGAGGGCGTGACTGTGATTGTCCTTTTGGTTGAATTGGGATTTCGGTGCGTATGACCTCCACTATAAATGTTTTGCTCCCAAGGTTGTCTTCGCGTTCCGGTAGCCGTTTGAATGCGGGGAGTATATAAAGCTGTATTTTGGCGATGAGGTCGGAGAATTTGCGCCAATTTTGAGAGTGAAGCAGGCTTATGAATGTTCAATTGAGTTACTATCGTGCAAGAGCCGGATCCTATAGATTCGAGAATGTCGCGCGAAGGAGGGGTTGTGTTCAATTGAATTATTGTGATCTAAAATTTTCCCGCCTTATCGGCAGACAGATTAGATACCGTACGATAAGCCCTGGTCAGGTGACCTTGCGTATAGCACCGGATCCAAGGTTAACAGCATGGTGAGCTGAAGAGAGAATAAGATTCGAAGATATAATGGGTATAGTGAAATCATGGCAAATAACAATCCAGATCCTATGACATGGTGTATCGCAGCGTATGTGGAATCCGCCGAAAGAGAGCACAAATGATCCCGCCCGCCCGAACGCCATATACCCAGCCAGGGGAATGTAAAACAGAGAAGTAAACAGGTGCATATCACAGAACATAGCTCAAGATTTCTTGAGATCGTACTGCTGTGGCAATATGCCAAGGAAGGGTGTTGGATTGAACAATCCACGTGCCTCGCACTCGCGCAAGAGTGCCCAGGTCCCGATACATCCCTATGATTTCGCGAAGAAGGGATTCATAAGAAGTTGAAGGTCGTTGTGTAAATATAAGGTTGACGTTCACGGTGAATACGCCATCAGCTTCTGCGGTACCTCGCCGGCGAAGGAGGTAACCACTAGCTAATGCAGGGCGGTACTCTGTGAGATGGAGAGTGCCGTTGAGGCGATGTGATAAGAGAACACTCCAGGATTCGTCGCAAATGTCTATGAGTACAGACTCGGATTCTGATTCCAATGATGGATCCGTTGGAGTGGAAGCATTCGCTGGCGCCAATGCGCCACCGGGCGGAGTTGGGGCGTTGCCTAGCCCATCCGGTGAAAGTATCGAGTTGCTAGGGAGTGGTGTGGCGATAGGAGTCGAAGAAGCCTGGGAATTGAGGAGGCTCATTGGTAATGCCGAGGATGGAAGACTTAGAGAGAGATCGGAGGCTGTATTGACACTCAATATCGCCAGTTCTACAGGCACGGCTCGTAATTTGTTGTATTGGTCCGCAAGGTTCAGCCACGCTAATCGTTGTTAGTACACGCATTGAAAAGCATATGGGTGTGTAATCCTTACTGTCATATTCTTCCTGGTCAACGTTGTCAGTACTGACGATGATGACTCTCCACCTGCCTTGGGTCTTGTCCATAATGTCCTTTGTTGCAGCCCAAATCTCATGGCGCACAGCAGAAATTGTTCGGGAAGCCGTAGTGTTCCGGAAACGAAGACAGTAAGACATTGTCCGTTGAAGAACACCCGAATTGTCCGACCAGGCCACAGTCATCCATCGCTGATCTTGACTTCTCGAGCAGGCGACATGAAGGCACTTCCCTTCTTGCAGGGGAGATGAACGCTCAGAGGCAAGCCTGAACCCAATCGCTGGAGGAACAGTCTCAGCTAGCATCACAGGCGGCGCACAGTTGATAAGGTTCGGCTGCGTTTGTCTTGTAGAGCACCGGCTGTAGACTTCTAAAACCAGATTTAGATAATCCGGCTGAGGAGGAACAATCAACGAGTCTGCTGATGAAACAGTATTCAAGGGAATAATCTGCAGTAGGACTTCATCTAGTTGCCTAGGTTGCTTGTCCGCGCTGGCGAAGTAGTTCTGCAGTAAACACCAGAATGCAGCGCAAATGTCGACCAGCGAAGCAGCATGCGAGAACGGGTTTATTATATAGACAACGATATTATCCTTCGATGGTTTACCATCTAGAAGAGCGGCTCCTTGAAAATATTAGTCAATGGCATTTCAAACTTACGGGATGACCTTACCAAGCTCTTCACAGACTAGTTTCAGCTGCTGCATGGCGATCTGATAGTTCGGCTTTCTTTCTGAAGTGACATCCCATTCGCCTAGGCCATTCGTGAAGGCGTCGGAAACCTCTCCCCTAGAATGGCTACCAAGGTTGCAGCTGGAGTAGAGAAGACTCAGTCTGTCGATAAATGTATCGGCTGCTCTAGTCGTAGACTGAGGGTGTATGCAATAGGCAGTGACATCCTTAGGCCCATGAGCAGGCTCCAAGCCAAACGTCTCCCAGAACGATATAGCGGTAGGCAGTAACTCCAGAAAGTCTTTACCGCGCCGAACCCGTACATGAGGAGGTGACAATCTCGTGATCAACCCTTTACCGGTATCTTTGCGCTGAACGTTTTGCCGAGGTGTAAGACCGGCATCAGGCGAAAGGAAACTCTGCGAACTTTGCTCTTGTAAAGACACAAAGCTACTCAAATCAAGCTTCTCAAAACCGCCAAGATACTCGGAATTCTCAAGCGTTTCCCGAAATCCAAACGGCTGGTTATCAAGACAGGTGACACCGAGCTTCCCGTCAAGTTTGTGGTCCAAGGATGATTGCGTGACTTGATCAACTAAAAGCTGGGCAACTTGGACCTGGATATCCCGTGCTGCGAGTGACGGGAAGACCTGGTTCTCAGTCAATGTAAAGAACCCGGCGATTGACCAATCGGAGAAGGTAGAGAGAAAGTTCCCTAAAAAGACTGAATCCTCAGACCTGGAAGTATTTATCTCCGGCTCAACGCCCTTTGAGTCCATCTCTGAAGACGGCTTGGGAGATTCCATGGGACTGGAGCGAGCCCGCTTCCGTTTCAACGTTGCCAAAGTTGTGGATGGCGTATTGTCCTCCAAGTCATTATTGTCACTCTCGTCGTCCGTTTCGCTACTGGAATCGGTGCTTGAAGATGAATCCATATCGATTGGAGGGCTCCCATGGCCATCAGCGGCGTTGGGGTAGGCAAACGTCTTCATATTGCTTTTCCGACGTGGCAGGCCAATAGTTGGAATTCCATCCGAAGAATGGTAAGGATCCTGGGCAAACGCGGTGTTTGCTCCCATGAACGAAAACTTGCCTTCCGCGCCATACTTCTTATCCCACAAAGACATGTTGTTTCTGAAAGCAACCGGGTTGTAGTGGCTCGGAGTGTGGGTAATTTTGGCAACGGAGTTGGTGGTCACAGCGGATTCTGGAAACAGGATCTTCTTGACCTCAACAGGGCTGAGGGGAGGACTGACTGTCTGAACTTGGTCAGGACCAGGTGATAATACGACTGCGTTATCCAAGAGAGCCGGCTGATTAACAGCAGAATCAGGGTTGATATGCTCTGGGCTTTTTTGGAGCATATAGTCCGCATCGATTGGCATGTCGCTGGGAGCGGGCACATTTAGTTCAGGGGGTCCAGCAACAGCATCCGGTTTGCTTGATTCAGCGAAATCGGGACTTTCTTGGATATGTGCAAGTTCGATGTCCTTTCCAGTTTGAGCAAAGTCTTGCTCATCGAAGAAACTGAAATCAGCATCCGTGATCCCTTTCGTACCAAAGTCCCTTTCGTTAATGTCTCCAAAAAGGTCATCATCCTCGTTTGTGTCATAAAGTCCTGACCCAACGCCAAGCCCACCTGACGGACCGAAGTCCATATTCATATCCGAATCTAAGGCAATTTTTGCAGCTGACGACACTGCAGGGTTGACCCCTATGCCGGTCGTCCCATCAGGCGGTGTAGGGTACACAAGGCTGGCGCTCTGCATTTCAGGATGAAGAGAGGCTCGGGATAGACTTTCGATCCCTTCTGGGAGACTAGCATGCCCGGGCGATAACGTGGCGTGGTTGCTGATTTGTTGTTCCTGGCTGTCCGAAGGAAGCTCCAAGGGGTTGTCAACGGCTTTGGGTACTTCCTTATTAAACCATTCCTCCGCGAAACCCAAGGGGTCACCAAGAGAATACAGACTTTCCTCTGTTCTGTCGAAGGCTTCGGACTGACTAGACTTCATCCTCCTGAAGCAATAGACCGCAGGCCAAAGTATGCGCTTTAGTGGAAGCGATGATTTCTCTTCTTTCATTCGAGCGGCTTCTCCGGATAGTTTAGAATAGAATGGTTCCCAGACCTCAATCTCCACCCAACCATCATCAGCCACAGGGTCGGCAGAAAGTCCAAAGAAGCCCAACCATTCCAGAACGTTTAGTTTCCATCGTCCGATGTCGTTCGAATCCAAAAGAGTATGCGAAGGGTTGTTCTTTTCAGGGTGAGCAGTTACTAGCCTTGCAATTGAGCCGGTGGGGGCTAGCCAAAGATCTATGCCAGGTAAAAGCTCAGAACTGTTCGATCCTGGATTGTTGAGCCGTTTTAGACCAGCCTGTGCTATAGTCTGTAGGGCGACAGTTAACTTCCCCACCGAAGTCAGTTGGATTTGGAGGGAGGTCAGTGCTGAGACAGAAGTGGGGCCATTGTTGGCGGCGTCCTGGCCCTCATCTAGATAGCTCTCGACGGTGTTGAAGAGAGTGCGCGGCCCAAGGGGAATGGCATTGTTCTGTCGGACCATCTGAAGACTTAATGCGGCGGTAACAGCTGAGATAAATGAGGCGTAGATTGCCGCTGAACCGCCCGAATTGTCCACTCGCCGAGGTTGCACAGAGCCGCTTTGCAGCCGTTGTGACGGCGCCGGGGAATTGGCGCCTGTGGTTTGGAGATCTGACCGGTGGCTCTTCGCCAGATCTGCACAAGAGACACTCCCCGAGGTCCAAACTAATGAATTGGTAAGTGCACTGCTAGTATAAAGTGAGATCTGGCCGATCCGCTGTCGACTGACCTTTAAGAACCGTGGAACCAACAAGAAGGCGATTTGATTGATCCCCGCCTTCACTCGAAATCGCCGACGGGAGATGATCAAAGTCCGGTGTGGCGGAAAATATCAAAAGACCAAGGCGTCTCGGGTAACTCAATACTAAGCTACCTTGACACCTTAACCGAAGCTCGAGCTCTTTGAGGCGGCTAATATGTTTTAGAACAGTATGCCCATTGTTGGGGCCATCGCCTGGAGGATTAGTGCCATTATCCTCGGTGTAGATCCTCCAGTAGACGTTGGAGAATCCATCCTGGCTGCGCATTAGAACCGAGCTGGGGCTGTAACCGAGTAGATAGGAAGCAACACCTACAATGACGCGTATGTTTGTGATGCATCCCCCGGGAAAGTCCATATTTTAGCTGATGTCCCAGGGTGGACCAATAAAGATAGCTAGGGAAGCTGTAAAGACCGAAGATAACTTCATTTCCAAAGCAAGTCGAACCAAAGGCAGCTTCTCAATCCGCGGCCCATCGCATCGGGATGTTGACGAAGATGACGGTCAGCAATATGGCGAACTGCGGGTGATCAGCGCCCTATGAAGGTGTTCGATATCCGGGGAGCACAGGCGCGGTCAAAGCAGCGACATCATGGGACTAAGAATGGTGCGCAACGAAAGGAGCGACGATATCAACATCCCCAGCAGCGGAGGTTTGCGGCGAGATCCAGCACTCAAAGCCCAGTTGGTTATGGGGTTCCGCCAGGGCCCGTGCAGCCAATCGGAGGCTCTCGATATCCGCATGGTCACGTGCGCTCACTTATCGATAACCAGAAAAAATAAGAGAAAATCGGCAGTCTCAGTCTTTCCGATCCAGCATACACCGAGGGAATCATAACCATGAAGCTCTCTAATCAGTCGGAAGTCCCCGTTTATACGATATCGGGATCAAATACCGCCCGCCCATTACCAGAATGGCTTGCGAGACGACGAAAGCGCAGTCTCAAGGATGACCCAGAGTATGCGAATCGCATTGAACTACTGCAGGATTTCGAGTTTGAAGAAGCTAGTCAGTGCATTCGGGTCAGTGAAGACGGTGAATGGGTCATGAGCACAGGTGGGATACTATGTCTACTATATTGAGGGACTTTGGCGACTGACCAAGTATGCTTTGAAGGAACTTACAAGCCGCAAATCCACACGCACCACCTTCCTCAGCTTTCACTATCATGGGCTCGCCATACAGATGCCCTTAACACGACATTCCAATTGCTTTCTTCCGACTACTCAAAGTCTATCCACCTTCAGTCCGACCGGTCGCTCGAGTTCCATACGCCTGGCGGATGCCATTACAAGACAAGGCTTCCACGATACGGACGTGACCTGATCTATGATAAGATGTCCACGGAGGCTCTTGTTCCGGCGGTTGGTGTAAATGGCGATGGTATGGGTGAGGTCTTCCGTCTGAATCTAGAACTGGGACGTTACATGCGCAGTTTCGAGGTTGACGTTGGAGGCGACGACTTCACATCGGCCGGTGGAGGAGCATTGCAGGGTGGCATCAATACCGGTGCAGTCAATACCGGAGCTATTGCTGAGGAAAGTCATGGTCTGCTCGCCTTCGGTACGTCGCTGGGCACAGTTGAGCTCTGGGATCCGCGAGCCAAGGGTCGCGCTGGAGTTCTGTTACCTCCGACTCAGATCGGACCTGATGATGCAAGGAATGAGATTACGGCACTAGAATTCCACCGTTCTGGGTTGACGCTTGCCACCGGTTCCTCGAACGGCCTCATCCACCTCTACGATCTTCGGTCACCCGTTCCTCTGCTCAAGAAAGATCAAGGATACGGCTTCCCTATCCACACTCTGAATTTCCTACTACCGTCGTCATCCACCCGGGAACAGACTCTGGAACCCAAGATTATGTCCGCGGATAAGAAGATCATCAAGATCTGGGATCCTCGGGATGGCACCCCTTGGACTTCTGTCGAACCGGCCGTCGACATTAACTCAGTTGCCTGGTGTAAGGATAGTGGAATGATTCTCACAGCCAACGAAGGGCGGCAGCAGCATTCATTCTTCATTCCCCAGCTTGGGCCAGCTCCGAAGTGGTGTTCATTCCTGGATAACCTGGTTGAGGAAATGGCCGAAGATCCCAACGACCCTAGCGCCTTCAACGCTGGCCAGGCTGGCTCCGTCTACGATAACTTCAAGTTCCTTACCCTACCTCAACTCAAGACTCTCAGCCTTGACCATCTGATTGGAAGGACCAACCTATTGCGACCTTACATGCACGGATACTTCGTCGCTCAGCGACTTTACGAAGAAGCCCGATTAATCACTAACCCCTACATCTGGGAGGAAGAACGCGCAAAGAGAATCAAGGAGAAGATCGACAAGGAGCGTGAGAGCCGAATCCGAGGCAAGAAGAAGGCCGCCGTCAAGGTCAACAAGAAGCTCGCCGAGCGCCTCATGGAAATGGAGGAGAAAAACGAGCGCCGCAAGGCCCAACGTGTCCTGCAACAAGGAGGCGACGAACCCATGGAAGATGCCGATGCTGCTGCCTCCGCCCCCGAACCTACAGCAGTCCTTAGCGACAACCGTTTCGCCAAGCTCTTCGAGGACGAGGACTTCGCCATCGACGAGACATCCCGCGAATTTGCCCTTCGCAACGCAGGTAGTGCTCCCGAGCCTGCCCGCCCAGCTAGGAAAGAGCGCGGCCTCACAGCCGTGGAGCAAGAAGCCATCGACGAGGTCCCGAATTCCTCAGACTCCGACTCCGACTCAGAGAGCGAAAGCGAACAAGAACGATCGTCGAAACGCAAACCTTCCACCCAGAAATCCGCCAGACAATCCAACACCAACCGCCGCCAACCTCAAATGCAAGTCTCCTCTTCCTCTGCCACAGCCACCTCCACCCGCGACCGCTCCTTCGGCTCCCGTGCCCAAAACATGCGCACGAAAGAAAAGCCTAGTCGCCGCGTCACCGTGGTGGGAGAGCAGGAATTCACATTCAACCCTAGGGGTAAGGGATCAGCCAAACAGGGCAAGGATGCGCCCTTTAGGCCGACCACCGCATCCTCCGACTACAAGGCAAAAGAACGTAGGAGCGCCTCCGGAAACACGTTCCGCAGGATGTGAGCGTGCTTATCAGCTTAGAAACTCACGCTCCTTGTCTTGGTCTTGGGCTTGGGCTTCGTTTTGGTCCACGTCTTTACTACGCACCCTGAATCATGCAAATATGCAGCTGGCGCACCATGCCACTTCAGTATCTTGAACAGGACAATTTAGAGAGACACTGCACGCGCTTGATTCTCCCTAGAAGTCCGAGCTTGAGCTTGTGATCTTGCCAAAGGGGTGCTGCAATCTCTTTATTTCGCAGGCTAATCATTGCCAAGCTGTTGAGGACTTATAAGGGCTCAAGTCGCTCTAACTTTCATGACTCTAATGAGCACTGGCCAAAGAGGTGCTACGAGTCGATGAAACGCCAGCTGGTGAGACATGTCAGTCAGGCCGCTCAAAGACCCCCATGCAACTGCATGTCCATATAGATCTTCTCTTTGGTTTTGATATATCCCGTCTTGTACGTTTAGCGTTCCTTGAAGTCTAGTGAGGGAAAAGTTTTCTTCAGAATTAATCGATAGTTGATTAGTATGATTCATCGGCGTACTTCTGTGCTGTGATACAGCATCTATCATCGAAAAGCAAGCACTACCCTAACGCCGGCCATGGCATCAAACCCCAAGAGAGAAGCCAATGAGCACCCGTAGGCGACAATCATAGATCGCCAGAGATACCCAGGAAAACATGTCCCAAAATACAGACGAACCTGCCAGTTTAGTCCAAGGCGACCAAGAATCAGGAGAAGCACAAATTTTGAAATACAAGCAAATCAACCGTGGAAAGGAAAGCCAAAGCCAAAGAAACCCATGGGGTCGTATCATTCTCTATCACCTTTGCCAATCGCTAGCCGATCAGTCTATGAAAAACACCACCTTGCAAAATTGGGACCAAAACAGTAATCAAAACACCAGGGTGTATATGAGCCAACAGGCGTAAATGAAGAGCAGCTAGAATCTGAGCTGGAGGTATCCTACTCGAAACGTATGAGATGAAGAAAATGGATGAGAGAAGAGCAGATAGAGAAAGGGGATAATGTGTCTGCGGTATAGTCAAGGCCAGAGGTGGAAGCCAGAGAGCCCGCCTCGCTTCCCATTGCCTCGTCTGGTGTTGGTGTTTCCACTCGAATCTGGTCCGTGATTGCCTTGACGGCCTTCCTCGAAGCTTCGTCGCGATGCACCGAAATCACTCATGGCGAATAGCAAAGGCTCGTCTTCTTCGACCTGGGTGGTCGGCGGGATATGCTGGCGTCCCGCGCTAGATCTTCGCCCAGATCCTCGACGGTCTTCCGTGGCGCTATTGCTTGCGCTTGGATTGGCTTCGCGCTCAGCCTCGCGCTCCGCTAGATAGGGTGGAATGAGCCCGCCACGTGCGATGCTGCTGGAGCCAGAACTGAGGGAGTGAGGACCACCGGAGAATCCGCGGCCACGAGAATGGCTAAACCGCCGCTGGTGTAGGGGATGGTTTGATGATGGCGACGACGCAACTGCTGCGCCTAATGTCGAAGCGCCACGATGGGCACCAGACTCCCGTAGTGCAGGGACTCGATAAACGTCTCCATCGTCTCCCCTACTGGTACGCCCACCGGACTCAGATGGTGCTAGATTAGTACCAGCGGTTTGATACTCCTGTTGGCGTTGAAGCGTTCCGAGGCCAGTATGAGATGGTTCCTCAGCCCCAAGACTCACGCTACGCATGGTAAAGATTTCATCGTCGTCCATTACATGAGTACTGCGACGGTTGGCAGCTGAGCTAGAACGGCGGAAAGTGGTGGGATAGTTCGTCGCGGGAGATGTTGGGATAGGTATAGCAGTAACAGTTGAAGGGATACGTTCGGTCGTAGTTTCATCACTGGCATCCTCTTCTGGCGGCGAACCGTTGTCTTCATGTGAGCGTGTGGTAGTATCAACTATACTGTGGGAGCTCAAGCGAGAGGGTATAGCGGGTGTATGGGGAGTATGGGGAGATATCGCTTTCCCTCCAGGGGAGGAAGCGGTGGAGGTGGAGGTACCGGCAATCATTCCCGGGACACCAGAGAGTTGCTTGCTAGAGGTGGCAGATGAGCGATTCATGAGCATCGAGGATGACATTGAATCGGAAAGGGCGGCGTTGGAATCCCGCATGCCACGAAAGCGGCTTAGGGCTGCAGAAGTAGCCGTCGTCCTACGGGGATTGTCCACAGCGTTCTCACCCGAAGGACTCAACAGGTCCTTTCTAAGATCTAGCATCTTCAAGAACTCTGAGATATTTTCATCGTCCGCGTGGATTGAATCGGCACTAGTCCCGGTGATTTCGGCAAGTAGCCCAGAGCCGGGCTGAGCGCCGGAAGATGTTGCACTGGCTTTACCACTGGAAGTGTCGTCTTCAAGCCTGTTGATTCCTCCTGAAGACGGCCTGCCTCGACGGTGGCTGAAAGCACTACTGTATCTCGATATAGGTGCCGGGCGAGGAGATGCCGAGCTTGGAGACGGAAGAGGATTATCGGGACCTGACGCGAGTGGCTTGCGTGCTGAGGCGGCCACGGAGGGCGGTGGCATATTCCTGGACTCGGACAACGAGGCTCGACCAGTGCCAAGTGTCCGAGGCGAAGCCCCTAGTGGAGGGTCAACAAGAGACGGCGACGCAGACAACGGCGGCGCCTTGAACGGCTGAAACGAAATGGAGGGCCTTCTAGCAACGTTGGGGTTTGCTTCATTTGCGAGGGTGGCAGCGCGTCCCACCGGACCAGCTCTAGCAGCGGTGAAAGAGTTCCGGTGGGAAGAGGTCGGAGGAGATGGCGAGGAAGCCCCCGATTCTCTTGCAGCCCGAAGCGCTGAGATTGGACTCGCACCAGTAGTAGGACCTACATGGTGAAAAGTCGATAGACTGCCGTACGCGCGACTTAGGTCAGGATCCTCCACAGTTCTTCTCGTGAGCGGCACCGACCCAACTTCGGGGTTTGTTACTCGCGCATCCTGACCACGGAATGGTAACGACGGTTGGAAGATCTCGTCGTCAGCCCCCATGAATCGGGAGCTCAGAAGAGCCTCGGAGTCGTCGACACGGAAGTCGCAGCTTGTTCTATACGTAACTTGCACGGAAAACGGGCCAGCAGGCGATTCGTTGACGCCAAAGCTGTATGTATCAACCACTTTTGTATCGCCATCGAACAGAGGAATAGTCAAGTGATCCGGCTTGGATGATTCTTGAGATTGGCCACTCAATATCCGATATTTGATCCTCAGCGCGGGGTTTGCCCGAGACCGTCCATTGCGCTTAATGAATTTCCAGGCAGGGAGAAACTTTGAATATGTAAAGAGAGACCGAAAGAGGATGATACTCTTCTTGTATACCGTCGGTAAGATAGCACCGAGATCGCTGGGCAGTTTACCGGGCATGTCGCCCAATTCTACTCTCCATCGCTCAAGGATCACCTCATCTGCATTTGCGGAAGAGGCTTTCACTCGGTGCGAGCTTTGAGACGTAGCGAGTGATTCTGACACATCCCAACGTTTCCCATTTTCGTCTAAAGCAACAAGTGTCTGGTTATTTGTGAGCCCTTTTGTATCCAAGTACGTCTCGATTATCATCGGCGGCGGTCGGTTGTCTGTTGCATCACACGTTCTCCAGGTTTTCAGTTGGTCCTTAAGTGCATCCGTCTCTTCTATCTCGACATTAAACTACATAGATAGTATGTCAGCTAAGACGATTTCAATGCAGCAATGCAATCCATAGAAACATACCCAGCGATTCACCCGAGGTATGTTGGAATTTTTAGTATAGGTGGGGGGTAGCTCGACGCGAGAATGTAAGATGATAAGGGCAGCCTTCGTATGATAGTTCTAAGACAATATTAGAACCGAATATCATATTCAAATACGCGACATGGAGCCGACAGCACAGAGTTGGAAGCATACCGTAACAATCTGGTTCACTTTGCCGATAGCTTCCGGTCCAGGTTGGGAGCTTTGTCCAGGTTCTGAAGTATCATTCTCAGTTTCAATGCCTAAGCCTCTGTTCGGATGTGCTCTGAGGTCGAAGGCGGGTGAATCGGAGCGGCGATCGTAGTCCTGAGAGCGCCGGGCTGAAGAGGACGGCGCCGCGGGAGCGGGCGGCCGCGGATGTTGATGCATTGCTTTTGGAAATAAACCAACAATACCAGACGGGTGCTATTATTGTAATATCCAGGCGTATTCCAAGGGAGTAGGTGGGGAGCGTAGTAACTATATCAGGAACGAAACGGGGGGACGACGGTGCCGCTGTGGTTGGCCATGCTCACGAACGGAAGAGAGGCACAAGAGAGTCGGATTCGCAGTGGGACCTTCAAATCAGAGCTCAAAGATAAGTCAAGCTAATAAGCACAAAGTAATAAGCGTTTGAGGCTCTAGATAGCAAGCAGCGAAATCATTGTTTGCTGTGCTCAGGCAACAGGGTGTTTGTGAGTGTGGTTGGTCTAGACAACCTTGGGAGCTTCTCCGCACTGACAGCGGCTCCAGTTATCTGGACGGGGATCAGGTCCGGCAGGATCAGCAATTCAAGGAGTCATGATCAACACAGTTTTGACGGAAATGTCGCTGATATAAGAGGATCGAGAGAAGGGGAAAGCAAGAGATATGAAAGGGAGCAGAGAAAGAGGTGTGGACGAAGATCGGCCAAGAGAGAGGAAGAGAGTGGTGAGTAAGTAGTCCAGGCCTGCAGAGGGTCTGTGACGCACGCTGGTGACTCGACGGGCCCTGGTCAAGTGCAGCCTTCCGTCAGGTTGTCTTGCTAGTCCCGCTAGATAGGTCAACAACAACCAATTTTTGATCCTCCCAACACAGCATAGGATCAGTTAGCTTAGTCCCCGTTTGTATTCCTCCTCTTTTTCCAACAAATTCGTGATCAGGCCTGTTGGTGGTGAGACCTTTGATTCAGACTGGGGTTCGGGAAGGCGGTGAGGGCCACTGATAGATAGCGTAGATCCTCCCGTGACAATGAACAATCTAGTCAGGTGCGCTTGCGTTATCTCTTTCCACTCTTTCAACCTTACTCCCTAGCTCTGCTGGTTTTCTCTGAGAGGTCCGGGGGCGAATCCCGTCCCAGCGCTGAGCATGCATATCAGCTGTGGCCTCCAGGCACAGACCACCTTCCAAGTCGTCAGCACTGACACTGGTCGCCTCATCTGCACCCTGAATGCGTCGCACCGCTACAGGCGCCGGTACAGGGCGCCGCTACAGGTGGAGTCAAGACGGAACTCACCACTTGGAGTCCAGGCACGAGTCTTATTCCTATAGGACCTTGGTAGCCACTCTTGCCACGAAGTGGCAGAATGATATGTCCATCCGCTGCCAGGCTGATGAGAAACTGCGACCTGGAACTTTTAGGCCAGCCAGCCACTGCCGGATTTACTAACTACAGGTCTCTATACGACAGGTACCGACTTTGCGTCGTCTGCGACCTTGCAGTTAGCCGAAAATATTGATTTCGTTCTTTGAGATCGAGGAGGCTGGGGCGTGCTTGTGGCTACTTGCAGACGGCGATGTTCCTACCGTAGAAGTGTCTACCGTGCAAGTGCTTTGGTTTTGGTTCCGGTTCCAATGCATCGGCAGCAATATTTCTCTGCGAGGCTACTGTTAAGGATGGTCTGATGGATAAGGTAAAGGGTCCGCCCACCTCGTGCGCTGGAAATTGAACGCCGAAAGGCTGCTGAATGGATTGCGTTTTGCAAGATGTCTTCCGCACGCAAGTTCCCGAGCCTAGAGTCTTCATTACTACCGAGGTCAGCTTTCTAGGAACCAGTTTTGTTTGTGTCTAGAAAGCAAGAACCCTCGAGAAATATTCCCGGATTGACCCCCCTTCTACCGCACTCGTAGCGCCAATCAACCCATCCGGCCGTAGGATCACGACGGCGCCCTTCTCCGAATCCACCCCCATCCTGTCATGAGCTGAGGGTTTCGCTGCATCAAAATACGCGTTTCCAAGGGGACTCGTCCCCAGGGCTTCATACGGCGAGCATCCGACGGTCGAAGTTATTGTCAACCATTCAATGCTCTTGTGCGATGTAAGCTCTGGCGCCGTGTCGCGCAGATACCGCTGCAATTTCAGCAACGTTCTTTGAATACTCGGTTTACTACTACCCGTGAAGACAACAACCCAAAACTTGGCCAGGTTCGGCGTAATTTTCTGCAGTCGGATGCTCTGGTTCGTGCCAGGCATCCTCAATTCAACGTCTGGAGGCCGGCTTCCCGCCATGAAAGCGCACCATGATGCCGATGTCGTATCGTTCAGCACATTTTCCGGATAGGAGATGCCTAATCCCGTATTGAACGCAGCAGCCTTGTCAAATATCTGCCCCAGGACAAGATGCGGGTCTGCATTCGGATCGCCCGTATACCAGGCAGGCCATTTGCAGGACATGAGCATCGCAATATCCTTGTCGTAGTTGATCAGCTTCTGCACAGCCGTCAACCGCTCGGCCGTGTACGTCTCCAGTACCTCGGGCTTTGTGAGTCCTCGAATGTGCAGCGCCAATTTCCATCCGAGGTTAACAGCATCATGGATACCCGTGTTGAGACCCTGTGCGGCGCCACTGCTATGCGTGTGTGCTGCATCGCCGCAGAGGTAGATTCGGTTGTTGGTCGTCGAGAAAGTCTTTGCGATGCGCTGCCCGATTGTGTAGAGTGTCCACCAGTGCACTTCCTTGAAGGTGACCTTGAAAGGCTTCATGGCTTCGATTGCTTCTTGCACGGCTACGTCTTGCGTCACGCCATCCGGGTATTTGGTAGCGATCTCTGAGCTGTATGCATAGCCGATTCTTGTGGCGCCGTGGTCGAGCGGAGCCCAGAGGACGTTTCCGTGTGTTCTACTTTCGATCGCGCTGTTCCCGAAACCGTGATGTCAGTTGTGCTTATGGAAGGTAGCGCATGACTGCGTGAACGACTCACCCATAGGCACGAGTAACCGGCATGTCTGTCTCAACTATCCCATCTATTCGAATCCACCTATCTTCGGACGTGTCGCCTTCAAAGGGAATTCTTGTGTGTCGGCGGACGAAGCTGCGTCCCCCGTCTGCACCGATGAGGTACTTGCTGCCGTTCTTTAGCCATGTATCATGTAGCGCAGGAACTAGTCGGTAACTTGACTATACCTCTTCAAATGGAAAGTTTCCTGTGTCGCGGCATTTCGAAAGGTAGATGTCATTGCATACCCATCAGGTGCTGTGCCCTCGTCGCATTCGAAGCCAACGCACTCCGTTCCCTGGTGATAAGTCGCTCCAACAGATTGCAGCTTCTCCCGAAGGATCGATTCTGTGTACATTTGCCGCAGGACGAGGGTAAAGCCGTACGCAGTGTCTTTGATGTTCTCCATGAACGTCCAGACCCGACCTGGGATGCTTTATCCCATCAATCAGTTCCCTCTGCTCAATTTCAAAGGATAATTAGACAGAGAGATCACCTACACCCTCTCCCCATCCTTATATGTGACACTATTCCGACAAGAAAACCCCAGCTGTAGCATTGGCTCAATCACACCCAGCTGATCCAGCAGCTCTGAAGTGCGCGGGAATAAGGCAATCGCTCGCCCATATGCATCCTGCGTCTCCTTTCTGTGCTGCTCCAACACACACGCGGATACGCCGAAGCGCTTAAGCTGGTATGCCAGAAGAAGGCCAACTGGGCCTCCCCCGACGATTACCACGTCGTACGTGTTTTCTTCGGTGACGGTGGGGTCTGAAGTTGTCATTTCGGCCTTGTCGTCCACCCGCCGACAACGTCAATCATTGATCTCAATATATTTTCAGTGAGGCATCGTTCCAATATGTGCTCTTTATTCGGTCAACTAGTGCTGTGCGGGGAATAAGACTCCATCTGAAAAGTAATTCGGGGTATGGAGTAGACGCTCGCGATAAGCCCATGGTTAGGTGCCTATGCAACCACCAATCGCTTACTGGCTCCGTCTCTCCAGAGCACGGAGTATATTAGATGGCCCCCATCTCAAAGATAATCCCCGTTATCACACCTCCGTGGTGGCGCCAGTCGGGGCTTTGTTATCAGTGTCGGGGGGACCGAAATCCTGCAAGGGCTAGTAGTCTGATAAGACACGCAGCCACTGCAACTGCGCCCTTTGCCCGATTGGCCATGGACGGGACTTTCTGAGTCTTGCGTTATGTTGCTTGATGTCTATCAAGAAAGCCAAGTTGCCCTGGCAGAGCTTGTGGATGACTCTGTGTACCATGGTCGCTCGACTGCTGGTAGTTAGGGCTTCTTGGATACACCGTGCTCACTGTTGCGGAACATGAGACAATATCCATCACTCATGCTCAGCTAGACGACAGCAAGCACTCACACTGCGAGGGAGAAATTGTTATCGGCGTGGCGTCGTCCTAAATCCCTACTCCCAGTCCAAAGACATTGGTCTAGGTGTGGTTGTGTAGTATCCAGACCAGCTTATCATCCGACAAGGCTTTACCAAGGCCTTGGGAAGGCTACAGTGGCATGTGTCTGCCGTAGCCAGCGAGTAAAGATACGTTTTTCTCAATCTAATGTGCAGCCTATCTCTCTGCGTGCATCCAGGGTGCAAGAGCTGGGGCTTGGCCGTTGGCGACAGCTGTTTATTAGGGTCATTGCCCTCACACGTCTTGTACTCACTCAAGTGCAGCAATTCTCCGCCATTCAGCTCTTCAAAACTCTTCAGCCATGGCAAAATCAGTACAAGAAAAGTCGGCAGCGACAGTAGCAGCTGACAATGAGGTGGGTCAGGTAGTCGATTACCAGGCGCAGGACCATGGCGCCGACTCGGGGCTCATTCGTTCGCTGGAGACGCGCCATCTCCTCATGTTCTCGATCGGTTCGTCAATTGGAATGGGTCTTTGGTTGGGTTCCGGCACATCACTTGCTTCTGGTGGTCCTGCTGCTATTTTCCTGGGTTATTGGATTGCAGGCTCCATTGCCTGGCTTCTCAACCAGGCAGTGGGCGAACTGGCCGTCCTGTATCCTGTTCCAAGTGCTTTTCCCCAATGGTCGCGGAAGTTCATTGATCACGCCGTAGCACTCACTGTCGGCTGGTCGTACTGGTTCTCCGGATCCATTACCCTTGCCAACGAGCTGCAGGCCATCGTCACGGTGCTCAGGTTCTGGGACGACACCGTGCCGACCGCCGCATGGCTGTCAATCTTCCTTGTGGCAATCTTCCTCATCAACGTCTGCGCCGTGCGTATTTTTGGTGAAGCGGAGGCCGTCATGTCCACGGTCAAGCTTCTCTGGATTGTCATCGTGATCATCTGCGGCATCATAATCAGTGCCGGCGGCGCCCCCAACCACAAGACTACTGGTTTCGAATACTGGAACTCCATGCCCTTCACCCACGGATTCAAAGGCTTTCTCTCAGTCATGGGCACCTGTATCTTCGCTATGTCCGGCTCCGAAATGGGCGGCCTGGTCGCCGCCGAGGCACGCAACCCTCTCAAGGCCGTCCCTAAAGCCGTCAACGCCATCTGGATTCGCCTCTCTCTCTTCTACATCCTTGGCGCCCTAATCGTCAGCATTACCGTGTCGCCGCTCAACGAGAATCTCTTTGGCGGCGAAGGCGTCAACGCCAGTCCCTTCGTTATTGCCTTCCGTGATGCAGGGCTTCCGGGCCTCGCGCACGCCATGAACGCCGTCATCTTCATCTCCGTCCTCTCGTGCGGCAATGCCCAGGCATACGCCGCCACGCGAACCCTTGTCGGTCTCGCCGAGATTGGAATGGCACCTAGCTTCCTCCAGAAATGTGACAAGCAAGGCCGCCCCTACTACGCCGTCGCCCTTACCTTCCTTGTCGGTGGCGGTCTATGCTACCTCAACGTGAGCAACTCCGGAGCCACCGTATTCGGCTGGTTCTCCAGCCTCACTTCTCTCTGCACGCTGTATCTCTGGGGCATGATCTTCGTCTGCCACATCCGGTTCCGTGCCGCGTGGAAGGCGCAGGGCCGTCATGTCAGTGATCTTCCCTGGAAGACCTGGACTTGGCCGTGGGGGTCGATCTATGGGCTTATTTGGTGCATCCTGCTCGTCATCGTCGAGTTCTATTTGGCTGTTTGGCCGCTCGGAGAACCAAGCTCTGCGGAGACCTTCTTTGCTAACTATGTCTCCGTCGTGGCGATCGTGGTCATGTTTATTGTTGCTAAGATATATTATCGTGGGCCGCTCTGGATTAAGGCGATGGATATTGACCTCGACACGGGCCGTCGGTTCTATGTTGACGATGTTGATGCGCTGAAGAAGAGGACTCTTATGAATAAGGTGGTGGACTTTTTTACCGGTGATGGAAGTGTGTAGAGACATTTCGAGATAGTTCGAGACATTTTGGGTTGTTGTGTTCTGTTTGTGTGTTTCTCTTCGGACCAGGGACACAATTGATAGCCTATTTATGGAATTCTTGTAGTGTCAGCACACCCAGTCTATTGAAGATATCTCTCCAGTCATTCTAGTTTTATCCATTGTTAGAGAACGGTTGCAGCTTACTTGCCCTAGTGGGAATCTCGGTATGTAGTCTAGTCAAGTGCGCTGCTGAAGATCCAAACCACTTTTAGGAGACATGGTAACGCTCCCCTAGTCTAACAACCATAAAAGTCTAGACAGATTGCAGATGGACATACCTAGGGCGCCGACTATCTTGCTGATGACAACCGCGCATGCATTGCCTCGGCATCCGGAGTCATGGCAAGACCGTTGCGGATATGGTTAGCTAGGCGAGCACGGGCATCAGGGAGGAACCGCAATTGCAAAGCAGAGAGCCAGTATAAGATGCATGAGGGGAACATGTCCGGGTTGAACAAGCCTGGGCCTCTCGTCGGGGAGCATGGAGGGGTCTGCCAGTTCCGATTGGCCGGATGCGGGATTACTATCCATGGCTCATTTTGGCTCAACTCGTCCAGCTCTTCTGCTTTATCCTTCCTGATAACCCTCCAACTCCTTCCGAACGCGAGATCCGCCTTGCGATCGCACTGCTCTCGAATACCGGAAACGTTTTGAACCCCTGCCCGCACCGTGTGAACGCCGGAGATAACTGTTCTGCCCGTCATCCGCCTAGTCGTCGCCACCACACATTCGCGCATCGTCGACATTTTCCTACGTCCTCACCTCGAAACCGCGCCGCTTCACTTGAAGATCTCACATCGCTGTATCGACACTGCACGAGCATTGCATACGCTTCGACGTCTCTCGACGACCCCTTCTCCCTCCGTCAGAATACTCTTATCGCCCTTGGAAATCCTACCCGCGCGTCCACTTCCGCAGCGAAGCTGACGCTCCGGTTCCGGGCAGAAAAGAGTTTCTGACACCACAGACTACTGGGCACATGAGTAGCAAGCTTTGGGAATTCTTTCTACGCGATGACGTTGAAAGCTTTCAGCGGTTTCTGGCCAGCGCCGGCTATACCTCTGCCGGTCAGAGGCCTCCAGGCGGCGGAGGCGCATATTTCAGCAGCGCCGGTTCGATGATCTCGTCTTCCCTAGGTGCTTCGCCAAAGGGTAAGAAGTCCATTAGCACTTCACCTACGACACCTGCGTTAGAGCGCGGTGGTGGCTCACGGTCAGCCAAAACCATCTCTCGGGATGAATTGAACGCCCGAGACCAGCATGGAAGGACACTCCTGCATCACGTCGCCTCGTCGCCCAAACCGACCGCCTTCGACTTTGCTCTCGCTTTGCTGGAGGTGCCGTTCCTCGATATATATGCGCAGGATTTAGAAAGTGGATGGACGGCGCTACACCGGGCTCTTTATGCGGGCAATGCCACAATCGCGCAAGCCTTGATGGCCCGGGATGCGCGCGATGCGACAGACATGAGTAAGCCAGGATCATTGGGCCATCCGAGCGGAAGCCTCATCAAGATCAAGGATAGAGAGGGCTACAGTCCGTTCGACGTATATGCGTCCACGATCACTTCTCGCACTGTTGGCCCGTTGGCTCCAGACCTTGGGTCGGACGCTGCCTCCTCGGTCAGTGCCTCGGACGATGAAGATGCCGCAGAGAATTTCGAGAAACCAGATGAGAACTTGTTCAGTGACGAAGTGTACACATTTGGAAGTAACAAAAATCTCAACCTTGGCGTGGGAGACCAGGACGACCGACAGTATCCCGAAAGGATAACGCTCGCACGTCCAGCACACCTTATGGAGAGGTTCTTTCGAGAATATCAGGAACGGCATGACGACGTCAAATCCGCAGGCGATCCTTCCAACCCAGACCTTCCAGCTTTCATAAAAGCCAAGCCGCTCAAAATCCAGACGTTAGCGATGTCCAAGCTTCACACGGCAATCCTTACCAACGACCCCGAATCCAACCTTTTTATGTGCGGCTTTGGTCCTGGTGGCCGTCTGGGCACTGGAGATGAGAGCACGCGGTTTAGTTTCGTTTGTATCGAGAACGGCGGCCTTGCAAACAGGAAGATAGTGTCCGTTGCTCTCGGTCAGGATCATACGCTCGCCATTACCGATAATGGAGATATTTTCAGCTGGGGAAGCAACAAATTTGGTCAGTTAGGATACGGTCTTCCCAGGGCAAATAACAAAGATGACGTGCCCATTCAGCCATCTCCACGGCAAATATTCAACCCGTTCAAGAAAGAGGTCATCCTAGGAGCAGCGGCGTCGGCCATCCACTCGGTTGTTTACAGTACTTCTGGCCTATACACCTTTGGTAAAAACGAGGGCCAGCTGGGTCTTGTGGATTCAGACGCCCGGTCACTTGAAGTACAGACGACACCGCGACGTGTTGGTGCATCGCTGCTCAGTACTCCGATACAAAGCGTATCTGCCACTGACCAGGCTACCGCTATTTTGCTCCAGAACCATGAAGTCTGGGTGTTTTCGCATTATGGTTATTCTAGGCTCTCGTTCCCTTTAGAGGTCAACTCAAGGTTCATAAGAGACAGTTTCATGGCCACCCGATACGATACTTCTGTCAACCGCATCGTCAAAATCCGGTCTGGCGGCAATACTATCTGTGCCTTGTCAAGTTCCGGAGATGTTTTCACAGCCCAGGTCAACAAGTTGGAGAATCTGCCAAGTTTGACTTCGACGACCAATCCCTCGAAAATTCGTAATTCTTTGTCCACGCCTGTACGCGTCTGGTCTGTGAAGAAGGCGCATATGGCAGTCAAAGATGTCGACGTCGGTCAGGATGGATCGATCATCATTTGCACAGCTTCAGGCTCCACATGGAGAAAAGAACGGCGTCGCAAATCCAAGCACGGATCCTCGGGGGAGTACAAATTCGCTCGTGTTCCCGGCCTTTCGCGGGTGGTTGGTGTCTGCAGCAATGCTTTTGGAGCATTCGCGGTCGCTCAACGCGAATGTGAAGTGACCAAGGAACAGATCACTGTTGATCCTAGCAGCCTTTGGCGAGACATTTGGCCGTTGTCGCCCTTCAACTCAATCCGCGCAAGCATGGAGCAATTAATATCTGTCCCTGGCGAAGAGGAGCGTGACCTAGAGTCAGTTGCAGCACTTCGGCAAGCCCTAATAGACGCCCCGAATCCAGAACTGTATTTCCGAACAACGTTTGCCGGGCCACCCACTGGAACAGTCTGGGTTATGACAACCATGTCAGATATACGAGTTCCTGTTCATGAATTTATCTTGGCAGGTCGCAGTTCCGTCTTGAGGAGAGCTCTACTTGACTATCGGCGTAAACACAGCGCTTCTGTACCTGATGTTCTATCTATTGAGAAAGACGACAACGGGGATCGCCGGATAGTCTTCCAAGGACTTGATACCCTAACCCTTCTGAACTTTGCTTTCTTCCTTTACACGGACGCTGTTCTCGATGTCTGGCAGCATGCCCGGTATTCCCCAGAGAATGCTTCCCGCTTCCGCCAGGTACGAACGGAGGTGATGCGCATCGCCTCGCATTTACACCTTCCCGCCTTGGAACGAGCCGCAGTACTCATGGTCAGACCTGCCAAGAGCATGAAGGCTGATTTCGCCGTGGCCCTCAACGACCCTGCCTTCTTTGACAGCGGCGATGTCGTGATCGAATTGAATGGCGACCGAATGATAGCTCACAGCCAACTCATCTGTCAAAGATGCCCATTCTTCTATGCTCTATTTATCGGTCGCTCGGGTGGTATGTGGCTACAGTCTCGACGTAAATCACCTCAAGACAAAGTCCACGTTGACCTTAAACATGTCGATCGCCCGGTATTTGAGTTTGTTGTCCGATATATGTATGCGGACACAGACGATCGGCTCTTTGATGATGTTCGAACGAGAGATACTCAGGAATTTGTTGATCTTATCATAGACGTTGCCTTTGTGGCCAATGAGTTGATGATCGATAGATTGGCACAGATTTGTCAAAAGGCACTGGGGACATTCGGTAGGTCAATCCACTAGCTTCTGGCATCCGATACTAATGTGCCCCAGTGACTTCGCGCAATGTGTGTCATCTTCTCAATTCGGTTGCTCCCTGCTTTGTTACCGAGTTTAAAGATGCTGCGCTAGAGTACATATGCCTGAACCTAGAAGATCTGATCTCAAATAGGCAAGTCATGACCGCAGCGGCCCCTTACATATAAATCTAACTATTGGATAGGCTTCTGGGTGATCTCGACCAATATCTTCTCCGCGCTCTTGATAACGTCTGCCATGACAATCAAATGACAGCCTTCCCCATATCCAGGGGCCGCAACGCGCTTGAGTTCATCTACGAAAAGTATCCTGAACTTATCACATCGATTGAGGCAGATAGACGACGATTGATTGACTCAATACGGCTCAGGTCTCGTGTCAGCAAGATTGACTCGCAGGAAGGAAAGCTCAGAGCTTCAAGCGAGAAAATCGCAGCTTCACCGTCGACGTCAAAGCCCAAGGTTGGTGCAGATAGAGTTCGCCCTGCGGCCGCCTATGATAGTCCACTGCTTAAATCAAAACACTCAACTGGTGATTTGATGTTTCAAATGGACGATGAGGCTCCATTGTCCCCTCGAGACTCCGGAAAGGGAAAGGCAGTGGACCGAAGCACCAACAGAGTGGAAGAGCCCGAAACTCGACCATGGAGCGATGCACCAGTACTCGGCTCTAGTCTGCAGGATGCAGCGTCATTTGGCGGCCGGAGTTACCTAGATGACCGAATGGCATCTCCACAGGACACAAGTCTCGGCAAATCTCCTGTATTCCAGCCCAGCACACCTCAGAGGGAGCAGAATGGATCTATATCCTCACCGTATCCTTCACAAGCACCCTGGAAGCCAGCATCTCTTTCAGGATCTAAGAAAGCCCTCAAGGATATAATGAGCGAGGCTTCAGAAAGCCGAGTCTCGAATCTTAGCCTTGGAATGTCATCTGCGCGTCGTGAAAGCAGCAGTTTATCTACTTCCAAGTTGTCTCAAAAGGAGCGCAAGAAGATGCAGCAGCAACAGTTGCAGGACATGGCCGCCGCTCAACAGAAAACCAAAGAGGCCGCGCAAAGTCCCTGGAAGATTCCCAGCCCGGCTCCAGCTGTACCTATTGGCACATCTCCAAACACAAAGGCAAACGGACACGACATCCTATCGCCTACACCATCCAGACTAGCCCAAAGACCTGGGATGACACTCCGCCAGACAGTCGCAGGTGCGCCCTCGCCTAAGCACGGCAGTCCCGCCAATCCGACACCGACCACCTCGAAGGCTCGTAGTGTCTCAGCTACCGCCACCCCGATAAACGCCAAACCCCTATCAAACCCGAGCCCATCAGACGCAGCTGCACCCTCCGCATCTCCCACCGACCAACCTTCCATCAAATCAGTCCGGCACATTCCCCGACCCGAACCTTACCAAACTGCCTTCCACGCCGACTCGCCAGGCTCTCTATCTCTCGCCACAATCCTCATGCAGCAACAGACGGAAAAGGACGAGATTCGCGAAGCCGCGACGGCTAAACACAATCTCCAAGATATCCAGGCTGAGCAGGCGTTCCAGGAATGGTGGGATAAGGAGAGTAGACGTGTGCAGGGAATTGCGGAGCCGGAGGCTGAAGATAGACCAGGCCAGGCTGAGCGAAGCGGCCGTGATGGCGGGCGAGGCGGCCGCGGAAGTAAAGGTGCTACTGGCCAAAGCCAGCGGAAGAGGCGCGGGAAAGGGCCCCATGCGCAGGGTCAGGGTCAGGGTCAGGGAGGTGCTGGTGCTGGTGCTGGTGCTGTATCATCACCGGTTCAGCAGGGCCAAACGGCGCGGAACGGTTCCGAAGCCACTTCTCGGGCTCGTCAACAAACGTCAACGCCGACACCGAAAAAACCACATACACATGCGAACTCTGCGAATCCCTCGCGCCGCGGTCGAGGCGGGTACCGCGGAAAGCAAAGTGAGGGTCAGAGGGCGTAAAGCTATTGAAGAACTTTCTTTTCTCCGTATATATTGCCATTGATGTCTCCGCCCCCCATCGACATTTTACACATACTGTAATCAGATAGACGTCCGCGCCTGCATTCACACAACACTTTGATTATTTATCTGGGGCCGGTACACGGTACGGCCTGTATTTCTATACCATGCCAATATCATGCATTTACGCAATACCAACTGGATTCTTTCAATATAGAACGTATATGAGATTTATATTATCAGAATCATGACTCTACAAATGCTGCATCAGCGCCCATCTCCAAATACTTGGCTAGCGTACTATCAAAGTGAGTAAAGCCAGTGGTAAGTAGAGTCAAGAGAAAGAAGAAATCTATACAAAAGTCCGCACTGTCGCATAGCGTCAGAAAAATCGAATAAAGTGCTAAATGCCGTATCATGATCAACATATCCGGATGCTTATGCTTATGCTCATGCTATTCAGAGGAGATGAAACACATGCTCAACAAGCTAAGAGGCAACAGCAGGTAAAAAAGCGAGAAAGCGTCAACATCAGGTCATTACATCATGTAAGCGCATCGACGTACGTATACGTGTACATAGCTTCTTCAGAAGAAGAGAACGCTATAAGGCAGAGGAATGGGGGGTTAAAGCGCAGGAGGAGACGAAGACGAGAAAGAGGAGACGGGCAACGCTATTTCGCAGGAACGCGCTCATAGAATACAATATACGCCTGCTCGTTCTGCAACCGGTCTTTGAACGACGTATCGCGTGGTAAAAAGTCGGTTGCGCGGCCGTCGTCGAACTTGCGCCAGCATTGCCGCGAGGCATCACGCACTAGGGATATATAATGCCCGCTGCCCATGGACGAGCCCAGATGGCGCAGGACGCCATAGGCATCGTACGTGAAAGGTGGTTCTGTGGCGGAGGTTGGATCCCGAGGACCTTCATCGGTGGAAGAAGGGTGTTTGGGCTGTGAGAAGACGAAGTCGTCCATGCGAAGGCCGTGGAGGGGAAAGTCGATTGGGGTGTGGATCTTACGGGCACTTTGTGTCTTGGAGGCCGAAAAGCGCTTGAAGTGGACCACCAGGATCTGGGGGGCGCGAGTTATGATGATCTGTTTGGTTGCGACACGCTCGCATTTGCAGTAGGGACACTTCCACACTTCGTCGCCGCTTAACATCTCTTCTTGGCAGTAGCTGCGGAGGCATTGGTAGATGTCGCCCTTTCCAGACGTTGGAATTTCGACACTGATGCTGTAGAAAGCTTCATACGTTGTTGACGTTCGCTTGCAAGTCGTGCATCGAAGCCGGCTTGCATGCTGCCCGGCAAAAAGAGATGAGATGAACGATTCTTCTCTGTGACAGTATCGATCCCATTCAATCTTGGAAACTTTGGCCACTGGCATTCTTTCGCGCTGCATCTCTTCTTCGAAAGTCAGCGGCCTGAGCTGCGTCCGCTGCCAATTTACGTTGAGGTCCTCATGAAGGCAATCCACAACAAAATCAAAGAACTCCTTTGCATCCTGTTGTCTGTCTATACCCCATTCCTGGTTCAATCGCCCACAGAAGTTTCGAAATGACGTCGGCATGATGACCTGCACATCGTTCTTCCACAAAGACCTTATGAGGTTTGCATATAGCCCAGGCATGATGCCCTGGGATCCTTTCCAATTCTTCTGAACATAGTATCTAAACCGATCATCAATGAAGAACTTGCTCATCAGCACCGTTGCACTTAAGCACTGGATTGTCGAGTTCATATAACAGGTAACTCCAAAGTTTGCCAGTCCGGTACGAGGGAGCTTGAGGCGATTGAGCAGAGAGTTTGAGGTGTAAAGGGCATGCTTGGTTGCGGAGTTTTGTCTCTGCAACGGTGCTTGTATTTGTCGGCCATCCGACACACCGCTGTAACTAGGACGCGGAACAGCAGGTGGAGGTCTCGAAGGAGCAATAGGCACATGGGACGCATAATTGGGAATCGCTGGCGGCTCAGGCTGAACATTTACCATGGATTGTTGTATATTGTTTGGTTCTGGGAAACGACGCAAGAAATCCTCGTACGAGCGAATGAAGGGCGAGACAGGGGCGCCTGCTGCTTGTTGTTCTTCCTCGGGTTCCTCTGCAAGTGCATCCTCTCCAAGATACGCACTTGCGTCAAGTTCTTCCGTTTTCGACTTTTCCAGCCATTCTGTGAGTTCATCAGGATTCAACTGTGAAAGCTTGCGAAGCCTTCGCTTCCTGATTTCTAGACTAGAATTAGCGCTAGCAATTGTCGGGACCCTCCCAAGAGGGCGCCCCGGCCTCGCGACAGGTCGTCTGGTTTGTAAAGACGCTAATATTGCAGCCGTAGATGATGTGGCAAGTGACTGTTGCCCTAAGAGATCAATCCAAGCGTCGAGACCCCCCACTAGAAGCATAGGCGGTCTGCCATCCTTCAACGGTTTGTAAGCGTTGAACTCGTATAATGTATCATACAATGCCCTTAGGTGGGGTGCCGTGGTTCCAACCGGTGGACCAGCAAGGTAGCTGCTTGAACTGGTATCCTGGTCATAATAGACCACCATATCAAACTCATTGCGCCTCTCGAATAATGACTGCTCGTGCTCAGGAGAAACCACAAGTCGCTCCTCAAGCTCCTCTGCAGAAACATTCTCCCTTAGCGCGACTGGTTCAATACATATGATCGATTTTGCGTATACATGACCGCTGTCGTAATCCTCACGGGAACGAACATCGATCAACAATATGTTATAACGTCGGAGGTGATCCAGCAACTCCTGCGCGCTTATTGTAGATCTATGCGGTAGGTCCGCCGTATTACTACCGGGGGCCTTTAGCGCGTGGACGCCATTTGGTGTCCGAGACCTATAAGGATTATCATCGAAACCATTCGGACTCTGACTGCCACGAGGAGAGTTCGCAAGATGAGAATATCGCGGATTGTTCGCACGGAAGCTCTCTGTCGAAGTTCTAGGTGGGTTGGACGGAGGCTGAGACGGCACCGTGTATATTGGGCTATAAGCGGGATCTGGCGCCCGCGGCAATGATGTGTTGAGGGGGATTTTGGGGGGTATTGAGGGTCCCCCCTGAGCCGTTCCCATGGTTCGAGGGCCTAGAGGCCGCCTAGAAGGAGAACTTAGTGTCGACCCATGCGTTGGCCCATGAGAGACGTAGGAGGATGGGCGAGGAGATTGGTTTTCAACATGCCCTTGTTCATTGTCTCCCCAATTGGCTGTCCCCGAACTGGTATCATTACTTGTAGGTGATGATGTCTTGAGCTTGGCAAGGCGCTGAGCAAGTGCATCAGGAGGTGCCGAATATCTATTTGGTTGACCCTGCGAGCCAAAAGACTGAAACTGCGAAGGACTAGGCATCCGTGTGGACGAATCTCCCACCTCACTCTGACGGCCGCGTGGGCTTGTAGGTAGATAAGTTCCGGCAGGAAGTATTTGCGATACTGGTCGCCGAGCAATTGGTGAAAACCGGCCAGTCGGTTTGGCCATGGTCTTGAGATTGTTCTCCACGATTTGTTGCTTGATTGTATCGGCAGTTCCCTGTTTTGTTCGTACGGCCTATGAATGCCTAGTTAGTGAGATGCCCTAAAGACAACCACGAATATTAGACAGCGCTGAGGTGTACGGGGAGAGACTTGCCATCATGAGATCCGAAAACTGCTTATGCCAGCCGGGGATTTGGGTGGCGGCTGTCCGATAATCGGGGTGGTTTGGGATGGAATTTATAGTGATTTCTGAAGCGCGAACGTATTGTACGTATGCTCTGTCGATTTCGTTGCTGTCTGCCAATGCCCTAAATTTCGTGATTGCTTCTTGAGCCATGGCCAACAGATCAGTGATCTATATCCCAAATTAGCCAAGACCGTATATCGGTATGGAACAGACGTCAATCCACATACCGACGCGGATTCGTTCACGCCTAAAGCTGCTGCTTCATCTTGGAGGTCTTTTATATTGGGGAAGCGCGGCGAGAACCCATTCTGATGCCCCCCACCAGGAGCCATGCCGCCTATGCCGTGCCGATTGTAAGCATCCCCCGGAGCGAAAGTTGGCGCCGAAGGAAGCGCCGCAGCATCTGGGACCATTGTACAAGATCTAGGAAAGAGGATTCATCGAAGCTGATGTTTCAAAGCGGAAGGCCGGTGGTGGGACTCGGTGGTGGCGGCAACAAAGCAGGCAGCCGTAAAAGGGAGTCCGACAACGAGCGGATGGACGGCAAATGAGAATCCAGAAGAAAAGAGCGAGTTCAAAAGATAGACAGCAGGCAGGACGAACCAAGAGAGAGCAGGTCAATCAATGCATCCTGTCACTGACTGACAGGTTTGCGGGATGATTCTGGGGTAAATTATGTACTGTTTTATGCAGCGTATACCTGCCACCTGGTGGTATCGCTCACCGCTTCTGGCAGTATTGGGCGGTAGATCAAGAGACCGCCTTTGCCTATGACGCCACACGGCACATGCTAAGGCGCTGAGTCAGCACCTGTTAGGCATCCAGACCAATGGGGCGCATCGCAAGCGAATACAACCTGAGAAGCTCCAATGTCAACCTGGAGCTTGCTTTCTAGTTACTGTTGCTTGTCGCCTAATTCCTTCTCGTCAACGTCTTCTCTGCTGCATACGCGTGCTTCTGTTATTCATCCATTCTAATTCCGTACCTGACGCTGACCACCGATCTCTCCCGTGCTTCCTCACCCTCCCCCCGCATCTATCATGGCGGGTTGGTTCTCTTCAGCCTCACCGCTCGATGAGCAGGTTGAGCGCGCTACCGCATCTTCACTCGAGGATATCGCCCTGAATCTTGAGATCTCTGACCTCATTCGATCGAAGGGCGTGCAGCCGAAAGATGCTATGCGCTCCCTGAAGCGACGACTCGAGAACAAGAACCCCAACATTCAAATAGCAACTTTAAAGGTTGATTCTCACCTCATTCCACTCTTTACCCGACTGCTCTAACGGAATCTCCCTACTAGCTCACGGATACCTGCGTCAAGAATGGCGGAACTCATTTTCTGGCGGAAATTGCGTCTCGAGAGTTTATGGATAACCTTGTCTCGCTCCTTAAAGCGGAAGGCGTCCCGCTGAACTCCAGCGTGAGGGACACGATGTTAGAGCTTATACAAGACTGGGCTATGGCTGCTCAAGGGCGCATGGACTTGAGCTATCTCGGGGACACATACCGAAGGTTGCAAACTGAAGGCTTCCATTTCCCACCAAAGACCGCGATTAGTGGAAGTATGCTGGAAAGCAGTGCGGTAGGCTGAGACTGCCTGTCCCATAAGCAAGTCTAGCTCTAACATTAGATTTATTTTCACAGCCCCCGGAATGGATCGACTCGGACGTTTGCATGCGCTGCCGTACACCTTTCAGTTTTATGAACCGGAAACATCACTGCAGGAATTGTGGAAACGTCTTCGACGCGCAGTGTTCTAGCAAGACCCTTCCATTACCTCATCTCGGGATTCTACAGCCTGTCCGTGTCGACGATGGGTGCTACGCCAAGCTGACCTCGAAGCCGTTCACTCAAGGCGCTTTGGCGGATCGATCGGCTTTTAAGAACAACTCAATCACAAAATCCAGTGTGATGGAGCCCCGTGCGGCGAGGGCGGAATCGGGTTTCGACGAGGACCTGCGCCGAGCTTTGCAGATGAGTCTAGAAGAGGCTCAAAATAAGTCGTCGAGCGGATATGTGCCGCAGCCCAAGCCCGCCCACGCGCCAGCAAACGCAGGGCCTCAGCCTACTACTGACGAGGAGGAAGACGCGGATCTCAAAGCCGCGATAGAGGCATCTCTCCGTGATATGGAACAACATAAGCAGAACTATGCTGCAGCCTTGAAGAGCAATAGCGCGGCTGAGTCCTCGACCTGTGAAGCTCCCGTGGCAGCACCTTTGCCTAAAAACCCGTATGAACTTAGTCCCGTCGAGGTCGAAAATATCCACCTCTTCTCAACGCTCGTTGATCGACTGCAACATCAACCACCAGGGACTATCCTTCGGGAACCTCAGATTCAGGAACTGTACGAAAGCATTGGAGCACTGCGGCCAAAGTTGGCGCGCAGCTATGGTGAAACGATGAGCAAGCATGGTAATATTCTGCACATCTACTGAAGCATTGGCATAACTAACCAACTTAGATACCCTGCTGGACCTTCATGCCAAGCTGTCCACAGTGGTCAGATATTACGACCGCATGCTGGAAGATCGACTGTCAAGTGCGTATTCTCAACATAATCTAGGCTATGGCTCCATCCCTGGGGGCGCTCAATACCCCAACATCTACCCGTCAATGCCTTCGAACACGGCCGAAGTCAGGCCAGGCGCTGAAAACTTCTACTACGGAAACTCGGGCGTCGAGCAACCAGGGCCCGTCCGCACACCTTACTCGCAGCCACCACGTGAAAACGCCATGATGAGTCCCCCAATGCACCCGCAGCCTCAGCAGCCTTCTCCAAGTCCGCAGTGGAACCCGAACAGCCAACCAATCGCATCACCTCAGTCGAACATCAACGCATACAACAACACTGCGGCTTACTCAGGCCTTCGAGCACCGTCACAGTTCTACAGTTCTCAAGCATACCAAGAGCCAGAGAAGCAGTTTCAACAACCTAGACCAGGCGAACCCGAATCGCCTTACCAGCCATCTCCAGTAACAGGTCGCGACTCGTACTATCAGTCCGCAGGCTTACCGTCCAACCCTGCAGAGCAACAAACGCCGGTCGAGCATGGACAATCTTCTGGGTACACTCAGCCAGTAGATTCACGGCCGCCGCAGTCGGACCAGTCTCAACCAACAGAGCCGCCGGCTCACACGTATTATCTTCCGCAGCATCAACAACAGCCTACTCAAGGAGCAGGCTATCAAGAATACTCCGCTCAAGGAAATACCAGCTATCAAGCACCCTACAGAGGCGACGTTTCTCCCATCAGTGCGCCCCAGCCCGTACAGTATCAGCAGCCGGCGGCGCCTCGACCGGCCGTGGAGGAGAGTTTGATCGAGCTGTAGTTTTGGCTCTCTGATGCCCTTTTCATTTTTGAATGTTCCATGTTACATTATGATACCAGATGAATTGGCCTTTCCTGGTTGCGAAATTGGATGTACATTGTTCCTGATAGTAGCAATAAAACCTCTGAGTACGGAGTAATTGGTGCAGACGGATATGGGGTAGACTTCGTAGTGGCGAGTCTAGACTCTGCTAGCGACTCGATTGCGGCGATAAAAAGCTGAATGGGAACGGCGGAATAACGCGTAATCGTTTCCTGGCCAGTCTTCCTTGGAACTGACTTTCTCTCCTCTCGCCGTCACCATCACCTCAATCTCCGCTCTCTGCCGCTCGTTTCGTTTCGAATCTCGACATATTCCGTTCGCATCTGACTTCCCCTCCCGACGCCGCCGACGTCGCTTCTCAACCCCCTGTTCTGCTCCTCTTCTTCCACCAATTGTCTGGCCCCGCGCTTGTCCATCAAGCAGCTATCGCTTATCAATAATTGCTTTTCTTTCTGTTCTTTCATGGTCGACTCGGTCCTGCTCTGGTACTGAAGTGTTGTTGCTGTGGTGAAGGATAATTGCAGGCGTCAAGCTCCAATCATCATACTGATCTTCTGCCGTTAGCTGCTTGTCGCCCAATTCGGACCTTTTCGCTGCTACCGCCATGCCGACAACCTCAAACAACGCGTCTCCCGTTAAGCGCCCGGGCCTGGGCCGCCGTGCTGTCTCCTCCCACGCCGTCGTCACGCGCTCCTCATCCTCCTCAACGCAGGGCGAGCTTTCTCACTCGCACACTTCCCACACTTCTCAGCCTCAACAGAGACCTTCGGGGCATCGAGCTCATCGAGCACATCTTGTCGGAGGCGGTCATCGCAGTCACGGTCGGAATCCATCGTTTGGAAAGAACTTGGGTAAACTACAAAGGCATCTTTCATCAGGGCACGTCGGTCCCGAATACCGGTTGCATCAGCATCAACGCAAGAAGTCCGCTCCGGTGACACCCGTTGCAAGCCCACCGCGTCAACACGTTCACTGGGATGGAATAGATGATGCCTCTCCTCGTACTACTGGCTCTATAAAGAAGAACTATTCAAGCCCTGCTTTGCGACGGAGTAACTCGAGCGTCCTACCGAAGAAGGCCTTGGTGACTGATCGCCCACATACCAGCTCTGGAAAGAAGAAGACGGTCGGCTTTGAACTGGCAGATTCAACAGACGAAGGCGAGTGGGAGGATACAACTCAGTCGCCTGAGAGCACCAGGCGCAGTTCTGTGGCGCAATCCAGAGACGGCGACGAGAATCCAGTGGTCCTGGTAGATCCCTTGACGTTTGTGAAACGGTCATATCCTCAGTTTCCTCGAGCGACCAGTCTTCCAGAGCCTGCAAGTAGGAGCTTTCACGACGACCAGTCATCAGGTGAGGACGACGAGCACATTGAGCGCCCAAAAGAACAGTCTTCGGACACGGAGGAGGCTCCAGAGGAATCTGGCCGGGCACCCGAACAGGGCGATATCGCATCGCGTCTTCTCAGCCCGTCACATTCGGCAAAAGCACCTCCCGCCATGTCTTCAATATCTGCCACCGCAACTCCGGCGCCGGTGGATACATTATCAAGAAACGCATCTCTGACGAACTTGGCGTCCGGCCAGGATGGCTTGCGAAGACCGATGTCTACGGCCAATATAGTACAAGCCAGTACGCCCTCACAGGCGCCTGGATCATCTTCTATAGAGGGCGGCGTATCGAGATTCATCAACAACAGGATCGCAACATCCCGCACCGACTCAGATCCCAACACTCCATCTTCGTTTCTTCCCCATTACCATCCGCAAACGCCGCCGTCTCCCAAAGGCACGAAAAAGACGCGAAGCTCACCTTCTTCCCGACAACCTGGAACAGAGCCTCCATCCCGTACTCAGCAAAAACTTTGGCTACAGCGTACGGCAGCACTGAACAACTCACCTCCTGATTCCCATGGCGCATCCGCCAGCGTGTCCCCGTCCGTTACGGACCCGGCGTACATGAGCGGGAATGCCCGGGTAGGGCCGGGGCCATATGATACGGCACGGGCACTTGTCAATGGGGCGTCCAGAAACGGAGGAGCCTTGCATCAGAGCGAAGCCAAGCATATCCGCAAAGCATACGAGAAGGCCGCCATGGAACTTACGGTTGTTCGAAGATTCCAGTCACCCACCGGCGCCAGCTTCACCCGTCTTAACGCGATTATCAAGGACTCACGGGGCGGTCTCGGTCAGCCTGTCAAGTCAGCGCCCGCTCTTGTCCTACTACAGCGGGGCGCCAAACAGCAAGATGGCACCAGCGCAGGAAGCGCCGAATCAAAACAGCTAGTGGGAAGGAAGCAAGCGGATCCGGTATCTCAAGCGTACGTCCAAGACCCAGAGGATCCGCCGCACCCATCACACAGACTGTTGTCTACGTCCGATGATGCAGCTCATGGCAGCGGTACGCATGGGACTGACGATGACCATGAGGGAGATCGAGATCCATTCCTTCCAAGTGAAGCTGACATGATGATCCGTCGCATGTGGGAGAGCCGGGAGGTTGCAACCTCCGGCTAATGTACATTTCAACTTTCCATATTCTATCTGTTTATTCGGGATTTTTTTTCCTTTCTCTTTTTTTCAGCAAGGTCGGCATAATGGCGTTACAAGAATGCGTTCAGCAATCGGCATATGTGTTTTTGCTTGGAGTCAACTTTCGGTTCTTCTTGAGTGCTTTATAGTCCGCAGCATGATATCCCAGATAGTAATTTGTGACCATTTCAGATATTGAAGTCTATATATGCTTTGTAGTTGAGGTAAAGCTCGGGCAGTTAATCCCGAAGGCACTACCCGACGCCAGCGGACCCCGAGGTTACGGTTATCGACTGGCACTGCGACAGATGGCGTCGGAACCAGTGCGGGGTTCTCACTCCAGGGTCTAGTAGATAGATAGTTGGCGGGAGACATCAGGATCCTGAAATTCATTCTGGGCCCCGCGAATGATAAAATAGAGAGTCGAAGGGAAGTACGGAGAGTGCGCTGGTGTTTTGAAAATTGGAGAAGCAGACGGAGTACATTTGAGTGCGGGGGCATTCCGTCCAGGCTCCTCCTCCCATAATGGAAAAGAAACCCTGCTTCCTGCCTGATGAGGGAAGAATATCCTGAATTGGTACTTCTACAGCTAGTCGCTACTTAGATAATGAGGGCACGATAATATTCCGACTTCATTCACATTTTCCGACTACAATTTCTGTACAATAAGGACTGCTTGTGCTAAACAGTGTGACTAAGGCGAAAATAGGAGGACTCCGATTCGTCGGCGTATATCAGGCCACTCCGACGGGAAAGGAGAGGAGTTGGCGCTGACAAGCAGTATACAGGGGAAGTAGACTAGACTGTCTTAGACAGGGCAAAGAACAGAAATAAAGAGCATACCGAGCCAGACTCCCAGGCAGAGGCGCCGGATACAATTCACGGCATCCCCAGCGCCAGAGAAAGGCGGAGACGCGGTCGAATCACCGTTCAGCCTTCAGGAACCCGAATCTCAGGCGGAGATCCGCAGGGCTCGACTTTCTCGGTCTCTCCTCTCGAACTTCTCTTCTCCTCTCCACTTTCTCTCTTTCTCTGTTCTCGTGTCTATTTCTCGCTGTCCCTCTGTCGCATTTGCTGTCCTTCTTCCCGTCAATCTCAGTCCTCTGTAAGTTCGCATCCTCCAGTTGCCCCCTTTACTATTTCCACCAACAGCCTTTCCCCGAAAAGCAACCATCCAGCCAGCGGACAAACAGTCCGCCCGCGCTGATGACTGTTGCAGTGACCACATATCCTTTTTCGATTCTACAGTCAGTGTAACTAACCCAAGCGCCTCTTCTCTCTCACCAGACTCCCAATCTACATCCACGCAACTCTACCGCCACAATGTCTGCCAAAGAATTCACCTTCAAGGAGGTCGCCGAGCACAACTCCAAGAAGGACCTGTACATGGTCGTTCACGATAAGGTCTACGACTGCACTTCTTTCGTCGATGAGCACCCGTACGTCTCTCACGCATCTTGACAAACAAGCGCTTCGACTCCGGAAATTGACTGATGGGCATAACAGTGGTGGTGAGGAGGTTCTCCTCGATGTCGGCGGTCAGGACGCCACAGAGGCTTTCGAGGACGTCGGACACAGTGACGAGGCTCGCGAGATCCTCGAGGGTCTCCTTGTCGGTGACCTGAAGCGTGTGGTATGTTATCTCCCATTCCTGTTCCTATCACCGAACCATCTTCTGACAGTATTCCTCTTATCAGCCCGGCGACCCCGCCCCCAAAGCCCACGGTTCATCCTCCGGCGACTCCTCCTCCACCAACTCCAGCGCCGCTGGTTTCGGTGTCGGCCTCTACGCTATCATCCTGATCGGTGGTGYCGCCGCTTACGCTGCTTACCAGTACCTCCAGGCCTCTGCTGCTGAGCAGTAGATTTCAGACGGAGTGGCGCGAGGACAAGAGGCGGAGACTATAAACAGGAGAGGGGATGAAAATATGCAAAGAAATGCTACTACGAAGACTTTTGAGACCACTTATTCGTGCTCTTTTTTCTCTATATTTAATGTGACCTGACCATTTTTGATTGATCGATTTCATTGTTGGCCCTCAGCATCTGGCGTGTTAGGTGATATCGATTTTACCACATCTCTACCCCGTCAACTCGAGATTTGGTTGGCGAGGTTTTTTCGTTGCCTTTTTACCCCTAGATCGTTTGTCTCTTATCTTTACTGTTTTCAAGATACAGACTCAGAGACAGAAAGAGAAGAAAAGCGCCGAGTTATTCAACATGTGACTCGTGCATCTACCTCAATCAATACCTGCTTGGACATACTTCCAGCCTTCCGATTCACATTTCACTACTAAAATGGAGAAGCAATGCTCGAGATTGGATTCCTCTCCCTAAGCCGTGCAGACTGTCGCATGATGATATGTACTGCGAGTATTGGAGTATACCAGGGTTCGCCGTTACAGAGTACGAGTAAGCATCCACCAGCCCGCGGCTCGAGAAGATTCTGTGCAGGGTGCCAGGGATGCATCGACAAGGTTATCGACTCATAATTCCACCATGGACGGAATGCATTGTTGTTCCAATTCCGCGGTACTTTTTCCATACTGTCAATGCATGTGGGGGTGGGGGTCGCGGAGAATGTCTCAGCTGGCACTCATAGCCCTGATCGGGGTTCATGTGAAGTCCGAGGCAAGTTTTATGGGAAAGCCATTGCGGGAAATATTTTCATGGTCGTAAGCTGTTAAAATAGTGGGATAATATCAATCACTACTAACTTTAATCGGGACAACCCTAATCAATCATCTGGGGCGCGAGCTCAGCCACCTAGTTCGTCAACTATATATTTCTGTAGTCTCCATGAACATGCTCCGGGTACCATATAATGTTTATACATAATACTCTGTCAGCTCACCAGACGCATTGAATATTCTCTCATATAGCAGTCAATTCTGATTCAAACCACTAAGAAATCACCAACGCGCTTCAAAAGGATCACGCACAGAATGGATAACGGGGCAAGTATACTCTCGAGGAAATTGCTGATCACATCTCGAGCGCCGGATATGGTAAAACAATTGCGCTCAAAGCGTCGCATCCACGAAGACACTGAAGTTAGGTACCTCATACAGAGATGTGGACGCCTGAAGAAACTGATCGGCATTGTCCTTTTCTGTGTTGCCCTCGACCATTTGGAATCGATAGATCCTCGATATCAAGGACAGAATGAAGGGAAGTTTGAGAGTAGAGAGATAGGTTATCTGAAGCGGAGTTATGCGCAGATGATAGAGCACCTGCAACTTCTATTGGGAAGTTCTCAGCCTCGGGCCAGAAGTATCGAGGTTACGGAGTTGCGTCTCACTAGTGTGCCATAGATATATAAGCCACGGAGAAGCATCAGCAGGGAGTGAGTAGAGGTCTGCGATTATTTAACTGCCCAATACAATAATAATAATAATATATAAAGAATATTCAAGATGACGCAAAATCGCCAGGATGCTCGTGACCTAAGGTGTAGCAGTGGAAATGAACACATTCTTTTGGTGAAGCAATACACGTGTAGAAGGAAAAAGGAAAATAGTATATCCTCATATATGTTCAGGGTCAAGGTGACGGAAGCGTTACCTTGAGTTGCCGTTCGAACCGGCACGGACCGCCTCGAGGATCAGATCTCTGGCCTTGTCAAGGTTCTCCTTGCTGCCCTTGATCTCGATAGCCTCGCCCTTGGCCTGGTCCTTTGGCACGTTGATTCGGCAACCTGTTTGTTTGCGGATAGAGTTGATCTGGCTGCCGCCCTGGCCGACGACGAAGCGGTATGTCTTCGGGTCAGGGAGGATGAGGTAGCCGGTGGCAGATTGCTGAGAGGAAGTGGCGATGGCCTTCTCCAGTGCGGCCTTTGCCTTGTTGACATTGTCCGTTGATCCGGCCAGGACCCATGGAATTGTGCCGGATTGGCTGGGGTCGCTAGCAACAGGGCTGTTGTCGACTACCTTCCATGAGTGAGCGTCAAGGGCATCAGTGGGTTCGTCGGTAATCAACGGAAGCGATGAGGCTCCGTTGACAGCGCCGCGCGAGTCTTCCAAGCTAGGCTTAGTTGGGATTTGCTGGCCAGCGTGGTCCACGGTCACCTGGTAGTCGTTACGAAGGCGACGGAAGAACGACCCATTATCGGCAATGGCATGGTGTAGGTGCCTCGGAACATCAACACTCACTCCCTCCTGGTCCTTGAGCATGGCCAGAACGTGTTCTTTGGCCTGCTCAACCGCAGTGCTAGGTCCCTTGAGCTTGACGTCGGAGCGGCCAGAACCTTGCCTGGGGATGTCGAGGGTGATGTTGAATTGGGACTCGATGCCTCTTCGGGTGTCTCCGCCACGACCAATGAGAAGACGGTGCTGTACGGGAGGAACCTCAAGGTTAACGACAACCTGGTCCTCGCGCTCTTGCACAAACTGTTCGATAGCGGCGATGATCTTGTCCACAATCTCACCATTTCCTTCCAGCCTGATGGTGGTATCGTCGCTTTCGGCGCGCGGGAACCTGACAAGCCGGGACGCACTCGAGTCAGTGGGACCACCAGCTTCCGCAACAAGCTTACGAATGTTTGCACCTAGTATTGTCAGTGAGGTTCAGTAAGAACAGGGGTCGAGTCAAAACGTACCACCACCGCCGATTAAGGACTTGTGATGCTTCTTATCAACATTGATGGTCTTCGTGACCGTAGCATCGAACTCGCTGGAACGCTGTTGCAGAATCTTCTTTGCGTCATCAACCTGCTTCTTGGTACCCTTGATCTTGATTTCCACGCGACCAGAGGCGTCAGGTGCATCGTTGACACCCGGCACGTCAATCTGAGCTCCAGTGTCGGCCCGGAGCTTGTCCATTTCGCGCCCACGCTGGCCGATGAGCGAGGGAATCTGGCTTTGGGCCACAGATACTGTTGCCGAGTGCGAATGATCGACGACCCACTGGAGCAAGCTGAGAATCTCATCACGCGCAGCGTCTGCTCCCTTGCTAGGACCCTTGACAATCACCTCGTCGGCAGCCTGCTGGGATCGCTGAGGTCGAACGCTACCAGCCTCGCTAGTAGTGTCCGCAACAGATTGGTCGTCGTTGACAACAACAGCCCTGGGAAATTGAACGCGGACAGAGTAACGGTCCTGGAGTCGGTTGACTTGGCTGCCCTTCTGTCCAATGAGCTCACGGTGGTACTGAGCAGGGACCTTGAGGACGTGAGTAGTCTCATCCTCTAGCTTCTTGCCGAGGTTGATAATTCGAGCCTTGGCAGCATCAGCTTTTGCCTTGGGGCCCTTGACCTCAACCTTGCCATCTTCCACCTTGATATCGACGTCGAATTCATCACGAAGCTTGTTGATGTTTTCGCCCCTCTTTCCGATAAGGAAGTTGGCAAACTTCTTGGGGAAGTCAAAGGTCGTTGTGTAGCCTCTCTCTAGGTCATCCTTCTCCTGTTCAACGACAAATTCTCCGATTCTAGTGGCGAGTTCCTCCACAAGACGGGATGGACCGCGCAATGCGACCTCGCTCTGGGGGGTGGCTCCCCCATTGCGGCTCGGGCCACCACCGACGAGTGCACGAACAGGGATATGATCTTCACCCTTAGCTTGTTGCTCGCGAGAGATGAACTTGCGCACTTTATCTTGATACTTGCTCGGAATGGGCACGGACTTTGTCACAATGTCATCTTGGCTGCCTAGAGAGTTCAGGAGGTACTCTTGCGCTTCTTGTAGGGCTTTCTCAAATGAGGCAAGGTCGGCAGCAGACGGCCGCTGGCGCGGGATTTCCAGCTGAGGTGAGCTCGCCGAAGGACCTTCGTAGATAAGGACAACGTCAGGGCTGTCAACATCCTCTGGAACAAGGACGTGGACACCGTAGTCTGACCTCAAATGGGGGATGCTGCGAGAGCGTAGATAGGGGTGGAAATACGGGTCAACGGAAAGGTGACGTAGTCTGGCAGGAGGATGCGCCTGGACGAGATTCAGGATATCAGAGCGTGCACGAATCGTGTTTTTGCCGTCTCTCGAGTACACCTCCCAGGTAACAGGACCATCCGAAGCAGGCGGCAGGGCAATCCGAGAATCGTACATGCCCTCAAGTTCTTTGATGATTTGTCGCTGGGTAAGGTAGCGAGTAAGCGCACGCGCGTGGGCGTTAGATCCGGCAGGGGCGTTGGGGTGTTGTCGAGAGAGGTCGATGCTTGCCATCTGCATGCTTGTGGCGAGATCCATTGCCCGGTTGATACCGTCTTCAATACGCTGCAGAGGACCGGTAACAGTCAAAAACTCAGTCTCGTCGGATGATGGGGGCAGTACGACAGCACAGCCAGTTTCAGCCAGGAAGTCATGCAATGCGTTGGCGTTGTCACCCAGAATGAATTGGTGCTGACCCCGGTTGATGGCGAGCTGCCGAAGCGTCAGTTGGCGCTTAAGGTCATCAGCGAGCTTCTCAATTTCGGCACGAGCATCCTGTGTCGCGGCGCGCTCTCCGGAAATGAGGATATGTCTATCAGGGGCAGCCGTGAACTGAACGTGGCCAGGCTCAGCTTCCTGCGGTGGAGGTTGGCTTTGCCACGTATCATATCGAGGAACGTGAATCTGAGCCCTGGTGCGCTCCTCAATCTCTCTCAAGTTTGCATTGTGGGCACCGGCAATAAAAGGGAAGAACTCCGGTGGGATCGACCGAAGGCGTAGGTTCATGTTCGAAGCTCGCTCCTTTACAATAGCCTCGATCTCTCGGCGAGCCATTTCCGCGGCAACAGCATCACCTTCAATCAAGACATCAATAGTGTCATTGTCCTCGTCCTCTTCGCCAGATGGGTCTTCCGCACGAGGAACCTGCACCCGCGCACCCGTTCGCTGCTGGAGTTCCTGGACAACAGCTCCTTGTTTACCAATAATGTGAGGACGGGCCGAAGTGGGGATTGGGACACGGACAGATTGCTAGACTTGAATTAGCAAAGATTCATGGGAAATACTCAGCAAAAGACACACCTTAGATCCGACTTGCTGCGCCACCTGCTTGAGCGCTTGGCGCACAGCGTCCACCGAGCCCCTACCCTCAAAGATGATGGACCCTCCAGGACCTCCGCGCATATCAACGTTAGCCTTCGACCGTTTGGAGATATCGCGCAAGATGTCCCGGAGTGGCTTCTTCAACTGGCCTCGCTGAAGCATCTGAGAGGGCGCAAGTCGAAGCTGCTCCATGTGCTTTCCGGGCAAGCTCATGATCCTAGGAAGATCTACTGGCGAGAATTAGCCCATTGCCCCCCTCGAATGTAATTAAGGCGCTGTAAGGCTGACATACCCGAAGACACACCGCTGGGCGCACCGTTAGCAAGCGCCGCGGCGGCGGAAGGACCCTTTGCGCCCCAAGCAGAGGCAGCAGGTGCCTTTGGCTTGGGCCCACTTCCCAAGGCAGGGAATAGTTCCTCCGATTGCACATCCAAAGTAGGGGGTTTTCCGGAAGCACTCTTCGAGTTGACAGGCGCATCAGACACCGGCGGTGTCGGTGCTTGCGAGGGTGCGCTGGGGGTGGATTGGCTAACCGCCTGAGCCGAGGGAGGGGGGTGCAACAAGTCTTCTTCGTCCACAACATCCTCCACCGTGACCTTGTGCGCCTCATCAAGAGCATGTTGTTCTTCTAGCATAGCTGCTCGGGACTTGGGACCCCCGTTGACGACGGCTTCGGCGGACATATTGATTGAACAAGAGTATATTAATCGAGAAGATTCAGGGTATATACGAGACGGAGGAGTGCAGACGTTGCGTGCCACACTGTTCATTCAAGTGAGAACATTAGAGAGGAATTTCAACAGAAACCGGAGGAGAAAGTACCGATAGCCGTCAATGTGTCTGGTTGGAACAGTTGTCTGTTAAACAGGAATTCAGCGTCCACTAGATTGAGTAAACTCTGCAAGCGTTGAATATATCAATGCGAAATATCTCCTGATAGAAAATGACAGAAGATGGAAAGATGAATTGCTAATTGCACCGGCTAAGAAGAAAAAAAGGCACTGCTTTGTAAGAGCACGAAGAGGCGAATGGAAGGACAAAAGAGCCCCAGGGGCGATAATGGAAAGAAAGAAGAGGGTAAAGGAGGGGGAGACGGAGTGCGAAGAGGGTGTCAATAAGGTAATTGACAGCTGGGGAGCGATGATGATGGGATGGGGAGGAGGAGAAGCCAGAAAGCCGGAATGATTGGCAGCTATTGGAGGAGACCAGAGCCGAGCCGAGACGCACCATGGAGCCTCAAAGGGCTCTTGATAAGGTGAACTTGACAGAGATGTCTCGTTTTAATCATTTTGGTATGGATTCAATCTTTAGCCTAGATAACTGCAAATATTTGGCAGATATCGCTGTTTTGCAACTGCATTGACCGGCGCGGATTGTTTATTTTCGAGTTCTTCAGTCTGGGTCTCAACGCTCTGCGCCTAGAAACTTGGAGAAGCCATCCACTACAGGGTGGCAACAACGACTTTTGGATTCACTTCACTCTATTAATTGACACTTACATGAAGCTGATATACACGGGAGCTCCGAGCCACAGACGCTTACTGCCGATCATAGGTCCGAGTTGGGTGGGCAGTGGGCTGCTCGACTCGGCCCAGAAGTGGTTTACGGATAAAAAAGCGGCTTCGAGTCCTGAATTTATGTTGATGGACCGGGGTCTGAATGAATCTGTGAACATTAAGACCATTTCTAAGAACGACATCTACTGGAGACGGCGTATTCCTCGACATTTAATTCTGTGGAGCGAGCACGCGATACAGGGGAAGTACAGTAAGGCGGGTTTGTAGTTACTTTTCCCCTTTCAGCAAAGGCTATCTGAATCCATCCATCCCGGATACTTATATAGCGACTTGGCAGAGGCGCATACTACTCCATATACTGTATATGAGTTCTCTTCACACTGCACTTTACGCCTAACTCTAGTCATACTTCAGTATTTGCCTTGGCCACCCAGATGATGCCAAGGTAGAGCCTATCTGGAGAATCTCGGCGTGACATCGACATAAGGACTTTCTAATGTTCTTTAAGGAAAGCGAGAATTGCGGCTGATATTGCGTAGGCCGGGAATCCAGATGTAGGGAGCAATGCTTAACAACCACCTTATTGTTGAAGAAGATTCCTAATGCCTGCGTCCCCGTCCCCGCCTCTTCCCTGGACTGCCTTGGATTGGCAGTTTACAGGTGATGCCCAGGTGAGGTCTGGGTAGAGAAGTGGACGAACCGGGCTGGAGCATGAGTATATTCTTGGTGAATGCGAGTAAAGGAGGTAATTTAACCAGTATTCTTGCAGTCACCTCTTCTAGGGTCTGGGTGGATTGACTTTGCAGAGTGTGGTAACCCTTAATCTCTTCCAGGTGTTCTCCCCCCCAACACCTCCTGCATTGCCCTTCCATCCCCTTTTCAGCTCGCCTCCCTCCATCTCTCTTCCATCAGCCTGTTACCCATGGAGCAGTTACTTCGGACCATGGACAACGACGCGCCACCCGTCTTTTTCAACAAATGGTTGGGAAAGACAGTGAAAGTGGGAGAGGGCAGCAACACATCCGCCTGGATACTGGAAAACAGAATGAGTGATACAAGCGCTCAGAGTTGGCTCCACGAATACTACGTCGACCCTATCTCGAAGAGACGACCCAGTGAAACATATGGTTGCGGCGCTCCGGATACTCATGCAGTAAGCCCCCGCCATCGCACTTGACGCCCAAGCCTTAACCTGATCATGATGACTGCAGGATTCCCTATGTCAGCGGCGAGCACGCAACTCATGATGAGCGCGCAAGTCAGGCATTTGGGTCTGTATAAAGGGACGTTAAGCAAGAGCTCCACCACCTCAATACCCTAGAGCTGCGCAGCTGCAAGTCAGCACCGGCAGTTAGACTGCAGCACCAGACTACACAGGGACGTGATGGGAAGGTACCGGGCGGCTTTTTGTACTTTGTCTTGATGGACTTCGCAGCTGGTATCCGCCTGAATGCGGAGATTCTCTGGTCTTTTGGAGGGAAGCCCGCGACGAGATACGGGCGGCCTTCAAGAAGGCCCTGGGTGTAAGTCCATGTCCATCCAAACTCTTTTGACCCAGGTCAACTCATTGCAACATGCTGACCCTTTTTTCGGAAACAGAGCCTGTTTTGAATTTGGGGTCCGCCCTACGCAGGGTAGATTGGAGAATTTGTACTGGGACAGCGAGAGCTCAAAGATGTTAGTAGCCGTCAAATCTTCTATCCAATACGTTAAGAAGCCCCCGAGTGTCTTGGCTGACAGCAAAACAGTTCTATTGCCGGCTGGAGGGTTGCGACGCTGTCGCTGAGAGGCCCGAGGCTCCAATGGGTCGACGTTGAGTTCATTGCGTGGGAGATCGCTGCCTGCCAGAAAACGTACCTCTGGCAGAGGGAAACCGAGCCCCATCCTGACATGTCGGAGTGGACTTTGTAGTTGCGCCCATTCGCTGCTGTTATCGAAAACGCCGCTACCACTCAGTCAACAAATTAGCGCTTGAGGATCACGAGAGAACGCATTGGTCCACTCCTGCCCCTGTTCGACCTCGAGCAAGAACAAACATAGCTATTATTGACACTGCATGAGTTCGTCCATTGCTCGCGTAATTTGAACCAGTGTGCAAGATGAACTCGGACAATTGGCAAAGGATTCGTAGCATGTATCTCGCGTGTCGAAAGAAGCAGGAGCTCAGGTTGCCGGGAGCCGTGCCTGGTCTTTCTATAGGAGACCCTGTTGGGGTATTACCTAGTGGCTGGCATTACTAATCTCATGTGTTTAGGAAGGGGTCGGGTAAGCCCTTCGTGCTTGACTATAGACCGGCGACTGTTGAGAACTCTTGAAGCTAACTTTGAATAATGGCATCCGCTGATTAAGTCCAGGGTACTTTCCTCTGATAGCGGGGGTTTAGGTTCCGTACGTAAGTTGTAACCCTACGGAGGGGAAGACAAGTCAGATGATCAGATCTGACATCTCAAGTACTCAACCGGACGAGGCGCCTGGCAGTGTTACAGGCAAGAAACCATGGAGTTTGGTGATTTGGTCCCTTTCGACGGCAGAGCTGCAGCTGGATCCTGAGGAAGACCAGGATTTACCCATTGGGCCGACTGCCCGTAATGCAGTTCCTTTGCTGGTAAGATTTAGAGGCGTTCCTGCAGAACTACACAGGAGGCCCTCGTCGTCAATTTATGCAGTGTTGTTCATTGGAACACGTCGTTGCTTGATCGGTGACATCGAGGTTTTAGCAGTCCATGATCACAAAGACCTTTAAAAAGGCATATGACACGGACAGGTACCGCCTCCGACATATCTTTAAAGCCTATAGGACGTCAGGACGAGTGGAAGAAGAAGAATGGCGCTTGTCACTTGTGAACGGGACGTTGGGCTGGGCTTCCAGAAGCCCCGCCTTCCGAAACTGGACCAGAGTCTACTCCGTCCGGAGCCTGTTGGAGATGAAACTTCATGCCAGTGTTTTATGTGAATTATATCGATCTTCAAATGAAAATTAAGGGTTGGCAATCAGAGCTCCCCCCCTCACTAGACTACAATCCCTGAGCCTTTAAGAGACCCTAAACTGAGAGATTCGGTCTCAGCCAATGCAAAGGATCATCCTGGGTTCTCGATGTGTCCAGAATCCCTCTCCTGGCTGTAAATGAATGTGACTGACTGACTCCCGACGGGGCAGATGACGTAGAGCATCAAAAGTACGACAGATTGTAAAAGTTTTCGAAGAACAAACGGCTGTCTGGCGCCTTTGTTAGTATCTGGAAATTCTAGAAGCAATGGTAACCATCCAGGGCAATAAAAACAAAGCAGCACAAGCACACTCATCCATGGATCGAGGATCGCAGGGCAACATCCAATTTCACTGGCGTCAGTGTTTCTGACAAGAGTGGCTCGCCCCATCCACATCTCATCCTCGCTTGTCTGGAGTCTGGACTCTGCCGTCGGCCAGCCTCCTGTAGATTGACTAGTACCTAGGTCAACGGCGGGCTCCCTCCTTTTCGCTCTTCCACCACCTTTTCCACTCCTCGATTCTGCAGATCTGTGTGCTGTGTGCTGAGCTGTCAGTTGCAGTCGCCTGCATTGCTCTCAATTAATTGCCGTGCTTGCCTGGCCGAAGCCACCCCGATCCTCGTCCCCTCGCTATTATTATTGAATGCTGCTGCTGGTGAGTGGTTCTCCACGTGCTACCCGCCGGCTTTTGTTTCTTGACGAGTCCTTTTCCAACCTGGCAACCTCCATCCATATCTCCTTGCGTCCCCAAGTTGGCTCTTCCTGCATCCCGATCCCTCCCAGCTGCCTTCCCCCCGACCCATCATCCACCTGTCGCTTACCCGTCCAGTATCACCCCAGAATCAGATCCATACCCTATCTAAACGGCTCGGAGGCACCGCAAGAGCGCACCGCCTCACCCGGTGGCTTCACCTCCCTCCAATCAACAGCTTGTCTCGATTGCCAATCGGCCGACCTGTCACTCCCCTCCAACCCCCCTAAAACCCGCGCGCCATGAATCACGATTCTTTTTCATCCTTCAAATTTCGCCGTCCATCGAGCAAACTCCATAAGGACCCTCCCGGATACGGTCCCCGCGCCCTTAACAGCCAGCAGAGCACCACGTCACTTAAACGGCACCCCTCTGCCCCCGTCTACCCGCGCTCCTCTGCCGCTGGAAGTCGAGAACACCTGCGGACTAGGTCCAACGCATACGGCTCGTCATCTTCGTCCCTAGATCAGAATAGCGCGGGCGCATCTCCGGTCCTTGGGAGCAGCGATTCTGGCCATTTCCACAGCAGCCAGAATTCATCTAGGTCCCGTCCCCCATACTCCGGGCGGCTTTCTTTGAACGATCAAAGCTCAGATGAATTAATCGGCGCCCCGTTCGATTCGCGGGGTATGCTAAGCGCCCTGGAAGAAAATACTGCTGAGTCCGACAGAAGTTACCAACACCAACCACCAAACCCGGTTGACAAGTTCGAAAAACCCCCGAATTTCCGATCGCAGACTGCACCCAACGCACGAGCTCTGAGACAATCAGCCAGTTTTACTAACCTGCCTCCCCGTATGGAGGCCTTTCCGAATGCCGCTGGCAACGACCGCTCGACAAATACGAAGCGTTTCTCCGATGAGGCCCACCCCGTTAGACCTGCTGGACCTAGCAGAAGCAAGAAGAGCAGTTTCTCCAGCTTCGTCAATAGCATGCTAGGGTCCCCTCGTGGGATCAAGATTTCTGCCCCCGAGAACCCAGTCCATGTCACTCATGTCGGCTACGATAACCAGACAGGCCAATTTACTGGGCTACCGAAGGAATGGCAGCGGCTGCTACAAGAAAGTGGTATCACGCAAAAGGAGCAGGAAGAACACCCACAGACCATGGTTGATATCATGAGATTCTACGAGAAAAACGCCCGAGGAGATGATGAAGTCTGGCACAAGTTCGACCATGCGTACCCTCAACAGCCGACCTCCGCAAGTCCAATATCCCAACCAGCCGGATCAGCTCCGTACGGCGGCAACCAACGAACCTCTTCTCCCACCAGCCCTCGATTTCCTCAGAACCACGAGGGTAGCTTTGAAAATCCCCGAGCACCGCCCCCAATTCCCCGTGCTGCTCCTGCCGTAGCTCAAGCCATGTCTCCACCGCTGGGAGGTCTTGTACCTAACCGAGCGCCTCCCAAACCACCGACTCCTGCCAACCTAGTTCCGAACCGGCCTGCGCCGCAACCTCCTACATCGAGTCCTTATCCTGCCATCTCTAACAGACCCGCCCCGGAAACCCAGAGCCCCCAGTTCAGCACGCCTCCGATTCCAGAGACGGAGGCCTTGCCTTCAGAATCGCAACGGAGTCGGTCAAACTCCAAGACAAATGGTGCGCAAGGACCGTGGCCGTCGGTTACTCCGAATCAATATCAGCAACAGCAGGAGCAGGCAATGGCTGCAGCGCAGCAAGCTCTTGCCAACAAACAACTTGAACGGAGCCGCAGTCAACGCCAGCAACAGCAGTCTCCGCGAGTGGACCAGAAGCCGATCGCGCAACCACTTCCTCCACATCACGCTCCTTCGCCCGAAGACGCTGCCCTGGCACAAGCTTCGCAGAATGCGCGTGCTGCACCGGCAGCCCGGCCTCGCCAGCGGGCCCGCCAAAGCAATGCCATGGATGTTAGAGCGCGGTTGGTCGCTATCTGTACACCTGGCGATCCTACGAAACTTTACTACAATTTGAATAAGATCGGCCAGGGTGCATCTGGTGGCGTTTTCACTGCTTATGAACAGAACACAAATAATTGTGTCGCCATCAAGCAAATGAACCTGGACTTGCAGCCAAAGAAAGACCTTATCATCAACGAGATTCTGGTCATGAAGGACAGCAAGCACAGGAACATCGTCAATTTTCTGGACAGCTACCTCCACGGACTGGACTTGTGGGTGGTCATGGAATACATGGAGGGAGGTAGTCTTACTGATGTGGTTACCTTCAACATCATGAGTGAAGGCCAAATTGCCGCTGTTTGCAGAGAAGTATGATCATGGCCGTCAAAATCGTCTGCTCTCATGCTGACTATATTTCTAGACGCTTAGTGGTTTGCAGCACCTTCACTCGAAGGGTGTAATTCATCGAGACATCAAATCGGATAACATCCTTCTGTCATTAGACGGAAACATCAAGCTGAGTGAGTCGGACAGTGTAGAGTATATCCCTATCAAGGCTAACGATCTACAGCCGATTTTGGTTTCTGTGCGCAAATCAACGACTCCCAGAACAAGCGAAACACCATGGTTGGTACACCGTACTGGATGGCTCCTGAAGTTGTGACGAGGAAGGAATATGGTCGTAAAGTCGACATTTGGAGTCTGGGAATTATGGCCATCGAGATGATCGAAGGAGAGCCACCTTATCTCACCGAATCGCCTCTTCGCGCTCTGTACTTGATCGCCACGAATGGCACCCCCAAGATCAAGGACGAGCACACCTTGTCACCTGTATTCAAAGACTTCCTTCACTTTGCTCTCAGAGTGGACCCCGAGAAACGGGCATCAGCTCATGACCTATTGAAGGTACTTAATTACACCTCAACCCGCCAGAGTGTGGCTAATCCCTCGCAGCATCCCTTTATGAACGTTTGCGCACCTCTCAACCACCTTTCGCCGCTTGTCAAGGCTGCACGGATCAGCAGGGCCCAGGAGAAAGCCCAAAAGGGTGGTGTTTGAATCTTAGCCTGTTGGCGCCTTTATATGTCGATGTCTACTATATTCCTTCAGATACCCATTATCACTGATGTTTCGCTTTTGCCCGATGATGTACCTGACACTGCCTTATGACCCCGTACTATGTCGAACTTTCTCTTCTGCAGGTCCCTCGGTTGCTTCCAAACTAAAATATGATAGACGGCGATGACTTGATGCTCGACATGGGACTACAAGCCTTTTGAGTCTTTGATGTTATGTTCAGTATATCCCCTTCCTTTGCTTGACTGCGCTTTTTGCATACCCGTACTGTTGACCGTTGTGATCATTTGTCTCTAACCTGCTGATTTGTGGTGGGACCATGTGTTCCTTTCTCGCTCTCTGGTTACAGCGTTTTGGTTGGACCCCGCGTTGTATCCGTCGCCGAAATTGGTTGATGATACGAACACGAGACATTCGAACCAGCATAGCAGCGATGATGCAAGCCATCACCGAATGCGCTTGTCTTCTGTTCCAGCGATTGTACTTGGTTGTCAAGTTATGCTCGAGATTCTTGATGATATGTCTGTCTCTGTCTCTCTGTTTTTCAAGACCTTTGAAGCAAAAGCGTATGGGGCTTTCTTTTAAAACCCCAAATCCTTATACTTCTTACCATATACCACTGCTAGAAGAGACTTTATAGCTAGATAGTACGATAATAACATCGGCATACTTTCTGATCGCAACCCACGTGTGGGCCAAGAGTAAACTGGTGCCTTGACTGCGCCCTGGGGCCAAAATTAGGTAAGCTAGGCTAGTTCTCCGTCGCCCGTCAACCAGCCCGGGCATCGTCATTCGGATCAGGTTCCAACCATTCTACAGACAGTTGCGGACGCTCCTGTCGCTTTCCTGAAGGAAGAGTTCCTTTACCCGACATTACCAGAGCCTTTGGATCCAACGCCCGACAAGCTTCGTTACCCCGTCGCTATCAGAACTATCCTGCCGGCATACCTATTTCTTGAGCTTCTGATTCCCCGCACCGACCGTTCTCCGGATCTTGGAACGCTGCCTGAGCTCGTAGAGTCGCAGCTTGCAGCCGCGTGTATTTCTTAGACTACCCTATCAAGAGTCAAAGAGACCCTATACTCTCCGACAGGCTTCGTCAACTTTCTTACGCGAGTTATTCAACCGATATATCACTCCGCACTGTATTAAATTCGTTTTTGCACTTGTACGGAGAGCTTGGAAACCGGGGGCACTCGCGATGTTTCGCGCACAGCAGAACGCCTTTGACGACGCAGTCGGTATGCCAGTCCGGAAGCACCACCTTTGATTTATTAAGCGCTTGGATATCGTATGCCATGCTAACTTCTTGTTTCTTGAATCAGCCAAGGCAACGGATGAGAACTTAACATCTGAGAACTGGGAATACATCCTTGTATGCAAATGACCGCAGCTCTTTCAAGATATGCCTTTTCGGGACAAAGGAGTATAGGTCGTCTAACTTTTCATCTCGCTTTCGCAGGATGTATGCGATAAAGTTGGGGCTGAGGAGTCTGGGTAGGTTCTGGTCTCTGATCACCAATGCTACGTTACCGCTGACCTGGACACAAATGTAGCGCAAAGGACGCTGTTGCCGCCTTGATCAAACGACTTGCGCATAGAAATGCCAACGTCCAGCTGTACACTCTTGAAGTGCGTGATACAAGCCTTATCCATACAGCGCTATATTGACTCTATTTAGCTGGCCAATGCACTGGCGCAGAACTGTGGCCCTAAGATACATCGCGAGCTTGCGTCGCGAAGCTTCACGGACGCTCTTCTGCGTCTTGCTGGCGACAGGGTATGCGACTATCCCGTTGTTACAGTCCAATCTTACTGACTGGTCGGATAAGAATACCCATCAGCAGGTGAAGTCCAAGATTCTGGAGCGTATGGAGGATTGGACAGAGATGTTCGCTAGCAACCCAGACTTCGGTATTATGGAACAGGCTTTTATGAAACTGAGGACTCAAAGTACGTACTGCACCATTCCGTTGAGTGGCTATCAGCTTATGCTTCTCAAGACCCGAACATACAACCTCCGTCGAAGCCTGGGAAGCGGGAAATCACCGACGTAGATCGCCAGAAGGAAGAAGAGGAGCTACAAATGGCGCTTGCTCTTTCTATAAGGGAGAAACCGGCTTCAGCACCCCAGCCGCAGGCGGAGAGAAGTAGCTCGGGCTCAGCTCCGGCCAACCAAACACAAGCTGCGCCTGCTGGGCCCGTCCCTTCAGGTACTTCCGCTGCTACTGTTTCCAGAGTCCGAGCTTTGTATGACTTTCAACCGTCTGAGTCCGGAGAATTACAATTTCGAAAGGGTGATGTCATTGCCGTCCTCGAGTCCGTGTATAAGGACTGGTGGAAGGGTTCGTTGAGAGGTCAGACCGGAATCTTTCCGCTCAATTACGTGGAAAAGCTCCCTGATCCTACCGTTGAGGAACTTCAGAGGGAAGCTCAAATGGAGGGAGAGGTGTTCGGCCAGATCAAGAATGTCGAGAAGCTGTTGACTCTTTTAAGCACCCGCAACTCGGAGCTCAATGTTCAGGAGAATGAGGAAATCACGAATCTTTACAACTCGACATTATCGATCCGCCCCAAGTTGATTGAGCTGATTGGAAAATATTCCCAGAAGAAAGGTATGCTTGTCGTTACTACTCCACTACATGTCATTGGCTGACGGCCGCGCAGATGAGTTCACCCAGCTCAACGAGAAGTTTATCAAAGCGCGGAGGGATTATGAATCACTCCTGGAGGCTTCTATGGCTCAGCCTCCACAGCATCAGTATGGCCGCCCCGGTCAGACTCAGTACGGATATCCAGGCTCTGGGGCACCAGCAGGCTTTCCCCAAGGCCCACCGCAGCAGCATGATCCTCAAAGATACTTCAGTCCTCGACCGCCAGGTTTGTACCGTTGACTGTTGGCTTGTTTCACTTTTCTAACTCTCAAGCAGACAGTCAACCCAATGCCTCCTACTATCCCCCAGCCACACAATCGCCCGGCCCCGGACAGACGCCCCCAGCGGGGCCATATCAGCAGCAACACCCGCAGCCGCAGCAGGCCCAGCCAGACTCATTCCAGCCGGTCCATCATCGCCCTGAGTCGACCTTTGACCATCCACAAGAGCTGGGAACATCTGTCTACGACTCGCCCGTGGAACGACTACAGTACCCCCCTGGACCCCCTGGAGGCCAGCCGCACTATCAGCCGCCTCCGCAACAAACGCCGCAGCCAGATTTCTCATCTTCCGTATACCCCCAAGATAATGCACACAACCCACCAAATGGCCCGAATTCAGTGAATCAATCCCAACCTCCTTACCCCGCAACTCCAGTCACTCAACCCCCGCCGCCCACGCAGCAACCTCCGCCTGTACCGGGCGCAGCATCAGGGTCTGCGCCCTATCCATCAGCAAGTCCCGGAGCCGGCAACTACCAGGCATACAAGCCGTCACAAGGAGGCATACCCAGCCATAACCCGGCTGCGTTCTATCAGTAGCGCCGCAACTGATCATCACCACTCGCTGTACGCTGGCCGTCGGCCTGGCTACCTTTGTAGTCGTGATCCATATCTTCAAGGTTATTCTCTCGACGAAGGCTTATGCTTTGGCGTAAACCATGGTGTTATCTGGCTATATTGATGTATTTATCTCTTGTCTTGGCCGTCACCGAAGGCACAGGGTCATAATGGATCGCTTGTATAATATAGTACGAGTCAAAGGGAGTCCCTATAGCCCTCAATATCAGGGAAATTGGAGATTAGCTGCATATTCGAACTCAAGGGATATACCAGTCACCTGTAGGCTGTCTTCAGACAAGTCAATCTAATCTGAGATGTTGAGGCATAAGCCGATCGATAAGGTGAGAAGAGAGTACTCGTCACTTCGCTGAGCCCGACCGCCTAGGTGGCGGTCAGTTAGCCCCACCCATATGAAAATATTATCTTAATAAAAATTAATTAAACATGAAGCTATTTAGAACTTATTTTTTTAATTAAAATAGTAAATATTATAAAATAAAATAAATAAGGCTAATTTTTAGGTATACGCGGATTAGCTATATTAATATTAAATTAGTAATATAAAAACTATATAAAAAAACGCGTGTTAAATAGGCTACCTTAATAATTACTACCATGCTAGTAAAACCTTTAAATAATAATATTTTAATAAAATAAAGTTATATAAAGTTTTTAATAAGCTTATTTTAATTTTTAATAAATAGCGCTTTGTTTAGTATATTATTAGCCTTTTTTTTATTATTTTTTTAATATTTTTAGCTAGTTTTATTTGCTTAGCAGCGTGCGCTTTAAATAGCTTATTAATTTACTTTTTTTTTAACATGCTTTTTTGCATTTTTAATATATAAAAGGTTTATTATTTTATTAAATTGCTTTTTAAACCTAGGATTATAATACTTTTTTAACCTTTTAATAAATTTTTAGTTTAGTTTTTTTTTTATTATAACTAGGCTTTTAAACTAGTAAATAACCCCTTAAATAAGGCGCTGGAGTATAAAAAACTTAAAAAGTTTAAAATACTTTTACTTAATTAATTTAATATTGCGGTGTGTTAATTAAATAATTTTTAATATTATAAAAAAAGGTATAGTTTACTAGGCTATAAAAGACCTTAAAGGCTTAAGATTAGCCATACTTTTAATAACATGCTTATTATTTAATATTTATAAAGGCCTTTTTAAAGTTTTTAAAGCGCTTATTTTTTTTAAATTATATTAAAATTAAATAGCTAAAGGCTAGTTTTACTCTAGCCCTTTTTTATAACCCTTATAATTAATATCTTTATTTAAATTAACTTAATATTATTAAAAAAATGGACTTTATTATAGTTTTAGCTACTAAAATAGCTTAGCTTATTAATATGCTTTCTATAAACCTTTTTAAGCTGCTAAAATGTCAGGGCCAACGTTTTTTTATTTGATGTTACTAGAGCCAATCTACTATTAGTCCAGAGTTAGTACTTTAAGTAACTTAAGCTTTAGCCTTAGGCTACTAAAAGTTTAGTATACCTTATTATTATATTAGGCTATATAATTTAACTAGGTTATTAATATTTAAAGTTTTAATTATTAATTAAGTAAGGCTAGGGTAAGCCTTAAGTATAAGTTAAAATAAAAACTTATATATAAAGTATTTAAATTTATATTTACTTTTTAATTAAAAATAACTTAAGTATAACTTAAAAATTTATAAAAATAACCTTAAGGCTAGCCTTTTTTTTTAAATTTTTAAGTAACTTTTTTAATATTATTTAGCAGGGTTTAAAATACTTTATTTTTATTAATTAAATTTTTTTATTAATATTTTTATTATTAATAAAAATTTTTAAAACTTATTAATTTTATAGTTAAAGTTACTTATACCTATTATTTTTTAAATTTTTTAATAATAATATTTTAAATTAAATATTTAAAAAATAAGCAAAGGCAGTCCGCAGGCATTTTAATTAAGGTTTTTAAAACTTAAATTTAAATAATTAAAAAAGTATCCCCTTTTTTATTTATATTTAAGGATTTTATTACTATTAAAAATAATTAAAAAAAATTTAACTTAAATAATTTAGTTTACTAGCTTAATAAAATATAAAGTAAAATATATTTTTACCCTATTATTATATATTATTATTAAAACTTATTAATTTAAAATTTATTATAATTAAAGCTATTTTAAAGGGGGAGCAGCCTAAAATTATAATATTTAGGCCTTTTATTTTTTAACCCTAATATAATTAGTATTATATATTAAAATTAGGATATTTTTTTAAAAAAAATAAGAAAAAGTTACCCCTATAACCTAAAGCTAAAATAATATTAAATTATTAATTTTTATATTAATTTTTTTATTAATTTTCGCGCCTATTTTTTTATTAATATTTTTAATAAGCTTTAAAAAAAATTAACCCTAGTAATTTTTTTAATTTTAGTTTAAAGTTAAGCTTAAATAATTTAAATTATTATTTTAAAGCTACTTTACCTTTAAAACCTAGTACTAGTAAAGCTAGCTTTAAAAAATTTAAAAATTTTAAATATATAAAAAAAAATACTAAAAAGCTATAAAAAATTATAAGTGTAAGGGCGCCCTAGCACCTAGATGTTCTCTACTAATAATAATAAAGCTTGGCAAAGTATCTTTGACCAATAAGAATAAAGTATTTAGAACCTTAATAAATTTAACTAAAAGGATTGCTTAAAGAACTAGATACACCATAGCCTTTAGCCTTTTTATATAGGCCTTGCCTGGAGGCCTAAGGCCTTTAAGTAATTCTTTAAGCTATTTTTATTTAAAAAGTAAGTAATATTTAAATATTTTTATATCCGCGCCCCTTATAACTATTTTTTAATTATTAAGGTAATTTAGTGCAAGGCGCGCCTTTATTTTATTACTTAAATAGCGCCTAAAACCTAAGGTCCCTAAGCTAAGGTCCCTAGTTAAAACTAACGCTATATTAAACCTAATATTATATTAAATTTAACGCTATATTAAGTCTTATATAATAATTTATAGTAATAAGGTTTACTAAACTAAATAAGTGCCTAAGGCATCCCGCACGGGTAATATTAATACTTTGTAATAGTATAACCTAGGTACCTTAGGTATTACTTAATAGCATGACCTAAATTAATATTAGCCTTAATAATTTTTCCCCTTTTAAAAAAATAGATTATCCGCGATCTAGCGCTAGCCATCTTAAAAAAATAATAGGTAAGTAATTTATAATACTAACTTATTATTATATTATAATATAATAGCGTTTTTTATTATTACTATTTTTATTATTTATTATTCTTGGTTTAAAACATTAAATAATATTTAACACTTTATTTAAAATACCTTACTACCTATTTGCTTTTAAAAAGGCGCCTAATTATAAAAATAGCTTTTTTATTAGTTTAACCTAAGTCTAGTTTTTTTAAAACTTTAAACCTTAAATTACTTTTATATAGCTAGATTATATAACTTTATTTTAGCTCTTGTTTTGCCCCTTTACCTTATTTTTTATTTTAATTATACTTAAGTAAAATTATTTTTTTTTAGTGCAGCGCTGCGCTTTATTAATATTAAAAAAGTATAGCTAGTAACTTTCCTTACTAAAAACTAAAAAAATAAGATTTAAATAAAACTTTAAGGGCCCCCTGCTTTTAAAAATTACCCTTTTTTAATTACTTACCTAGTTACTCCCCCGGTGGTAAGTCCCCTAAATAATTTTAGATAAAGCTTTTAAGGCTTTTTTTTAAGTAGTAGTAAATAACTAACTATAAATAACACCCTTTTATTTTATTAATCTTAAAAATAATCCTTTTTTTAGCCTGTATTTATGTGCAGGGCTTTACTTTAATAATAAGTATTTTTTTATTTATAATAGCCTGTCTAGAGGTATTTTAGTAATAGTGTATTAATATTAAAGTATACTAACTTAGGACTTATTAAAATTAGTAACCTATTTTATTACTATTTCTTATTCCCCGCCAGGCTGCTATTAATTAGCTTATAAATAATATATATAATTATTACAGGCTTTTTAAGCCTAATAATATATTTTTTAATTTTTTTTTTTACTTGTCAAGCGTTTTGGATAAAAACATCTTAAATAATAATAATAATAGTATTAATAATAATGCTAGCACTACCACGCCCTTTATAATTACCCTTTTTAATTTTATTTTTTTTACTTTAACTTTTTTTACTTTTATTATAGCTAGCCCCGCCCTTTTAATAAAAGTAAGTTTTTTTTATTTTTTTTTAAATAGCTTTTAGTATAAATAGTTAATAGCTTTTAAATATACCTTAAATATACCAAGGTAATTTTTTATAATAGTAAAAAAATAAAAAATATAAATAATTAGTAAATTCTTACTACTAGTAGTAAACTAGTGGTATTTCCCAAGGGGAATCTTTATAAGCCTTATTATAATTATATTTTTTAAGGTTTAGGTTTAGCGTGTATTTAATATTATAATAATAGCAACAAGTGCAAGCTAATTCTTATTTATATATATAATAATATTAATATTTTATAATGCTTGCCCGCTAACAGGAGCTTAAAGAAATATATAAGTATATAAAAAATATTTAATAAACACGCGGAAAATATTACCAAGGCTTTTAATAAGGTGCTAATAAAAGTTTAATTTATAAATAACTTGCGTTGTGCTATTTTTATACTTGTTAATAAGCTTTACTTATCCGCCAGTAAGTTTCTAGCCGCTTTTAATAAAGGGTATTAAAAAATATATAATAAAAATATATTTAACATAACTAATCCTGCTATTATAGTAATTTTAGATTTTACTTTTTAAAAGCTTTATATCTTTATTTACGCCCTTTTTTAGGGTTTTATATAGCTAGCTTTTGGGCGGCCTTGTACCGCTTTAATATTTTATTTATTTTTTATTTTTAAAAAAAAACTTTTTTTTTTTTAATATACTTTTATAAATATAACTTATAAATTTTAGTAGTTTAGAGCTGTTTAGGTTGCAGTC